AACAGTAGCCTTAGATCTATGTAAACTCAATCTTAAAACGTACAACTACCGAGGTTTGAAAATCATTCACTACGTGAACGACTGTTACTAACATAACCCACGTAACCCAACAACCAAGAGGGGAAAAAAAGTTATTCAAAGCACAACATGATGAGCAAGGGACTTGGCGATAATGCACTACCCTACAAGGTGGCTTGTCAATATAGCAATATTTTATGGGTGGATTAATTACTTGGAAGAAACAATATAAAAAGGGCAAATAATAAATAGGGTTTTGCCTTTTTTTCCTTTTGGGTGGGTATATTGTCTCTGCAAGAGGTGTACGAGGTTTAGGCCTAGGGAGACGTGGACGCTCCTTCTCCATTCATGGAAAGCCCTTCCCTCAATATTTTAATCCTTCGTTTTGTCAAACTTTCTATTTTTATTCATTTATTTATTTTTTATTATTTTATTTGGCTTTTTATAATGGTTTTTCTCAGTCTTCTTCATCAGCAATTATTGATTACTTTGAGATGATGAGGAGGAGACATAAAATAATAAAATAATACATAAATGGAAAATATCCAAGTCGTTAAATTACTCATTTGCCCTTTTCTGTTTGACTGTTGTTTTCTGAAAACAAATCTTATTAATCATAAAAGAATTGATACAGAAGCAATAAAAGCATTTGAGTAATTTGACATGAATCACACGATTCACACCGGACATGGAACATCAAGAACACTGAATGGAAATGGATCATACTTTTGTTTTAATTTATGAAAAAACGTTGTTGCCCCAGAAATAAAGTGAAAGGGAAGATCATTGAGGCAGACATACAAACTGTTGTATGTGGATTTATATGTACAACTTTTGACCCCTCTGATGTGATTTTTGGTAACTCTGTTTTCCCCCAATATACTAATCAACACACTAACTAAAATGCTTTCATACCCACCACAAAATTTTTTAAAAAAAATTTCAATGGAAATGTGCATACACACACACTCCTACCTACAAGTAGAAGGAAATGTAACTATGCCCAAGTCTGATCTGATCTGTGGTAACAAAGTTAAGAGTAATCAATGAAGATGGGGAGTCGAATTTGAGAGCTCTTCCAACATTGTGAAGAGAGATATCACTAAATTAAGAGTTAATTAATTCAATGGGTTCTGGCCCAAAGAAAAAAGACATTGACTTGCAGACTAATAGCCTTAGGTTCAAAACTCCATGACCATTGGCGAATCCAAGAATTTTCAGGGGAGGGGCAATATTATGAAAACGTTCCATTATATTTTCATTACTAATACAAGCAAAAGCATATTTCTCAATGTAACAACCGAGTTATCACTCAACCATTGATTCCCATTTTGTTACGCAATGATATTTTTACAATATTCATAGCCGAAAAAGCTCTCCACTGAAGCTTATTTGAGGTATTTCGTCAAACACTTTATGGGCACAAACAGAGGGGCAATTTCCATCATCCGCCACTGCCCATGATGCCTTATTAGTGTGTGTATGTGTGTGAGAGAAATCCCTTCCCTCTGTAATTTAGAAAAATGTTTGTATTAAAAAAAGAAAGAGTTAATTAGTCAAAAATATTTATATGAATATTGTATAAAACAACAACAAAATAATTATCATGATAAAAATTTAAAAAAAAAAGAACAATATAATTGTACTTGGAAGGACTTAAATAATGGCAATCATCTAGAGGAAACTTAGGTATCAAGTCTGTATTTTCGGAAAAAAAAAGGGAAAAGTATCAAATATGTACTGGAAGAGGTGTATTGTCTCTTGGAATGGAAGCATTGGAGAGGCAATACAATAAACTTTAATGCAAACCAGATTTCAACCTAGAAATACAACATTGTCACATTAAAAAAAACACATAAAATTAGTGATAAAATCGTACTAAATCATGGACACCAGATACAATGCACTAATGGATATAATATACCCAAATGGGGCAAACATCAGATTATAAAAAGCATAAAACTTCGAGGAGATTAAGATGCCAAATTATTTATATTATATAAACGAGAATGCACGCCAATTCAGAGCTGAATCAGAATATAATCAAGACTTATTTGTTTTAATGAGGTTTTGTTGTATCCATGCTTAAAAGTTAATCCGGTCCAAAGTGCATGTCAGACAAGGTTTTGAAAAGCAATTTTGCATTGTTTATTTGTTAAAGTCAGGCTGTAGCAGCTGGTTCAATGGATATGATTCACATTTCAAAAATTACACCAGAAAAAAAGAAACAGCTATACAGACAACATGCATATAAATATATGAGAGAGAGAGAGAGAGAGAGAGAGAGAGAGATTGTCCAATGTGTCCAAAGAAATCATATAAGAAAAGGCAAAACAAGAAGGAAAGGGAGGAAACCTTAAAATCCAGTCCAAGGTTTGGCCTCTTCTCAGCATTTTTCCTTGTTTAAAGAAACAAATACAGAAGGCCATGGAGTACTTTATGTCCTTTTAGGCTGTGAACAGGCAATACAACAGTTTACAGTTTTTTTAGTTCTTTATACTTTTTATATGTATAGTTGTTATAATACAAAAGCACCTTTCCCTTGGTTCCTAGAAAGAATTTTTTTTAAAAGGATAAACAAATGAGTAAGTTGTTTTCAATTTGAATCTTGATGGAGTGCATGCTAAGAATTTCTTGTTAAAGATCTGATCTATACTAGCTAAGATTATTTTAAAAGATACATACAAGGCCTTGCATGTTAATGATCCATAATATCCAAACCAATCTTAGCCTTCCATTTGTTTGAGAATCACATGTTCCACCCATCAACACAATATCATTTATATTTTCAGATAAACCAAAAAAAGAGGCAAAAATATCACTTTTCTTATTGAGAGGGGCGATAATATACTAAACTCACACACATACTACACGAATGCTAGGACTCGAACATAGGACCTTGCACTACACTAATGGGTCCTTTGCAGATATCATTTATGTTTGTTACATGAAGGCTCTCTCACCTGAACTCCATTCACAAAAAGGACAGAAATAGTCCCAACTCACACCAAAAAGGGGTTTTTATAACAACATCAGAACCAATATTCAAGACTCACATAAGTTTTTATTCAATTGAAGAAAAAGAAAAATTTCAAGAGGAGAAACAATCAGATCCATGCTGTAACAAAAATCAATTTTGCAGATCAAGAATCAAAATTCAAGTCCAAAGTGGAGCAATTTGTCTTTAAGCAAACGTCTGGTATGTTCTGTTTGGAAAACCTCCCACTATCCAAACCTGTGTCAAATTCTTATCCTTAACTTGTTTTCTTAATCCAACTTGGTATTAAATTAAATCCAAGTTTAAGAATGCACTGGCCTCTCTAAATCTCCACCCTTTTGTAAGTTAAAGATGATTGGCTGATCCAGATATTTGCAAAGTTGATATGAAAACCAGCGTACCTACCAGCAGCAAATGCGTTCTCAAACTGTCAAAACTTATGAAAATCAGTCTACCAACAGACTTAACCTACATGTCCTATTTTTATCCCTTGCTTCAACTGCCTATTGCTATCAAGCAAACCCTACTTTATTGTTACTTTCCATATAAATCAAAAGAATTTACAGACAATATGGGGCACATTCCCATCATTGATTCCACTTGAGCATAAAGATACATTAGATAACAGATTCGGTAGTCGGCAGAGGTGAAAAATTATTATGGTGGATCAAAAGACCATTTCACTACTTTTGATATCGTTTTGGCTAATAACCTATTATATAGAGTATATATTTTTGGGACGAAAACCAACAAATAGATCCTTTGATGATTTGCCACTCACTCATGTCATGGGCCCTAAGATGGGAAAATTCTTTGGCGTGACTGTCATAGCGTTATGTGGTGTTACCAATCAACTCATATTATATAACTGATTACACCATAATTTTTCCGAGTCAGGGCGTGGATTTCATAACACACGCTTGCGGCCTAACTCGGAAAAGTTATGATGTTGTAAACAAACACATTTATTTATTAATAACATACCTAAGTTGATGAATTTGTCTCTAAAATGATTTTTTCAAGTTTTGGCAAGGGTAACTTGCTACTAATGTAATGGGCCTACAAATAGCACGTTGATGGCAGACACTAGATAGGTCTAAATCATCAACATTACAGCACTCTTTTGCTTCCACACCTTATAGCCTATAGGCAAACATTAATTGGACTGAAAATTACAAGGCCTCTTCCAGCTGCAGGGCGACATGATTCCACAGTCTATTGCATGCCGTTGGGTCTCATCTCAAGTTACAAGTCTCCTACTTTCTTTTTCTGGGATGAAGATAACTGTCTTACTTTTAAAGGGAGCTCCAATTTTCACCAATAAACAACTTTCAACACAAATTGATGGTACCATATCCCTAGTATTGCTAGAAAACCAACCTGTAATTGGATTCTGATCCATAAGAATATTGTTCCCAAGCCTTTCTTTAGCCCCTTCCTTTTCCTTCTTAATTTATCATACAATTGTGATAAGCATATGATATGAGTGTCAAGGTAAAAATATTAATTAATTTAGCATCATAAACTGTTTTGGTTATTTGAGTCATGTGATAAGCTCAAAATATTTCATCCAATTTGGTCAAACCATATTAAAGAGTACCCAATGGAACAACAAACTTGAATTACTAGAAAGCATTTGGATCATCAGAGCCTTTGTTATGTACAGGCCAATACACAAGAACAAGCCAACCAACATTCTCATCAGCCTAATTTTAAACCCTGTTCATGAAAGAAGCTTGAAGGATACAAAAGTAGAAGATAAAACAAAAAGGGCCATCGGCAAGTTCTAAATCTTGGTTTATCTTTCCTTCACGGTTAGCTTCGTGCGTGGGGAAGCCATGCTGATTATGAGGTTATAACTCTAACTCAGGAATTTCTATCTTTTATATACAAGGTGACAGACAATCCAAAACAATCACTAATGCCATGACATTTAAATTTCTTGCACATGCCTGCAAATTTGTGCAGCTTTCCTTCTGATTGATCACTGAAATCTTTCCCCTTCAAAATTAATTATGTCACTGTGTCCTGCATTTTTGTCATTACAACGTGAGATTATTATTCACTCTAAAAGGAAAGAAAGCAAACTCCTAAACAAGCTTGAGCCTAAATATTTTCTAAAACAAATGAAGTGAGAAGTGGAAAGCACTACCATGACTATAATTGACTAAGAGGTTTTTTCAGTGGGATATCACATGAACAAAAAATTAGTTAAAAGATAGGTACTAGCCAACAAGTACTCCACCATTAATAAATTTTGACTTAATTTGGATTTCCAGATTCACTCAACAAGAGTCTCAGTGACCAACCTTGACAATGAATTGAGTTTATCTCTGGTCCTGACAGTTCTATTCCATCATCATTAAGCAATGTGATTCCAGATGATGTTATGTTATAAGGGAAGGCCAGAGGTGGGGATATGGGCGACTTTGCCAGCTTGATGAACCTCTTCCCTACAAGAAAAAACAAAAGTGTGGGATCAGTAATAGGGGAAAACAGTTTTGGATTCCACGTATTGTCATCATTGTCATCATCTCATTAAAAGGTCAAATTTTCTCCATCTCTGGAACCATAAACTGTTATGACCATTCAATTCTAATTATATACAGTAAAATCATTGGTTTTAAAAAGATATCCACATCAATTTTGCTAAACAAATCAATCAAAATGAAAAAAGAGATTAATTATTGCTGTTAATCTTCTGATAGCTTCTGGAAGGCATTGAAGAGAATATAGGGCACACAGACTCATACATATTGACAAACCAAAGAAATAGAGTTGCACGTATTCTGAAAGAAACATATCCATACAATTAGATCTGCAAAGATACCTCATATGAATAACTAAGCAGCAAGAGTCTGCTTCATGACAGTTTAATAATTTTCAAGCTAAAGCATATATTGGGCAAACCAGATTTAGAATCCAGCACTAGACGTATGGTCACAGCATGAGCCCAGTGAATCCCCAAAGCAGCAACAAGATGAGAATCGTATCCTGTATGATCCTCCACTGCTTTTTCCCTGCTCTTCCCTGCACAAATAAAATATATTGCATTCATAACCCATACCGAGGATATCGAAATCTGACAATACTGTCCTACCTTGAAAAGAATACTGGCAGGCTTCATCACGAGTTTGAGACCTCACTTGGTTTGTAACAACAACAGGGATTCGTGAAAATTCAGCAAGCGACCTGAATATGTTAAAGAGAGAAAAGGAGCTTTATCACCATCAGAAAGATACAACCACCAACACCAATAAAGTTTCAAATGTCTAGGATTCTCACTTAATAAAGGAAATATGCCAACCCAATAAATACTGCCTGGCAGGTCCCTGTCCATATTCCCTGGAAAAAATATATCAGCATTTCTTAATAACTGGAAGAAAACTGGATAATCACCAAATATGACCATTCTATGGGAAGACATGTCTAAGTACACAAAATAATGAAATAAAAGGATTCATATAGCTGAAGTAAACAGAGATATGACAATATACACCAATCTTATCCCATGCCCAGTACCTAGACAGGGATGTCAAACATGTTGAGGAATGAATGGGTTCTCGAATAATCCTATAAACAGTTAATAAAGTAAGGAAACATATTTGATTATTCAGAAAGCTAATTATACTCATATATGGCCCTTCTAACACATCAGAGTTTAGTATCACAAGTAATATTTCTTATCCTAAAACAAGGTTATATATGTAAATGATATGATATGGCCTAATTCTAATTATATAGGACCACAACTTGATCAGACTCTGGATATCCAGAACAGGTAACAAGCATAACAGAGAAATCTGAACTTACCCCGAAATAAGAGCAGCCATGCTATCGATGATTAGCAACTTCACTTGGTTTTGAAGGAGTGAAATCTTGAGTTGTTGCAAACTGGAACAAATTGACTTTTAACTCATGTAAACCTCTTAACAAGTAGGCATTATCAGCACAACTCATGCTTATGCATTTAGCTGTATCTCAAAAGTCCAAAGCACTTTTTTCCAATGCTTGGGTACCTCCAAGTTCCCTCCATGCCAGGACTAACAAACTTACTAGGGATAGGGAAAATGAAATTTTAATTTGACCAATACCTCTCAGTGAATTCAGAAAGTGATGCCGGCTGCAAAACAAGGATCCTACCTGCCATCTGAAATGCAAACAGAAGAAAACTGTCATTAAGCAAACATGATTCTCATTAAAACTTGTTCGAGAGACAGTAATAACTTTCAATCTACATTACCTCTTGGGCCATTCCTTTCGTGTGAAACATATCTGGAAAACTCTTCGATCCCATTTCTATCATCCTAAGCAAGTAACAAATCAGAAAACTTAAACATCTCCCGTTTCTTTGATGAACACAGTAGGCAAAATTTTATCACAAAATAGCTGATAATTGATGTTATAAAACGCTTTAATTACCTTTTTGAACTGAATTTAGATTCTACATCAATGTATATTACACGACCACCTAAACCTCCATAAGCTGTCGGCAACGAGGCCAACAATGCGAGCTTCAGGCAAAGCTGCAATCGAAATATTCATTCAAACAGATGCAAAGATACATACAAATAGAAATGATTGACAGATGATGATCAGATGGGTGAAAGAACAAAAATTATACCTGAGTTTTGCCAATGCCAGCAGGACCAACCAGCTCAGTTAAAACCCCAAATGGAATCCCACCACATAAGGCATTGTCTAGTCCTTTGAGGCGGGTGGGGAGGTGGCCACCCATGTGCTCCTTCTGAACCCTTTGCTCCATTAGAGTTAACGCCTAATCAAACACAGCTAAAGCCACAGCATATCAGAAACACACCCAATTAAATAAAAATTAAAAAATTTCTAAAAATTGAAAAGGAAAATTAGGGTTTTGATGATCACAGTTTGATAGGGTGGACATGTAATTTCGCTGATACGAGCTATTGCAGACGTGACATCTGCTAAACTCACATCTAACACCTCCATTAACTCGAATTCGGTTAAAGACAAAGCTTCCTGAAAACCAATTCGCGTTTAAAAAAAACAAAAAAAAAAAAAAAAAAAAAAAAAAAGAATTTAATTTTTTTTATAAAAAAAACATAAATTTGTTTTCAAATTTGAATAAAATGTTGCCTTGGCGGTGGTGATGTTACGAGCTGCGAAAACGTTAGCGATGGATTGGGGAGGCCCATTGGTTGATGAGCTTGTTCGCCATTTTCACTCTGAGAAGTGCAGAAGCTTTTCCTTCGTCTTCCTTGTGCTTTCCCGCCAAATGTGAAGCCCCAAAGCGCCGACTTTGTCGTTTTAGTTTGGGCCACGTTAAATAGGCCCAGTGGGCTATTCTTCTGGTCCAATATTAAGGCCCAAATCCAGCGCAATTTCCATTAAGTGAGGAATGTTTACAATCCGATAGGGTCCGAAACATGGAACTGGACTTCTTTTGTCACGTTTAGTGATTAGGTCACATGGTGAGAGAGATAAATACCAATAACTAATAATACTGTATTCATGGTGTTTTTCTCATTAGAAACTTCGGATTTGGTGCCTTTATTATTTATAAGGAAGATTGAGATTTATAAAACAACAATTACACACATATTTCCTACACCCACTTCAGTTTTGTGCACCGCTTTAACCATTTTGCATAATTACCATATCACTCATCATGTGTTACATATCACATTATGATTAAGCATGAACACCTATATTTAATATGTGTAATTGGTGCCATATGATAGGTGATGAGGTAATGGTGTGCTAAATAAAAATGGATGGTGCACTTGAATGCGGTGAGCAAAATTGCTCATGTTTGGAATGCTATTAGAGGCAACAACTTTTTCCGCAAGCACATTCACCAAATAGTATATATTAGAGTCTAACGTGTTAAAATTAAATAAGGAATAGGATGAACTTAAACTGAAAATAAATGACAAACTGACGCATTATTTGGAGACTGACCCCTCTTACTAATTTACTAATTTATTATGACTCCATTATTTTTATATAGCAACATAGGAAGGGGTAATCGAACCTAGGACCTTTGGTTCAGGAATACATGCTCTTATCTCTCTCTCTCTCTCTATATATATATATATATATACATGTAAATTAGGATGTAAAAATGGCTTTACTTCTCCAAATTTACATTAGATGCTCTAGTACGTACCAACGAACTTCTAATCTAACGACATTTCTCTTTCCAATTGTGGAAGATGTCTCCAATACCCCTCCCAATAACTAAAACAACTGTTTCCAATTGTGGAAGATGTCTCAAATGCCGCTCAAACGTGCCATAAAAGAATTATACTTTATTCTTCTTCTAGAAGTTGCCCACCCTCCACAGCCACATTTGTATGCCACAGTTTACTCGTACGAATTTGCAAAGAAGCATCCTCTCGTCCATCTATGACTTTAGCAGTTTACGTATTGTACATAGCAAACAATGATGCTCCTCAGTTTTATGCATCTAATCTTTGTGTAACCACTAATTTTCATCTCTCTTTTTGTTACAAAATCAAAGATTTAAGATTTAATTCATGTTTCTTCATCAACTGGAATGAATAATATATTTTATTTTATTCCATGTTTGTAGAAATATCCATTACACTAATACCTTGAATACAATATAAACCTAATCTGAACATCCTTGACCAACTAAGACATGTCAAAAGTCCAACATCTTTTTTGGAGTTTTCCATAACTTGGAATTTGGGCTGATTTCTTCAGGTCTCCCTCCTCTCTGGATCAAAGATAATGCTATTTTCAGTACGGTATGGACGGTCCCAAAAGATAATGCTAATCTAGAAATGGGAAGAATTTGTATTCAACCTTGCTGGATTGTAGCTGGATGGGGAAAATTGAGCCACTTGAAAGTTTAGGGAGGAAACAACATAAATTTCTTGCATGACAGCCCATATTTTTGTTTTTATGGTAAAAACCCATGTTATTGTATTATAATAAAGTCAATTCTCAACACTTAAGTTAGCCAATTAACAAAAAAAGCAAAGAGTTTGTAATTTAAGTGGTTAAGAATTTTATCTATGCACTCGAACTCGAGTCCTCCTTATAAGAGAAATTATACAATGGTACGGATGTATCACGTCAGCATGTGATACTTCCATTCAAATATTGTCATGTCTTTATTTTAAAACAGAAATTAAATATTTATTTACAGCTGTACTTATATTATGAAATAAAATTTGAAATTTGTAAAACAGAAAAAAGGAAGAAAAAAAATATATTCCCAACCGCCGCCCCTCCCCTAAAACCCCACTGCCTTCCATGGATGCCATCCCTCTCTCTTCCTCTTCCTCCCGTCTCTTTTCCTCTTTACCATTGCCACCGGCGTCCAAACCCTCATCTTCCTTAATTCCCCTTTCTTTGAAATTGATCATGACAACCTTTGCCATCATCATACTAGTTCCAAACCCAGATCTAATACTGTAACTCCTTGGTAACAATTACTTCAATCAATACAATACAACAATTCTCTCAAAGGGTCTCTCTGTTTTGCATTCACTCACCATTAACACAAACACCAACGCTTCCACTATTCCATTTCATCATCATCATCATAATCATCAATACTAGTTTTCTCTACCTCTTTTTAGACTCCATTACCTACAATTACTATAAGGGTTGAAAAGGAAAAGGAAAAAGGAAGAGGAAGGGAGATGGGTGGCAGTCATGGCAGGTAGTGTGGAGATGGGTGGCGGTCATGGCATGTTTTTGAGATTAGAGGTGTTGGGTTCGGGAGGTGTTGCTGTTGGGAATTCTCTTTTTCTTTTTTCTTTTTCTTCAGTTTTTTAATTTTCTAATTTTATTTCATAAGATAAAAATTAAGAAATAAATCCAGCTATAAAAAGAGTTTAATTGCTATTTTAAAATAGACACATAACAATATTTGAATGGGGGTATCACATGCTGACGTGGTACATCCGTACTATTGTATAATTTCTCCTCTTATAATATCGCTTATATAAAATAAATAAAAAATAGCAATCAAAGCTAAAAAGCCAAAAGATGCTAATTTTAACAGTGCTCGGTTCAGTAACAACAAAATGCGTAGTGCATAACATAATATTTATAACCACCTTATCATATAACAACACCACATAAAGCAACCAAAGATACAGACCCAAAATACACTTCAAAAGCAGAAATAATAACTCTTCCAAGTGTGTCTCCTCTCTAAAACTCTCAGAAACAACACTGGAAGAGGTTCTTTTTTTTCTTTTCTTTTTTCCTTCTTTTCCATCACAAGACATGAACTGACTATAGCAAGACACTGAAACAAAAGACAAGCTTATATGGGGTTATGGTCCTGCAAAACTCTCCAAAAATATGAGTTTTACAGGAAAAATAATTATCACATAACCCGTGCTTGATTTGTACATCTAAAACCCAAACAACAACACTTTCTAGTCAAGCCATCTACAGAAAAAACAAAGCAGAGGCTTTGACCTGACTCAAAATACCAAAATTCTATAGCTTCATAGATATGGGGATAGGAAATGCTTCATAGCATGAATCAGAGAAATCCAGTGATTTTCTCATCAATTCACCAAGTAGGTGATGACCCATCTAGCCATCTGATCATGCCTATCAATTGGCATCAGAGCTGTAGGCACTTGGTGGTGGGGTTTGAGAGGCAGAGCTTTCACCACCATCTTCTCCTCTGTTTTTCCCCTGAGCTCCAGGTTTGGAGGCCTTGTTGACCACCACTTTGACCAATTTTTCAAAGATCTGACGCTTGATGAGGCCCCGCCTTGGAGGAAAGCTTGTGTTTTTCTTCTCTTTGGGTGCTGGAGAAGCGGTTGCCATGGCTGCAGAGCAGAAAGAAAACAGAGTAAAGGAAAGTGAAGATGGAAGAGGACGAGCAGGAGGAGAATAAGAAGAGGAGATTATGAGAGAAGCAAAAAAAATTTAAGAGAAAGATGAGGAGAAGGAGATGAAATGAAAAAATCTGAACAGAGATTTGGAAAAGGGAAACAAGCAAGACTCGTAGAGAAACAGAGAAGAAGCAGGGCCTCTTCCTCTTGAAACAAGGGCAATGATACGACTGGGAGGGGTGGGGGAAGGCGTTATTTATAGACTATAGTTGAAAACACAAGGGGGAAATTCTTCATTGAAAACTCCCAAATTGCTAATCACACCCTTCAAATGTTTCCCTCAAATGCCAATTTTAACCCTTCGATTCGGGGGATAAGAACGGATCACTTACTTGGTCTCCAAGTCTTCCATTCATATCCAAGTCACTTTTCTTTTTCTTTTTTTCTTAAATTGGGATTTACAAATTTAAATTCCTTGATGTGAACAATACAAGACTCTGCCCACTGCCCACCTAATAGGTCTTGGGATGTCTTCTGCTTGCCAACGCCATGTTGTCTTGGTAATTGAAATAATCGAACATCGAACATCGAACATGGACAGTGTCTATGTAAAAGTCTCACATGTAACATCACAGAGCAGGCTTTCACCCCAAGTCAATGGAACACAAGTGATTAGCTGCTCAATGTTATCGTGCACTAATTGCTTATTAATGCCTAGACCTTCCCACAAAGTCCGACTCATATAACTTGTCAACATTACACATGTTTGACAATATAGGGTATGATTAGCTTCCATGAAATTGCCCCCATAATCACTATCTACCATCAATATGCCAGTTTGCCATGTTAGAGTTGCAAGCTCTCGTGTTGAACCAACAACGTATATCAAATTTACACCCGTATGTGAAGAAGACATGCTCGTATAGAAAGAGGGAGATGAATAAAAAATGCATCCTCTTTTTGCAGCTTGCAAAGCTGCAAAGAAGCTTGAACTCGTGATCACTTGCAAGCAAATAAGATTTTGATATTCTGTTAGATAATTATTTAATCACAAAATTTTAAGTTACGAGAGAATAAGTTAACAATGTAAACACGATTAAAGATTCAAAAAGAAAAAGAAGTAATAATCAAATGTAAGTATGTCACGGATGTGGGAGCCACAAGGATGTATCTTTTTGCTTTATTATCCTTATATATATATATATATATATATATATATAAAATATAAGATACCACTCAATCCATTGTGAGGCGGCTTGAGATCCTAAAGTGACTAGTTATGTAGTACAGCCATTGGGCCCCAGGTCCTTGGTCAAGACTCAAGTTGCAATCTCGATCCACACCGGCCAAACCAAGGAAGCCAGCAAGGATGAACTGCTTGGGGGAATATGCCAATACAGAGTGCCCCATATATTTATTTGTTCTGGGTGCAGTGGTCCTACAGGTGCTCTGGTTTAATTTTGGGTCCCCCAAGACCTAGAAGACAATGGCCCTTGTCTGGTTTAATTTGTATAAAAAGACTTCTGTAAGTAGGTAATGTTCTCTCACCAAATTTACGTTGTAAAAAAATTAGTTATAATGTCGTAAATTTTAATATAAAATTAATTTAATTAATAGTTTAGATTTGCCGTTTTGATGGCGATATAAACGAGCAAAAGAATATATTTGCCTCTCTAGAAACCCAACTAAAACCATCTACTTTAGTAAATGAATGACTCAATTATTGACGTATTTCAAACGCAACATAGCATTGTGTTTGTGTCCCTACTTTGCTCTTGGGTTTTCTGTTAAACAAAAATTAAAAAGAAAAGCTCCCATTACTCGATGATGTGATTTGCAACTCCAAATTCATCGAAAAAGAAAATGTTATTTTCGTCGCACGCGTTTTTCCCTACCATCTTCCATGGGCCACTTCAAATTAATACTTTCTGTGTATTAAAATGCTGGAAATCTAACTGCACCTTTCATTGATGTAACTGACTCCCTCTATCTCCAAGTGTCCCTAGTCAATTATCGTTATGAAATTATTCGATTCTGAATCATACAAAAGGTTTTGATGAACATAATTTGATGGCCTTGCTTCCATATTCACTTGAAATTCATTCTAAAGGTGCACTGATCCAGTCTATTATACTATTTTGAAATTTAGTATAAAGAAAACAGCGCTTGTCTTTCTTTAAACACATCGTTATATGCAACTTGCGGTAAGAAAATGAAATAATTTTTGGAATGCTTGGAAATTAGGGTCTTGTGTGGAGAAATTATAGATACTACACTAATACGTCCACATGTTACATCTTGTGTATATGTTATAATATGGGTGGACGACATGATTCATTTTCCCCTTTTAGGGTATGCTTTCCCATTATTACTGTCACAATACAAAACCAAAACATCCTATTTTTAAATTCAGTAACCACAAATGTGTACAAAATATAAATATTTATAACCATTATATGATATAACAACTACACATGAAGCAATCCAAGATACAAAGCCAAAATACCATAAAAGCACAAACTTCCTCTTCCAAATATGTCTTCTTTCTAAAACTAGCAGAAACAACACTGGAAACAGGTCCTTTCTTTTTGTTTTCTTTTTTGGTTTTCTTTTCTCCCATAAGACATGAAACTGACTATAGCAAGACCAAACTATAAGACATTGATATACAAGATAAGCTTAGCTTAGATGGGTAAAACCCTAAAAAAAAAAATATGAGTTGTGCAGGAAATATAATTATCACATGACCCCTGTTTGAATTCTACGTCAAAAACCCAAAGGAAAATACTTTCTATTTGTAGTCTAGACATCTATTGAACAACAAAGCAGAAGCTTTGATCTCAAATAAAACACCATAATTCCATAGCTTCTTAGATAAGCAGGAAAGGAAATGCCTTCAAAGCAAGAAGCAGAGAAATCCATTATCTGCCCACGTGATCATGTGTATCAGAAATCAGAATTGGCATCAGAGTTGTAGGCACTTGGTGGTGGGGTTTGAGAGGCAGAGCCTCCTCCACCACTTTCTTCACCTCTGTTTCTGCCTTGAGCTCCAGGTTTGGAGGTCATGGAGGACGCCACCGCTTTGACAAAGTTTTCAAAAATCTGAACCTTGATCTGGCCTCTCTTGGGAGGAAGGTTGGTGTTTTTCTTCTCTTGGGGTGTAGAGGAAGTGCTTGCCATGGCGGCAGAACAGAGAGCAGAGTAAGGGAAGTGGAGATGGAAGTTGGATCACAGAAATAAGAGGATAAGGAGAGGAGATTTTAAAAAATTTGAGAGAAGAACCAGAAAATTTAAAGGAGAAATAGGAGAGAGATGAAACGAGAAAATCTGAACATGATTTATGAAAAGGGGAAGTCAGAACTCTGTAGAGAAACAGAGACGAAGCAGAGCCACTCTGCCTCTTAAACGGAGTTTTAGATCACAAAACTAAGGCAATTGAAGAAGTGGGAAGTTAGAGGAGCATGAGAGGGGGAGGGGGCTTAAGCATTTATAACTTGTAAGTCCAGAACAATAGAAATTATTCCCCTTTTTTTGTTTTTAAATATGTTGTTTGATGTTTTGGATTTGGGGAAAAAACGGAAAATTATAATAATGGGAGGTTCTACGTAAACTATTTATGTCATATTATATGTGTAAGGATTACGATTACGTTGTGAGTCTCACGTACATGTCGTAAGAACTTTATGTACTGATGGAAAGTATTTGGTGGTAGGGTCCATTGAATAACACAACAAAAAATTTCCTATAAATTTCAGTTATTTATTGGTGTATTATGCCAGAAGAATAACACAACAAGGTGCTCGATGAAATGTTTCAAAAATTTTAAGGGGATCAAATGGTGTATTATGCCAGAAGAAAAATTCATGGATCCTCCATTCCAGTGATGTCATGAGCATATTTGTACAAAAGTAGCCTCTGGACTTGGAGTGTCAGTTTGGTATACTCGAAGGAATATCATGGGACCCACAAAATTGTGAGTCTAATGCTCAGTGAGGGGCCTATGTATTTCATAGAGACACTTGCATGAAACGGAGATAACAATGTTTTGCTATTTTCGATTAATAACAATAATACGTTATGCCACACGTAATAATTTTCTCACGTGGGATAGCATTAATGACCGGAGATAGAATTCCTTTGGTCGCAAGTTGTTCATATTCACAGCCAAGTCACTTATATATGTATATAAATTAATCTGAAAATTGGACTAGTTTAAATTAATTATTTGATGTGAACATGCAAGACTTGAGCGCACACACACGTACGTGGACACTTGAAGACTTTGAGCTTTTGCTTGACTCCTTGGCTTTGTCATATGTCACTGCTTACCTATCCGTTGGCAACTTGGCATAGAAACATAGAAATATATGGTGTTGCAGTTTTCAAATTCACAAAAACCTCAAAATAAAAATAATTAATCTGTTTTCTTTCATGAAATTTACAAGAATTGGTGCTGCGAAGGCCTTCACATCCCACATAAACTCCTCAGCGCACAGAAACACACACACACACACACATGCTTTGACAATTGGGTGTGATCAGCTTCCACGAAATTTCCCAATAATCACTGCCTACCTTCTTCCGGAAGCTCCAACTTCAACATAAGTATGAACACAGCATGAAAACTATTTTTTTGGTAAATGTAGGTGGGCCACCCTTTAAAGGACTTGGGCCACGTGGCAGCCACCTAATGGCTAAGGGTTACCACCTTTTTTCTTGGTCACCACTAAGAGGTGTCCCTCTTTTCATTGAACTGAAGGCGGCCTTGAAGACCTAAAAGACCGGTGCTCTCTCTCTAGTAGTGCAGACAGAAAGAGAGAGGGTCAAACGGCTGTCGTTTTATGGTTGCGGGTTAATCAGTTTGGGCCCCGGGTGCCCTGGACAACAGCCCACAGAGCAACAGAGGCTAGACCAAGAGATTTTAATTGGTTTGGGCCCTTGGAGATGGCCATAAAGTCAATCAGTTATTATTTTGGGGCCCACATAATCTCATAAATAAATAAAACAGGGTCAGGGTTCAAGGGTCGGTGACCACAATTTCAATGCTCCTCCAATTACTCATCCACTCACTTCACGGTGGTTTGGGGTTGGATCCACTGACCCAATATTGAAGTCTAAAAGGTCCTATAAGGTTATGTTTACGTGTTAGTAATGAATATACCCGTATGTTTTTTTGTTTGTGGTTAAGGGCAAAAGCCCCACTCTGTCAATATCGTATGTCATTTGCTTATGATCGCGATGCATTCATTGTCGTTTATCTTACACAAGTGGAAAGACAATTCAATTTACCTCTTACGTGTAAAATGTTACAACGTACGCGGTTTTGCTTGTTATGTTCCATGTCCTTTTCAAAATTGACAGTTTTTTGGTCTGGTAACAAAAGTCAAACGGTGTCAAATCGAGTGTCATTTATGACTTTATTATAATGATTGGTGACGATACGACCATGTATCCATGCATGCACATGCATATTTTGACATGACATAATATAATATTATATGTCAACCCTTAACATGACTAGACCCACCTGGGAATTGTACATGTGCTGGAGTTCTTCATTAATTACATGACACATTGCATTCACCTTTCTAGCAGTTTATTCTTTGCATCTATTTTGTTCCCCATGTGAAAAATATTGGTGCATGGCCCTTCTTGGAGATTAATTAATCTTAATAATGTTCTTTTTTGGTAGGAACAAATTAAATCAATGAACCCCAAAAAGACACCTTCTGCGTCGTTAAATTTCTCTAATTTATAGTTAACAGGGTCTAGTCCAGTAAAAAAAAACTTTAGCTTGCAAACTAAAAGTCATAAGTTATAACTTCCATGACATCTCTAATTATGTGCGTATTATTATTGAATAATAAACAAAATTCAAGAACCTTTTCACTATTGATGATGCATGGCTGGCTCTTTCTTGTTGGGGGGTTCCTTAAACCAAGCCATACGTAGAATATGTCATGATGTGGGTTTGGGTCAAATTTGGTGGCGGAATTCAGTCACAATGACTGCAGTTCACTTAATTTTTTAATTTATTTTTGTTGGGTCGTTCTCTCTGTTTATCTTCTTTAATATGGCTCTTATTACAAGGAAACAGAATAACTGAAACCTATATATAGACATTCTTCGGCAGGCAGTGATCTGCACGTACTGTTTTGGGCAATGTTGTTCTGCAAAAGAGTCAGGTGCATATGCAACAAATAAATTATTGGATTGCACATCATTATTGTTTATAACATTCATATGATTTAAATCCAGAACTTTGTAAGACTAATAGGATATAATAATGTAAGTTATAGTAGTAAAGCGGTTAATGATATTTTTCTTTGTACTCGAGGTCTTAGGTTCGATTCTCTACTTCTCAATATCAAGGTATCAAAATAATAATAATATGGGTTGTACAAAGAATGACACACTGTTTCTGAGGAGACATATTTCCAAGAGTCCTCACGCGTTTCTGAATACATTCTGCTTCTGCCGGCCAATATAAAACACAGAAATTGCTTCTGCTTTTCTGAAGTTTGTAGAGTGTGCCAAGCTAGAGCCAAGATTATCATGATTTTTGCTGCTACGATCACATGGAACAAAATAAAAGGCAAGTCAGAATTGCAAGAGCATAAACAATCTCTTGGGAACTGAAAACACTTAATTACTACCGCGTTTTTGCCTAGAGGTCACATTTTGGAGGTCCACACGTTTAGTTAGTTTCCAATGGTTTGTCTCTTTAGGTGACGCACCCCAAAAAAACAAAAGTAATGATTATTCTAAGCTCAATCACCACGCGTGAGATTCATTGAGAATATTGGACAATTGTAATATTCATAATTGTCTCTAACATACATGAAGAAAAAAAAAAGGGCTGCATTTAGTAGAATTTAAAATCTATAATTCTTGCCAACGGGAGGTCTAATTCAGTGAAAAAAGACATTGACTTGTAGACTAAAAGTCCCAGGTTTGAACCCTCATAACATTATTTGTGTGTATATATGAGAAATCTCTCTCCTCTCTAGTTTAAGATAAACACTTGTGTGCAACAGGGATAACACTATTTTGTTATCTCCAACCAATCATAAATCTATCACTTGTACTACAAAAAAAAAACTATAATTCTTTATTTATTTATTCATATTTAAGGTATTAACTAGTTGAAAAGTCCAAACAACTTTTAACAAACAGAGACATGAACAAAAAGGTAAATTCGAAATGAAAGTTGTGACTTAATCTAAAATGTTAGTGACATAAACCAAAAGTAATGAGTTGAACCCAACTAATCTAAAATAACAGCAGAGAAAAATCAAGTAGATGATCCGAATTCCTTATAAATATTTTTAGAACAATCCAACAATTAAACCGATTCGATAGTCAAACTTTTTCATTTATAAAATACTAACTATGGTCGTGCAGTTGAGATTATATAAAATGTATATTTTAAAAATCTTAACAATGTCAACTAAATACAGGAACCATCAACAATGGAAGAACGAGTAACAATCAGCGGGGTGTTTTTTTAGGGATGATAATAATTTAGTTCTCCAATTGGTTAAGCCCTTGAATCTTTTCAATTTTTTGTGCGGGAGAAATTCATGTTCAAATGCCACCCAATCTTACAATTCTATGCCTCTAAATCCTAAGGTATCTTTTTTTTGTTTTTTTGTTTTTTTGGGATAAATCATATACAACGTATATCCCATCAAATTAAGGGCCAACAAACATACATTTTTATTAAGAATAATTTCACTTCTAATTAATAAGATGTGAGATTGTTTGATAAGAGAATATTTCCGTGAATGACACGTGCTTTAATTCTCTTGTTAAGCACTGCCCGAATATACTTCTTCGACGCTAGTTGCTCGATATGACAAAATTACCCCTTACACTTCCACTGTAGAAGCCTTGGTCGCGAAGCAACCCAATATCGCTCTTATAAAAAAGATATTTCCTCTGCATTTCTCTGCTTCACTACCACAAGCCATCCAAATCTCTCAAAAGCACACCCACTTTCTTTCTTTCTCTTCTCTGTTTCCCCAGAGAAAGAGAGTTCAGCTGCATCCTCTGTTTTCCCCTGTTTCTCAGTCTCCCAATCTCCCTCTCTCCTCTGTTTCTCAGTCTCTGCTTTCCTCTGTTCCAAGCTCATACTCTCTTTACCCCTCAGATCCTTCGTGCCCGATTCGAAGAAGATGGAAACCCCAGGTTCAAAATCTAAGCTCAACCAAAGTCAAAGCTTACCTCCTAAAAGGGGACAGATAAAGATCAGGATATTCAAGGGACTGGTCAAGTCTCTGTCTTCCTTGGTTGGCGGCGGAGGTCGTAGGCCGAGAGAAGATGGAGGATTTCTGAGCTCCAATTCACAAACCCCAGCTCAAACCCCAAGTGGGTGTTGCTCAGGAGCTCAATCAGATGGCTCCGGACCCCTCAGCTAGCTGAATTGAGGTTCTTGTTAGAAACCCCTCTGATGTTAATTATAGCCTTACACATAACCTTTGTTCATTTTTTAATTTATTTGGTCTTCGAGTTTCTGGGATGTGAGGAGCTGGTCGAGGAGTTTGGGTTTCAAGAGTGAAATTTGGGGAACTGGGTAGCTTTGTTGGTGTTCCTATACCTTTGCAGAAGTGATGTAGGCCATTGGAGGGTTTTGTTTTACTGTTGCAGAAATGTAAAATTTGGTTTTTTTTTCGTTCGTATATAAATTAATTTCTTATAGTTATGTGTGAGATTTGTGTTGATTTCGTACGTTTGGAGTTGGATCTGAGCATTAATTTCATGTTGGTTTCAGAACGATGCACGGTAGCTTTCCTTTTAACAATGAAACTCAAAACCAATAATTTATTGTTATTTGGTATGTTTGGACTTGGATCTGAGCATTCATTTGATATTGGTTTCTGCATGGTAACTTTCCTTTTACAGTCAAAACCAATCATTTACTGGTTATTGCTCTCTCTTTCTCTCTCTCTCTCTGAGTGCTGAATCTCAAAGACATCTTTGGTAACTTTTTTGGGTACAAAGCAGCTGTTGGCAACTTTCCTTAATAGCTCTTTGCCCAGATCGATCTCTCTCTCTCTCTCTCCCCACCCCCACCCCCCCCCACCCCAGAGTGAAGAAAAACTGCAGCTTTGGTAACTTTTTTTTGGGTACAAAACAGCTTTGGGTAACTTGATGTTTGTTTCAGTAAAAGAGGCCTTGTAACTTTCTTTTAACAGTCAAAACCAATCATATGCTTGTTGTTATTGTTCCCTTTCTCTCTCCCCAAGACTAAAAGAGTGAGGAAAAGAAGCAGCTTTGGTAGAAACTAGAAAACAAGCATCTTTTGGCAACTTGACGGCAGTTTGCCGAAGTCACTGGTGGATGATGGTAAATGCTCTTTCTGTTTAAAGCCAAACACTCTTGTGCAGTTGACTAGTCGGTGCTTGGAAGTTGGTACTTGATCTGTTAAATTAAACTGGATTTGGATGTTGTTGTCCTTTATTTCTGTGTTTGCGCGTTTTAAGATAAGCTAAGTTGAGAGATGAGATTGTGATGTGGGCTTGAAAAAGAGGATTTGTTGAATTGAAATGAAGAAAAGGATGACACTTCGTAATTAGTTGAATTGAATCTCAAAGAATTTTTTTTTGGATAGATAATTGAGTTCACACTAAATGCAACACAAACAAACATAGAGTCCACTACAATAATGAAACTTTACTGAAAAAAGGATGGCCAACAAACATCATTTGTAGCCCAAACTTTTGGTTTTATTGGATAGATAGTTTCAAAATATTATACTAAAAGATTGTCTTTTTTGGGCAAAGATTACCTCCAAAAAATTCTATTCAATTAGTTATTTAGTCCATAGTTCGTGAGACTATGATTCTTTTTTGTTTCTTTGCGACATAAATTGATAGAGTAGGGAACACATTGACCCTACCTACGTTTATGTACCATTTGGGTTTCTCCTTCTCTTTTCACACTCTACATTGGGACCCAAATTCCAAAATGGTGGCCTTTCAGCCAAATTTATACCTAATTACATTATTTAATCAACTTTCCTGCTGCCTGCAAAATTGAGTTCATTAATTCAACTTCTGTTCGAAATGAAAGCAATACGAAATCAAAAGGAAAACTACCTGATCCTTTTGTTTCGTTTAGGGTTTTAGCAATATGATTTGTCCTACATCACCCATTAAGACCCACACCATCTCTTTGAATTTGAGACTATTTGATGTGTTAATTAACAGACGATCATAATCACATATATCAGACAGATATGAGTTAATGTGAAGAGATAATGTGGTCCTACTACTTGGACTCAATGCAATCAAATTTAATAATGTGTTGAATGGACAGCAGCTCCAGCTAGATATAGCAACAAACAAGGCTTCTTCCCCCTCCTCCTCAAAGTGATGTATTTGGTTCTATCATTACAGACAATGGGTTTTTGCCACGTGTTGGGCTACTGTGCACGCCTGTAGCTATATAGGTGTATAATTCGGAATTTAGGATCGATCCCTTTTTCTAGATGCAGATGCATCTTCTCCTTGGCCTAAGAAAATTAAGTTCCTTACCCACCAAGCAAAAGCAAGATAGTGATTTGAAGAAATGCTCCATTAATACAACTAATTTGATTTAAATCTGATTAGGGAAATCAGTGGGATTTTGTTATATGATCAATATGTCTCTATTTTGGTGTTTCCTTTCGATCTCAAGTACATCACCAACTTTAAGGAGTGTGACATTATGCTGGCTTGTTTAAAACTCGAATCATCACTATGTGAGATAGACGATTCAAAATTTTATAGGACAATGATGGGAAAAATTATCTGAGATGAACGATCCAAAACAACTATCACAATCATTCAGAACCATGTGGATCTCATCTGTTCCTTCACCTGAAATAGACAACCTTTACCTCCCAGTACATAAAATCTGTCTGCAATTTCTGAGCAATAAGTTTTATGAGAAACTTCATGCAAAGATAAAATCTGTCCACAGAGGTTTGTATGGGATCTTAGGTAGAAACAGAGGTTCTCCTATCGTCCCATACAAAATATAATGGAAATTCCATGAAACAGAATTAATACCAGAAATTCCAGATACAAGTGAGAAGGCACTTTCACCTCATGCCAAACCCACGACCACTGTAATACCTTTATGGTCGTCAAAGATGCACCAGTTCATTGTCCACATATGCAAATTAATTTCACAGTGATTCTTTTATCAACGGCAACAAAGCAGGATCCACTTCATCTTTCGACAGTAATTGAACTATCAACTCCATTGTTGATGCATCTGCAGATAAACCCTTCTCCACCATTTGTTGAATAAGTACCATAGCCCTTGATGTCTCTTTGTTACTGATAAGCCCTCTGATAATTGTGTTATATGTGCAACCATTTGGAGAACAGCCTTTCCCTTCCATTTCAACTAGCAATTTTTCCGCTTCACTTGTTAGGCCCCCGATACAGAGTCCATTAATCATTACAGTGTATGTCCTCACATCAGGTTGAAGTCCTTTTGATGACAAACCACAAAAGAGATTCCTTGCAGATTCAAGTTTTCCAGCTATGCACAAACCTTCAATGAGAATACTGTAAATCACAATATCAATATCCAACTTCTTTGCTTCCATCTCTCCAAACAATTGCATTGCCCTAGAAAGTTGTCGGTTTTTACACAGGCCATCCAGTAAAATAGAATAAGTTTGAACATTTGGAAGCTGGCCACAAGCTTGCATCTCGGAGAACAACTTTTGTGCATCATTTATTCTACCCACTTTGCAAAAACCGTCCACAAGACTGGAATAAGTAATGGTATCTGCAACCAGTCCCTTATGAGACATATCCAGAAAAAGCATCATGGCCTCGTCAATCTTTTTATGCTTACAATATCCACTTATCAATGTGCTGTAACAAACAACATCAAACATCGAGCCCTTGCTAAGCATTAGTTCAAAAACCTTTTGTGCCTTGCCTATTTCTCCTCGCAAACAGTAACCATCCATAAGTGAAGTGTATGTAAACCTATCAGGTTCAATATCTCTTTCAATCATCATTTCGACCACGCCTTCTGCTTCCCCAACCATACCCTCCTTACAAAGTGTGTCTACCAAGATATTGAACGTGGGCACATTTGGAAGATATTTTTACTCACCATGTCATTCAACAACCTTGTAGCTTCTTTCCACTTGCCTAATTTGCCAACTCCATTCATCAAAGAGTTATAGGTAATGACATTTGGGGCAATACCCTTGCACATCATTTCAGAGAAGAGGTTTAATGCATCATCAACTAGTGTATCCTTACAAAGACTGTCGATGATTGTGTTATAGACAACTAGGTCAGGCTTGCAAGCTCCTTCCTCCATCTTCCTAAGCAACTGAATAGCAGCAATATTGTTACCTTTCATGCAAAAGCCCTTTACTAGTGTGCCATAAGTAACCACATTAGGCTGACAATTACCTCCCCTCATCATCTTGTGGAGAAGGGTTGCCGCCTCTGCCACTCTATTCTCGGGAAGAAAGCCGTTGATTAGAGTGTTGAAGGTAGAGACATCTGGTTCAAGACCAAGTTTGAAGAAATTTCCCAATACGGATAAACTAAACCCCATTTGGTTTAGATGACAATAACAATTTATGAGAATGTTTAGAGTACAAACATTAGGTCCAATTCCCGACACACCCATTTGGTTATACAAGGAGATGATGGACGAATAATGTTTCAATTTCGCAACTTGACCCAATATTTGATTGAAACGAACAACTGAAGGCGGAGGACGCATTTGAAGCATTCTATCAAACACATTGAAAGCATCCTCAACAGTTGTGATTTTGGGTGAGTTTCTTACTGGCTGCTCTAGTTGGGTTCTTGTAGATTGATTGGTTTAGAAGGTTGAGAGTGAAGGAAAGCAAAGTAATCGTTGGCGAAAACAACAAGAGCGGAGTTAGAGTGAAGACAAGGCATACCTCTCCATCTCCTGCTGGTGCAATAAGAAGACGACGAAGAAGCAGCTATATTCCGCATCATCATCTTCAGCATCTCTCGAATAATAGCACTGAGTAAGAAAATATGCAAACCTAGCCTTCATTCAAAGGCGCTTTTTGAGATTTCTACTTGTTGGAGTGTGCACGGCCTCAGGTCCTCTTCTACTTTTTTTTTCTTGTTTTGGACAAACAGGTCCTCTTCTACTTAGAGCATTCACTAATTGGTGTATTTTCAGGGGTGTAAATCCTATTTATACCTCCGGGGGTATAAATGCGTTTTTTGCTCCAATAGGAAACGATGTAAATTTAAAGATGTATAATTGATTTGATTGTCTTAATTCGTTTTTGTGCTAAATTTGTATTTTGTGTTTACTTTATCAAATTAATTTTTTTTTGTATTAGGTTAATTTTATTTTTTCAAATAAATAGACCTAAAAAATTTAAATTCGGAGAAGATATGATTTCATCTAAAAATTCCCAAAATTGCTCCGCATGTGAATTTTTTTCCAGCGATTACTGTAGCAACGGGTCCCACTCTTTTATGATGACTTTTCTCTTCTTTTCTCGGGTGGGTCCCACGTGCAAGAGATGTAAAAATATATGTAAATATACATTTTATTTTACATCCCCATGGTGGTGATGTATATTTACATCCATTTACATCTCCCCATTGGAGACGATTTCGGTGACTTGGGGTGTATATTTAACATACACCCCCCCACTGTGGATGCTCTTACTAGAGTACATTTTGATCCCTTTATCGCTTCTTCATCATTATAGTTTCAGTTTTGTCAATTGTGCCCCTTTAGTTTCATTCAACGACAAGTCACGAATTTTGTCAATTTCTTTCAAGACATCATGGGTATTTTCTTCCATTTATTGTTAAAAAAAATATTAGAAACTTAAAAGTAATTTTTTTAAATTGCAAACAGGAAACATACAATTGATTTGTTATTGAAATGAAATTCCCAAGTACGGGTGTACATCGATTTGAAATCAATGAATTTTTATCAATCCAATCCAATCCAATTTTTCTTGGCCTCATCAATCTTTTTATGCTTACAATATCCATTTATCAATTATGTTTTTCCCAAGTGAGGGGAAGAGAATTAGGTTTGTCCCAATTAGGGTTTTTATCCTCATCTCCAAATATGGAGACCTAAAACCGTTAACAATGGTGAACCAAAATAGGGAAAGAAAGAGAAACAAAAGAAATAGTAGATACAATTGAGAGGTATTGATATGACATGCCCAATCAACATCACTAGAGGCAAGCAATTGTAAAGAACAAGTGATATGTGTAATCCAAACTCGTAAGTTACTCTCTATTTGGAAGAAGGAATTGAAAATTATATAGAATTCTAAAATGACGGAATTTAGATTTCCATCATTTTAATTTCTAGCAATTGAAGATTTCAGTATTTAGATTTATATATGTCGAATTTTGTAAAGTGATTATGTTTCTAACTATAAGCTCCAAACCCCATGTCTTTGAATTTGGCGTTCCAAAAAAGCCTTTTTTTTCTTCCATCAAAGCCATCCCATTATAATATTGACTTGTATACAACATAGTATTTTAATACGACAAGCACAATTCAAGAAAGAAAAAAAATTTCACATGTTGGTTTAGAATCTGAAACACGAAAAAAAAATTCACTCTTTTATTACCAAGAAAAGGACTTGGTTAATTCTTTTATTTTGTTTTATAATTGTATAGAAGATAATATTTTATTTGATAAAAATAAATCATGTTATCACAATGAATCTCGAGCCTTTACATTTAGAATATATGCAGTTTTGTTTACATACTTTTTGTTAGCAATGATAATATCTTTACGCAATACAAATTAGTATGCAACTGAATTAGCCCAACCCCAAGAATTCTTCTTCAATCCAAAGCATTGATAATATCGAAATTGCAGAAGAAGTAGGCCCAGACCAGGTCAAAGTTTAAGTTGGAATATTGGGCCCTCAAATAGAAAAAAAAAATCTCAAACTTTCAACATGCAGCACTGGACAACTGGGCAGTAGAATTTTCTTGACCCAAGAAGTAAGCAAGAAGAAGGAAATAGAAAAAATTGACCACTTACTGACTTTTATAGATAACAAACAGAAACCTTTGTTTTTGGCTTTGGCTTTTCCGCATTCAAATTTGAAAGTTGAAAAGTTTGAAACAACAAAAAGCTTTTAGTGTGGTGGCTGTCAGAGACAGGCCTGTGGTGCCAAATGGCCCCTCCATAGCTTTCCCTCACCAATATTCAGGCGGTCACTCCTCCACCAGCTTTTCTATTTATTGTCTCTCTCTCTCTCTCTTCTCCTCTTATCTTCTCTGTGTGTGTCAGTTTGAGCAACTGAGCAAGACTTTCTTTTTTCTTGTTTTTGTTCCTGTCTCTCTCTCATACAAGTTTGACAAACAGAAGGAAAGAGATGGAGAGTGAGGATAAGGTGAAGAGAGAAGGTCTTCCTTTGTACGGAGGCAAGTACATACAGTATAACATTCTGGGTAACCTCTTTGAAGTCTCCGCCAAATATGTTCCTCCTATTCACCCTGTCGGTCGCGGTGCATACGGCATCGTTTGGTATCTCTCTCTCCCTACCTGTTATTTATTTTTTATTAAAAAATTCTGAACTTTTTGCTTTCTCTTTCAGTATTTTTTTTTTTTTTTTTTTTTTTTTTTTTTTTTTGCTTTTGAGAATGGTAAAAATATGTTAGGATTCTGGTAAAAGCTGAGTTGGACTTTCACCATGGAATTGAAAAGTTGACTTCAAAATTGAATTGGGGTAGGCTTTAGCTTTAGTTGGGGTTTTGTTTTTCTTGGGTTCTAAATCTGAGATTCAAATCCAATGAGCCACTACTTCATTTTATTCAATTCTGTCTGTATTGTTTTGACTTTGGTTTGGGTGATTTTGTATTTGAATTGGAAATGGCGAGGCTTCTTGCTCATCAACTATCAGGAACAGTTCAAAAAACTTGTGAAGATAGATAGGTCTTTCAAATATTCCTACTGCACTCATTTGATAAATTTGGGAGATTTCTTGGTGAATATGTGGAAATATGTATCTTGATTTTTACTCAATGTACTCGTGAGGCCAAAAAAGAAAAGTAGAGGTGGTTAATATTTCCTGATGGCAGCTGTGCAACAAACTCTGAGACAAAAGAAGAGGTTGCAATCAAGAAGATTGGGAATGCATTTGACAATAGGATCGATGCCAAGAGGACGCTTCGAGAGATCAAGCTTCTTTGCCATATGGATCATGACAATGTAAACCTTTTGCATTCAAATCCCATATCCTCTGCTGTTACTTCCTTTAGCAAATTTGGAAATATCCAAATATGGATAAATGCTTGTTTTTTAAATGTCTGGTCAATGCTATTCATAAGCATACCATAAACTGAAAATCTTATTATAGGGAGTTTTGTTGTTAAGGCTAGTTACACTCGTTTCTTAACTTGTTTTACTGTGGATAATAATTGTATCATTATTTTGCAGATTGTCAAAATTAAGGACATCATAAGGCCAGCAGAGAGGGAAAAGTTCAATGATGTTTACATTGTATATGAACTAATGGATACTGACTTGAATCAGATAATACACTCCAGCCAGGCTTTGACAGATGATCACTGTCAGGTAAGTAGAGCGTCGATATATTATGGACAGTTTTTAGTAGGGATGTGAGAACTAGTTATAGAATAAGGTGAAGCTATTAAGTTTATGATGTCGATGAATCAAGTTCTTCATTGTTCAACAACAGCTCCTTGTCTCTTTGAACAAGAAAATTAAAAGTGACTGCTGCTGCTTAATTACAATTGACATTCTTTACATTTCCAATCAACATACACATAGGTTTAGTGAATGAGGGGGAAACAATCTAACTTGTAGGACTCTATGTAGGTTAGTATAACATAGAAGTGTGATATGTTTGATTAGGACCACCTCAGGGCCATGATGTATACCATTTTCCCCTTAAATTTGCAAAGGCTATTATGTAATGCGTCAAGCCATTCAATGATTAGTTACTTTGTATTGAACATCTGGTTCGTACTTGCTTCTTTTGTTTACTGCTATTTATAAAGTTGTTGCTTCTGTTACTAATCTCTCCTTCCTATGTGTTAGTCATGTTGTATTAGCAACATACATACTCTGATTGTAGTATGAATATGCAACCCTATAAATTCTTTGAGATTGAAACTTAGATCACTTGTCTTAAGCGACACGTAATGTTTTTGGCAGTACTTCCTGTATCAATTGCTGCGGGGATTGAAATACATACACTCTGCAAATGTTTTGCACCGCGATCTGAAACCAAGCAACCTGCTTCTCAATGCAAATTGTGACCTTAAGATTTGTGACTTTGGGCTCGCTAGAACTACATCAGAGACAGATTTCATGACAGAATATGTTGTAACTCGTTGGTATCGAGCCCCTGAGTTACTGCTCAACTGTTCAGAATACACTGCAGCCATTGATATTTGGTCGGTAGGTTGCATTTTCATGGAGATTCTTAGGAGGGAACCACTATTTCCCGGTAAAGACTATGTTCAACAGCTGAGTCTCATAACAGAGGTACTCATTTTCTCTGTAATTCTCTTGCAGTTCTTGAACTTAATAGATGTGATTTAGTGTCAGTTGAGTGTTGTTACATTGTGGACATCCTTTTAGAAGGGACGTCACAACTAGTTACCAATTTGAAAGTTGATACTATTAATTTACGATATTGATGAATCAAGTTTGTGATTGTTCAAAAACAGCTACTAGGTTCACCAGATGATTCAGATCTTGGATTTTTAAGAAGTGATAATGCTAGGAAGTATGTTAAGCAGCTCCCACATGTCCCAAAGCAACCCTTTGTGCAGAAGTTCCCAAACGTCTCGCCACTGGCAATTGATCTTGCAGAAAAAATGCTAGTTTTTGATCCAAGCAAGCGTATAACTGGTAAGTCTCTTAGCATTTGGTAATGATTAATCTTCAATTTTCTCACAAATTTTTGAAATACTAATATCTACCGTCTCATTTGTCATATATAAAAAGTTGAGGAGGCATTGAATCATCCATTTTTATCAAGTCTTCATGAGATCAATGAGGAGCCCGTTTGCCCATCTCCTTTCGTCTTTGATTTCGAGCAGGCAACCCTGGATGAAGAAGATATAAAGGAGCTCGTATGGAGGGAGTCTCTACACTTCAACCCGGATGATATGTTGGGATAATTTTTGTCAGCAGCGATCTAATTTCTGTTTCTGTTTTTTTTTCACTGCTACCACTGGCATCACGTTTAAAGGATGCTTTTGGTTTCAAAAGGTTGGTAATTATCATATGCGAGAAGATTCTATATAAGAAGATCAACTAGGGAGATGGTGTTCTCCGGCGTGTTGAGTGGATGAAATGGCAGCTTCATAACAAGAGTGGTAGTGTTGGTGTGTATAAAAAGAAGGCTTTGTTCTCCTGGCCTTGTTTGGATTTTGATGTGTTTTGTATATTGTAAATCCAATATGATTCAAAACCAAATAAAAATAAGAATATTACCGGGAAAACAGCTCAAAGTGATTATTCTCCTCTGCATGTTGTGTTGAACTTCTTATGAACACCTTGAGAACATTCATGTTAGTGCAGAAGATGAACAATATCATGGTATGGAGAGATGAGAGTGTAGAGATTTTAGCTTCAAACTTAAAAATCTAATTTCCACACCACTTGCGAAGTCCTCTAAAATCTCATGTTAACAAAAGAGTAGAGATTTTCTGTTTAGTAGTTTTCATTCACAAAATTTGAACTTAAAAATCTTCTAAAATATCATTGGACTATTGACCATTTTAAATGAGAACAGTAGATATTAGTATTTCGAATAGTAAATTATTCCAATTTCTTCATATGATTTAGCCTGAATTATAACCGGTCCAATAGAATCGTTTTTTAGAAATAATTCGATCTAATAATAAACCGAAAAACGATCCTATTGGACCGGTTATAATTCGGGCTAAATCATATGAAGAAGATTGATATAATTTACTATTTACACCCAAACCAAACCAAACCAAACAGTGCCACCCTTTCAATTTCTCCAAGTTTTCTCGTTCAGGGCATCAAGTTAGTTAACTTAACCCGCGGGTGGCCTAAATCTAGTTCAGCCTCGCTTGTTTTCTCAGAGCTTCCGAATACTGAGAAAGGCGGGTCATCCTAAATCGAGTTCAGGCTCATTATTTTCTGGACAGTGAGTAACTAACTAGTATTGAAAACTCATAAGAAAGAAAAACAATGAGCCTCCGAATACTGAGAAAGGCTTCGCAGACGCAAAACGCGAAGCAATTATCCTCCAGTTTCTCCAAATTCACACGATCATTCTCTCAGCCCTCCTCACAGTCCAAACCGTCCGTCAATCCCTCCTTTTCATTTTGTTTCTAATTTTTTTTTAAAGGAGAAAAATTTGATGATGTTCGTGAATCGAGAGCACAAATTGGGTTTGATTATGATTAATTTGGCAGGCCTTCCTTTGGCATTGCGTTCGACATCGACGGCGTCGTTTTACGCAGCGAAGCTCCCATCGGAGGCTCTCCTCAGGTCTTCAGAAGATTATACGACGATTCTGGTACCCTCACTTCTTATACCCACCTCCCATTTTTATTTATTTTATATTTTTTTGGGATTTTATTTGAAAATTTTTCAATTTGTGGCCAGGTAATCTTAGCATTCCGTACGTGTTCTTGACAAATGGTAAGTCTGTTGATTTGCTTTTTTATGCTGGGTTTTTGCCACGTGTTATAATCAAAGTAAAATGGTTTTGTTTTGTTCTGTTTTTGTTTTTTTTTTCTGTTTTGAATAGGTGGTGGGTTTACTGAATCTAAAAGAGCCCTTGAGTTAAGTGAACTTTTGGGTGTCAAGATTTCACCTTTACAGGTATTTTTGTTAGAATGACCACAAATTTGATTATTTTATTCAAACTTCTATCATTACGTACTTGCAAATCTGTAATACTAAATACTATTTTTTGACTGCATGGTGTTGCATGCAGGTTTTACAGGGCCATACACCTTTTAAGCAGTTAGTAAACAGGTATGCATGTAAGCTTGAGTTATGGGTCAGAAATTAAGTTTTGTTTAACAAGTTATAGAGGGCGTCTTAGTCTTGCATTGAGTATTGGCAGTGTTGGGGCATGCTTCATTTTTCTCTGCCAACATTGTATATGCCTCTAGGATAAATGTGGGCATCAATAGTTGGGTACCTTAGGGAGAATTACACATGGTGAAAATGAACCTGAGTTCTGTATCTAAGAAAAGCATTTCATTGTTACTTAATGGCAGCACTATGGAATTCCATAAAGGATGCCAATTTGTCACTTCACAACCATGATGTGGAGTGATAATCAAATTGTCACAACTTATTGTGGGAACAATCTTGATCTGTTCTGTTTGTTTGATTGATAGATTTCATCTTTGTCTCATTGTATTCTTCTATTCAAGATTTAAAATTTTGACTACAGATTTGAGAATGAACTCATTGTTGCTGTGGGGAAAGGAGAACCTGCTGCAGTTATGTCTGAATATGGATTTAAGTATGTTTCTGGTTAGATTGTCTAGGCTAATTTGATTTTGGTATGTTGAATTTCTTCACAAATTTGAATAAAATGTCTGATCTGATCTGAGTTTTTTGCTCTTGATTTTCTTTGGGGTTTTTTCCCCTCGTTTCAGAAATGTTCTTTCAATTGATGACTATGCGTCCTGCTTTGAAAACATTGACCCACTAGCACCGTATAAAAAATGGACAACTAAGCAGGTTAAGGAGGTTGCTGCCAGAGACCTTGTATCCTCACAAAGAGTTCAGGCGGCGTTTATAGTTAGTGATTCTGTTGATTGGAGCAGAGACATTCAGGTTATCTTGGACAAGTTTATTTGATCATAATGCTATAGGACGTCATGTATGTACATTCACATTACCAAGAGGATTTAGGATTAATCAATGCCTCATGTTTGTTAGCTAGACATATGAATTACTGAAATGCTATCAATGCTGTCTTTCAAATACTTTCGACAATTTCACCTTATTCCCACTTTCGTGTTCTGTTAGAATTTCTCAAATCTAATGTTAGCCATTTTATAATCATTAAAGTATCAATTGACTAATGATGGATGTTTATACCAGGTTCTATGCGACATTTTAAGAACTGGTGGTCTTCCTGGTCGGGAAATAGGACACCAACCACATCTTTATTTTGCGCATGATGACCTTGCATACCAGGTTGATTCTCCTTCCCCTGTAATAAATTAATTGTTTTCTTGACTCCAATATAAATTCTTGGGTTTCTATGAACTAGTTTTGATAATATAAAATATGTATGATGTACTGACAACGTTCTACTAAAGGTAGGCTGCTTTTCCTACCGAGCGTTTTGGAATGGGAGCTTTCAGAATTGCACTAGAATCCATCTTTAATAGGTAAGCGTAGAAATATCCAAAAAGTGTATCATTTTACGTTTTCCTTCTAATCTTTCAATTAAAATGCTGAGATATGCTCTTCTAAACCCCTTTTGAAGGGGTCGTAACTCAACTGACTACAATTCCACTCAGATGAATTTGTAGCTGATCTCTGAGTTCAAAAGATGGCTCACTAGTTGAAATGGGATGGAATACATGAATGCTGTTTGATAGTGCTGATCATAAATTTGGGTTTTGTCAAAGTTTTAACCCTTAATTAAGTTATACGAAATATAGCTTTGTGTGATGATTATGTTTCATATTACGTACCTTATGAAGGTTAAAGACAAAGAGGCCGATCAAGAGTTTAAGACCAACATGGGAAAAGATAATATGAAAAGATATGTGAAAATTAGAAAAGAATGGAAAATGTGAATTCATTTGGTTGACCTCATATGACTAGGACAAAGGCAAGGATGCTGATGATGATGATTTCATGTGATGAGTTACGCATCATGCTAAAGCTGCTAGTTCAAATTAATATGCAGAATCCATCCTCATGCTCTGGAGTATACAACTTTTGGGAAACCAAATCCATTTGTATTCAATAATGCAGAACTTGTACTTAAGCAACTTGTGTCAGCTCTTCATGATAATCTTCAAGTTGCCAATCAAGCAAATGCTGGAAGTTACCAATTCCAAACACTGTATATGATAGGAGATAATCCTTCGGTTGACATCAATGGTGCACGACAGGTTTGCGTCTCTTGGACTTGAATTTTGGTTGCATAGTTTCTACATGAGTAAAATGAACACTATTTAACTTAAAATCAGAGAAGGAAATAATCAATCATATTTTTCATTTCAGGCGGGTCATCCCTGGTTTTCTATTCTGACAAGGACTGGGGTTTTCAAGGGAAAGGAAAATCATGCCGAATTTCCAGCGGATCTGGTAGTTTTTTAAAACTTTTCCTGCGTGCATGAAAATGTAGTATCATGTTTATTTTATAGTTCGTCCTCCCCTCTTTCTCAGGGGAGGGGTGGAACTTGAGTTTATAGGTAGAGATGTAATTGTTAGATTCTTTATATGCTTGTTCTAGATCTTACACACAATCTGTAATACGTGTAAAGACATGAAGACATACCTGTAGCCATCTTCCTTGAGTACACAGCTTCTGAATTCATCCAATCCATAGCAGCAACAATCCCAGCAAAGACAGGAACCGCTCAAGACTTCTGCTCTATCTCAGAATCTGTTTCAGCTCTCTCTTTATGATGAGAATAGGTTTAGAGAACGTGTCTGATGAGAGCAGGGCCTTTAGCTTATATATGGCTAGGTCAAGTCGTCTCTACTCATCACCGAGGGCCGACTTGACTTATCTTTCAAGCCCACTTAATCGGTTCACACATAAATGGAAATATAATATGACCCCTTAATAGGCCTCAAAACTCTTCCTTATTTCACTAGGTTTTGGGTCTCAAGGTACAACTTAATTTAAATTCTTATTAAACCTGATATGACTTAGTATCTAATGCACCGATCTAAATAGGAAAACATAACAGTAATTGCAAATCTCATGCATTCAAATTTGTTAACAGATACCTGACTATGCATGTGCAGGTTGTTGACACTGTGGAAGAAGCTGTAGACTTTGTTTTGAGAAAGGAATGCATCTCTTAGAGTTTTTTTCTGTACACCTTGTTCTTTTCTTTCTTTTTGGTTCCCCCTCCCCCTCAGATTTTATTAATTTTTGATAAATTTATTTGTGGTTTACAATATTTTTTGAGAACTCCATCTGAAAATATATTTTTAAATTTTATAAGGAGAATTTGGGGGGAGACAATTGAGGTGATATCTTAGATGAACGCCAGTCAGGCTCTCAATTTGGAGAAATACTTACATGAAACGGGAACATCACTATTTTGCTATCCCCGGTCAATCACGGTATGTCACGCGTAACAACTTTTCCACGTGAGACTGTGATTGGCCGAGAATAGCTAAATAGTGATATACCCGTTTCATACAAGTTTTTTTGCTCAATTTGGGATCAATTCATGATGTACTTACAATGCATTATTTGGAGATGAGACAAGAAATCAAATAAGAGAACTGACGCTTTCATTTTGCTTTTGCTATACTGACTCATTTGATACAAAGAATGCAACAGAATGCATTTCATAATACCTAAAGCAAATTACCGTAAGGTGGTTTTTAGTCTTGACCAATTTAACTCCCACCACTAAGCAGTATTTGTGATAAAAAGTTATTTTCTTTTGGTCTGAATTGTGGTGACAAAGTTGGCTCATCCGTAAATGTGGATTGTCTCGTAGTAAAAGGACTCAAAAAACATATGCAATAATTACATTATATAATAGGAGATCCAAAATGTGACTTCACATCCTAATGCAATACAATAAACCTCTGAAAGATTATTATGAGATTATCACCAAAACAAAACTCTTCACTTCAGCCATGCTCAAAGTTGAAAATTGATAACTTGTTTTGGTTGGCTCCCTTGCTTCCCAAGGGCCTTATCTATTGCAGCATTGAAATTGTCAAAAGGAACCAGCTCCATCCTACAAATAGGGAAGCCTCTGATGTTAAACATAGATCAGTTCAAATTAACAAAAGTGGAGTTAAAAAACCAAAAAAGAAGAAGCCAAGTGTATAGTTAATGAAGGAGAACTTACTCATATTTTAACTTCCCTTCCCGTGCTAGGTCCAGGAGGGAATCTATCAAAACTCTACACTCTTTTGCCCTCTCCGTACTCATCCAATTCTGCAACCAGAATCCCCTCAAGGAAAGATCCTGCAAACATAGATATTTGAGACAAGATGACAGAACATAAAAAACATCACAAACAGATAAATGTTGGTGGAACTAATCAGAAATTTCTCTACTAACAGAAACTGGTGGGCAAAAAACTGTGTTGCTTTAAGACAAAAGAAATCCTAAATCCTATTTCTTCATCTCCACCACCAGATGAAGAGCTAACCTAATCTAGGTCTTAAAATGCCTAAAAGGATTTCTGAAACTATACAAACTTTAAATTTCTAATCAAATAGACCTCCTAGGTTTGTAAAAATAAGAGTCAATACAACTTAGTTGGGATGATTGAAGACTAGAATCATATCATCCCATCAATGCATATAATGACACCTGGTCTACTCAATCTATAGTTGGAGCACGCAACCGTCATTGACCTCATCCTGCTTTCTATTGGTATCACCCATATCTAACTGCTTCCTTTTCTTTGTAGTAATCAGATTTTCTTGAAAGCTTTGTTATTGTTCCCTTTCCTATTTCATGGTTTCCCCATGTCTACCTATTTAGCATTCCTTGTCATTTCCACATGTTTGCCTTCACTAACTCGCGGTTCTCGGAGAAAAAAAATAAAATTTGCAGTTTCTGAAGTGCAATATACTTCCCCCAAAAAGTAATAACCACAAAAGTAGAATTTCACTAAGTGGGGGAAAAAAAGAAAGACTTACCTTAAAAATGAAAGATGACGTTGATACAGTAATGGGTTTCTTAGACATTCCACCATATGTCACCATAGTTCCACCCCGCCTAAAAAAATGCAGTACATTTAAAAAAGGACATTAGATTTTGAAAACACTAGGAAAAGGGAACATTGTTTAAAGCATATAGTATTGAGAATCACACCCCAAAAATTTAAGAACCAAAGAAGCAGCATTGCCTCCAACGCAGTTAAATCCTAATGCAGGTTCAGGTATACCAGACTGGCATGTAAATCAGATTAAATACAGAAGATTAGTCAAACAACTCGGAAATAGAGAAAGAATCAAAGTGTAATTTATGATTTGATTAATAAGTCCACAACTTCTAGAAGACCCTTGACAATATCAACTATAATGAGACAATAAAGATATACCAGAAGACCCTTGACATTCTTGACTTCCAGTTGACTCTCAGTAAAAACTTCATCAGCACCAAGGTTTTTGAGTTTCTCTTTTACTTCATCAGACCCAGTCCTGTAGACACCAAACCATGGTCAATTATAGAAAGACACTTTTCAGGAAAGTTTATTTTTCTGGAAGCAGAAATCTAAGTAAATAACTGCATACTCTGCTTAATTATGTACTTTTTATAAAAATAGAAGACATACATCACAGTACACAAGCTGATTTCATATTATCACCTGTCCCTTATTATATTAATGTTATGGATGCCACGATGGTGCGCAAGCTGAATAATGCACTGCCCTACAATGCTTGTGGCTCCATTTTGAACAATAGTATCTCCTATTCAAACCAAATTGCAATCGGTGAGGAGAAGACTAAAGAAAGATGCATAGAAGTTACAGACGGTGCTGTACCTTTGTTTAAAGTAACGAAGTCTTCAAGCATTCTTAGAGCAGTCAAAGGATTAACCGTAATAGTGGCGGCATATTCCAGGGGTGAATTCTTATTTATTTTGTACCATACACTCTGATCCTTCACAATATAAGTCTGCCATGTCCCTAAGAAAAGATTATATATAAAGCCTCATTAAGGTCACAAAAGGCATGCAAACTATGTTCTATAACCACAAATTTGAGAAGATGTGAGAACAAATGAAGAATGTACCGAAAGAAGGCGGAGATGGGATGACTAAATCCCCGGGCAAGAGACCCTTAACTGCAGCTCCGACCGAATGTACCTCTCCTACACCTTCATATCCTCCAACAGCTGGCACTTGTGGCCTCACAGGGTATACCCCTTTCATGGTTCAATGCACAAATCCTCAACTAGTAAGCAACAAATAGTAAATTCAATACAGATAATCTTCAAAATGTGATCTTAACAAGTTTGTCACTATGTTTACTGATGTTAAACTTTCTTTCTTTTTTTATTTAATATTTTTTTGGAAAACCTAACCGTCAAGCAACTGCTCGGAGCACATGTTCAAGTAAAATTAACTCCATTTTCTGAGCAACCAAACGGGTAGTAATGGAACAATAAACCAAATGAGGCAATACCCAAAAAGAAAAAGGAAGAGAAAAAGATAAAAAAAACCTTCAATTCGATTAATATCAGAAGGGTTGATTGGAGCAGCCAACATTTTCACGCACACATCGTTCTCTTTCACTTCAACTGGCGGCAACTGTATCACTCTTCCAACAGCAAAAACCACTAATTAAAAACTTCAAATTTGAAAAAGAAAAAGGAAAAAGGTGAATTTGTAAGACAAAGTTAGAGAGTGACCTGGTGACCCTATCGGGAGGACCGTGTTGCTCGTACACCACAGCCTTTGACGGCGGCGACAAGGTAGTCGAGAACGCCCGGAGGCTTTGGGTTTGGGTTCGCGGGTGGTTAACGGCGTCGTTTAGCGTGAGATTGCCGAGTGGTTTGAGAAATCTGAGAGTCGCTGATCGAACCAGAGACGCCATTTTCAATTTGAGCACCACTCTGCTCCGACTCAGGAAGCTGCAACAAGCTTAAGGAGTTATTCTGTCGTTTAAAACTCGAACCGGGTTCAAAACGGCCCAAACCCGGCTAAAATATTTGAACCTTTAGACCCACTCCTCAGAAAAACACAGACGTCTCAATTTTGGGCCCGCTGGGCCAATCAAAGCTCGTTCCTCTCTCTCTCTCTCTCTCTCTCCACAAGGTATTTTCCTCTCTATTTAATATTATCTGCTTTGCCATTTACTTCTTTTACTTTATGTCTAGTTCAATGGTCTACTAATTTAGTAAATTCATAAGCTTGGTTATAAGCCTCCAAATAGTTTGAGTTGGCCCTTTTTTTTGGTACAAGTTAGTCTAAACAACTAATATGTCATAAGAGTCCGAACCTGAGACTTCTGGTATACAAGTTAATGTTTTTTTTTTCTAAAACCTGAGACGATCTGTCCATTATTTAATCCTTTACCCATCATATTTTCTGTATTATCAAACAGTAATATATCTTCAGTATTTTTGTGATATTAGCACCATGTCTTTAACCCAATTGTGATATTACCTACTTTGTTATGTAAGGGCAAATGTAAACTCCTTTGCCTTTGTTGCTTCATAGACGGGTTTCATTGATGATTTTGAAGTCCAAAGGATCCATTTGGGAAAAATATATCTGAAACCAATGAAAGGTTACATAATTTTACGGTGTCTGCATTTTGCAAATGATTCTGTAGGAGTCTCATAATTTTACTTTACTCTAACTTTGTTTTCTGAAGTTAGAAATAAGTTGTCACATGCTCTGTAGCTAGGTTTTATTCAAGTGCACAGGTGTGTTCATATGTGGGCCTCATTTGGTGGCCGGTTCAGAATGAATTGGAGTTGAGTTTAAGTCAGTCCTTACGAATCTCGCCCTTTTAGATCAACCAATAGACCTCAAAACCATATTCGAGGATTAGAAATTTACACACTATACAAAAGACTTTCCCTGAAAGTTCATTGAAATAATTGCTTCTCAACACATAGATTCTTATTTCAATTTCCTCGTGGGTTGTCTGACTTTTTGTGTGTTTGAATCTTCTATCAAAGTTCCTCTGTGGTAGAAGAATCCACCAAAATCAGCGTAAAAGATTTATTTTTTTAAAATGGGTCAAAAAAACAATCATTTATTTTTGCTTTGCCATTCAAATCATTGTGGAACTTTGCCATTATTCAACAGTCATTGTAGCTCTAAAGTCAAGCTGTCTTTCTTGGTCCATAATAAATATTTTCCCACCAATCAGATTAGGTACTTTCTTGAATGTTCTGTCAGTCTGGTCATGATTTCTAACTCTGTACTTGAAAATTTGATTGAATTTGCAAGCTGCAAAGCAGAATGAATAAAAAAGCACTTTTGGAAATTGTAAACAGGAAGCAGAATGTGATAAATGTGTGGGTAAACTGTATGGAGAAAATGACTTTTGGATCATGGTATTTATTGCTAGACGTTGAAGCACTGTGCCAACATTTAACCTAAAACCTCCTATTTTCTAACATTGAATTAATTGATCTGAAATTCTGAAGCGAACCTTTTTTAGATTTGGTCAAAATGTAAAAACCGCTACGTACGCAGGCGCATGGTTATATGGAATAATTTTTATATTTAAGATCATGTGATGAAAGAGATAAACGTAAACCACAAGGTGTAGTGTGGTTGGCAAACTATCACCTGCAGTTGGAGAGCTACACGGTACCTTAATAACAATGGTTGGAAACCCATTGGAAGCACTTTGTGGCGAGGGATTAGCCGAACCCCAAGCGAGAATTAATCCCACCATTCAGGTGTGGGGACATTTCGTGGTATTTACTCTAAAAAAGGGAAAAAAAAAGAAAAAAAAGAAGAAGAGATAAACGTACAATTTTATATAGTTAGTTGTAGGTAAAGAAAAAATGATGTGGAGAGGGATAAATTCATATTGTCGGTTTGATTGGTCTGGTTTACCAGTGGAGTGGAAGGCAACCACAACATGCCCTTAGTTTGGTCGGTCTGGTTTGCCAGTGGAGTCGAAGGCAACCACAACATGCCCCCATTACTCAGCTCAAGACACATTGTCGCTCACCTAAACCTAAAATAATGAAATTGTAAGCAAGAAGAAAAAGTCACTACCATGCACCGTCACCAGAGCCTTCAACCATCATTGTCATTGCCTCGGGGACCCTGTCATTCTTTATCAATAATAATATTAAGAGAATAACTGATGTGGTAGTGGTTCATTTGTCTTCATTTTTTAATTCAATCGGGATCGTATTATCACATCAATTGATTTCAAAGTTAGTACAATAAGTTGATGTCTCCAATATTATTGATAATATAATTCATTTTTCTCCAAAGATTTGTTGAATTTCAAAGCTATTGTTATCTTAGTAATTAGCATAAAAAGTATAATCACATTTAAATACATTATGGGAAATAATTTGTTTCAATCAATGTCTAATCTCTCGAGGGCCAGCTTTAGCTTGTCTAATACTAACCACTAACCCAGTGTGATCTGGTAGATATTGGCTTTCCATGTGTTACAATTTCTCATGGTGTGTGTCCACTGCCTGAAATAGTGGAATTTTCTAAACCAGTCATAAAGTCATTATAATACTATATATTCTTTTGTGCACCGACCGTGATTGCTTCATGATCAGCCCTTCCAACACGTATTGAGCAATAGGATTGGCTGATTTAATCTTTTATGTAATTTTTTCAAATAGGTGGACCGCAGACTTTTTTAAATTTGTCTTCGCTTCTTTTTAATTAATTAAAGAACATCGAAATTTTGTTTAAAATAAGTGTATTTTTCTGAATTTTTAACAATTAAAAGTGATTCTTAAAGAAGCACCGAAAAACACTTTTGCGATTCAACATCACTACAAATTTTTCTGTCAAACACTATAAAAATATTTTTGATTATTACAAAATGATTTCCGACATTTCAAAAGCAGTCCCAAACCAACTTTTAGTACTTTCTCTAGGCTTACTGTCCGCCATTAATTTCTCCTATTTTCTTGAGGTACACTTTTATAGAGTATATGCCTTAACCACTTGGTTTTACTTTTAACTAAAGTATGACACAAACTGAATAGATTATTCAAAATGATGCAAAAAATTTCTTGCCTTGGGTCATGTGCAAATAGAATAATATTTCTTGCATATTTTGTGCAAATGATGCACACATTTTATATGTATAATTGATTTTGCAAAGTATATATATAGTTATAGGGGTGTTTATTTTTAAAAATAATAAATAATATACGACTCATAAGATTACGGCAATTCACTTTTAGTGAGAGAAGTGAAGATAGAGAGTCTCAAATTCGAATTCTCTTTTGTATAAATTTTTTTTAAAGAAAAATAATAATAACCATTTTCCTAGCCCTTTCGGTGCAATTGGCAAGAAAGTTCAGACCAACTAAATGGTATTTTATCTGATGCTTTTTATTAATTATATTTAAAAAATTGTGTTGAGATTTTATTGCATATAGGGAGAAAACAAAAGAAAATAAATGACAACAGTACTTCTATTTATTGGCAAGAACCTTCTTTTATGCTTTGGAGACGGCAACAAAAGTCAGAGCTGCAAAAGCATACAAAATTTGGTCTTCGGGTTTGACAATAAAAGCTCCAAATTCAATAAAATACGTTGGAAATTAAAATATTCAATGAAAAAGGAAGGATTATAACATATGTTGTTTGTTTAGTAATAGTTTTTAGCAATAATGTTTTCATTTATAGATTGATAGCTATATGTTTTCAATGTAGTTATGGTAGGATCCGGATCCTAGATTGGGAATTTTTTTGCTACGTTTTGATTGACTTTTATTCTCCACCTAACACACATCCTTTAAATGTTTGGCCATTTGAAATACGCCTATTAAAAGCTTAAAACAAGATAACAAAAATTCATTAACAATAATGACATATATTACAACAAAGAGTAGACATTGTCCCTTTTTTTTTACAAACGATAGGGAGATTGCATTCATAAATCACAAGTAGACGTTGTCTTTTTAACACAATAAAAACTCTTTCAACAAGAAATGATCAGAATAGTTTACCGAAACCATTGTAGTCCCTAACGCATCAAATAATATTCACCTAAGCTAAACCCTAAATCCTAATGTGATCAAGTTTATATAAGTTGGAATGGAACTTCAATTTGAAGAAAACTTAACGTGCAAATTGATCAAGTGGTTGTTTTTAAACTAAAACAAGAAACACATGTATAGATTGTATATCAACAACAGAGGGGGAAAAGTCAAGTATTGCGTAGTGGGTAATTCCTCTTTTACCTAAACCATCCCACAACATTTAACAAGAAGAAGGATCTGAAAAAATATTTACCTCTTCTTCTGCTAATTACCCACCTAAATTCTAATAACAATTTGTCGGTTCAAGAGTCGCACAGTAAATTAAATATAGTCAAATCTCATGTGCCAACTACGTAGCCACGTGTCCGAATATTATTGGTTGAATGATTAAATTTTTTATTTTTACTGTTCCGTTTCCCCTAGGAAATAACGCATCATAGTTATGGCGGGCGAGCGCGTGGATCACCGTTCGAACTTTCCTTTTTACAGCAAAGCATTATTAAGTGGAAACGCGTGAACGCAGAGGGCCCCTTTAATGCAATCGGGTGGGCCCCTCTTGGAAGATTTAAAGCACCAAATTTTGTTTAATGGGAGATCTTCCGGTCGTGGGGACTGCTGTGATGTTAAGCCGTCACCGGAGGGTAATGGAAACAAATCTCAGGAAAGAGAGATGTTTGGTTGCCCGAAGAAAAGGACAAAGATATGTTGCGGACCAGCTCGCAACTAAATCGCGTATGCGAATGGGTGAGCGCCACGTCATCAGATCGTTTAGATGATCGCAACACGTAAAAGACAAAACAAAAATAGCGTACCATAGATGCAAAGTTGACCAAACAGGCAAAATATGCCGGAGCGACGGGCTCGGCTCGGATGTTTCCTTAAAACACATGCAGCAGATTAAGGCCCCGTAATTGTAGAGTTTTGAAATTAGCGTGCATTATCAACATCCCTTTTAATTCGGTTAGACTCCGTTGGCTTTATAACTTACTAGACATGCAAGTCTCATAATGTGCATATTGAATTTGGGAAAGTAATTCCCATATATGTTTCCTAAATTGTTGATTCCTGAATGAAGTGGATTTTTAAAACCAAGAAGACTAACTGAGGAGTACAATAGTAACACTCTTACCCTTAATTATATTCACCACTTTTAACTAAGATAAATTAGCTTACTAAATACCGAGGAGCGCTAAGAATATTCTTGTAATGAATTTTTGCTTCTTTGAAATTACCATTAATTATTGTCAATGGGTCTAACTGTATTTGCTAAACGTGTAATGTTATTCTCGATCATATATGACCGCTTCAAAGATAATAAAATTTTAATTATGAAGAACAGAATAGGAAAATAGGAATGAGAGTAATCTCGGCTATAAAAAAAAAATTTAAATCGAAACATATTTATACACATCATATCAATAAAATTATGATCATAGTATCAAAGTGGAGTAACGATATGTGTATAATATTATTCGATTATATTTGTCACATATGTGATGAGTAAATTTATGAGAAATCGTTTTAAAGGTAAGTTGACCGCAAATAAGGGATTTGGTTAGTAAATGTGTTAGAAAAGGGTAAGTGGTAATACGACCCTCTCTGACCCCAAAAAAAGAAATAAAAAACACCCTCGTGTGTGCAACGTGGCTGCTTTTAATTGGTTGAAATTGAATTTAATTTTGCGGTTGATTTGCATTACAGAAGGGAACCCTCCCGTATATATTAGAGAAAAAAGTCACCAAGAAAGTACAGGAGTCTGTCACTTTGTGTCTGAGTTTTGCAACGCTCTCCTTTCTCATTCTGCTCTGCTCTGTTTTCTTGTTCGATTGGTTGGTTTCTATGCTTTTGGTGGCTCTGTTTTTGTGTGCAGTCGAGAGATAAAGGGGTGTGAGCAAACAAGAAAAGGAGAGAGAAAAGGAAAAGGGGTAAGATGAGCTGCTTTTGCTGCACTAAGAAATCAACCAAAGAATCAAAGAAGAAAAATACCAACATCAACGGCAACAAACCCAATCATCAAGGTAATTTTTTTCCAAAATTAATTTTTATTTAATTTTTGGGTCATTGAGATAAACCCATCGGGTAGATGATCATATCTGATTTTCATATTCAGATATTTTCTTGGGATGATTTTAATTTTTACATTGTGGGTTTTGTTTTTTTGGCTATTATTATTTCCCTTTTTGTTTAATTTTTATGGGTGGTAATCTTTTGCCTTACCTGGGTTTATGTTCTTCCCTCTCTGAATTATTTGGTCATCAATTTTTTTAATTTAAAATTTCGGGTTAAAGTTTCTGAACTTGGTTTTGTTTGGTCCTGCTTTGCACCTTGAATCGATTCAAAAGGTCGGTGCCCTCTTTGACTTCGCCATGAAACCACTGTCAATTTTTGAAATTTTGTAATGGATGGAGAAAGAAAGATGGCTCAATTTTTATGTAGTGAGAATGGGCTTTAATCACATTTATAAAATTTTCATACTTTTATATTCATCTGGGTTTGTTAAATTGTTAATTTCTCATCTAGTGCCAAAGTTATTTGTTTTGGTTCTTGTGACTGTTCATTAACACCGCGTCTCATTCATTTTGTTTGTTTGTTTGCGTGATTGGTTGGGAAGGTCCAATCCATAATCCAAAGTCTCATAGTGTTGAATTTTGTCATTTTGTATTTTTGTTTGCATTTAAATTTTAATGACTCCGGTTTTTTCAATCTCATTTTTGAGAAAATGAATCAATATGATTTTTTGGATTTTGGTTACCATGTGCCGAATTTTGTCTTTATGCTTGGCCTTCTCAATCTCACTTACTTACTTGTCTGTGTGCATGTTTGTATTTGTTCATTTTGATATGTCAGAAGTGAATTCAAATGGTAATGTTAAAACGGAATTGGGTGTAAAAAAGGAGGAGGCCTCTAAGGATGACCAGTTATCGTTGGATGCAAAGGAGTGGAATATAAAGGAGGAGGTTTCTAAGGATGGAAAAACCAACGGCAAGCGAGCACAGACATTTAGATTTGATGAACTTGCAGCAGCAACTGACGATTTCAGGTCTGATTGCTTTGTGGGTGAAGGAGGATTCGGAAAAGTTTACAAGGGTCACTTAGAGAAAGTTAACCAGGTTTGTGCAGCTGAGTTTAAGCTCTACCATTAAATCGAACCTCTTGTGATACCTATCAAACCCAAATTGACAAATAGTTTTTTTCTATTGAGTTATGAACTTGTACATTGAACCGAATGCTATTGGGATATCATGAGTTTCCTTTTTATACTCTTGTATCAAATGTTTTTTGTCAATTAATATATGAATTATAAGCTTGAGGGGTGACCCAATTTTGCTATTGTCGTTGGTGTAGGTTGTTGCTATCAAGCAGCTTGATCGTAATGGGTGCCAAGGGATTAGAGAGTTTGTTGTCGAAGTATTGACGCTAAGTCTGGCTGACCACCCTAATCTCGTCAAATTGATTGGGTTTTGTGCCGAGGGAGATCAGAGGCTATTGGTTTATGAATATATGCCATTAGGATCCTTGGAAAACCATTTGCATGGTATGCAACTGACTCACTCCTAAAACCAATCCTTGTTGTATTATCGATTACCTTTTCACTTTCTGTGAAATATGCATCTTATTTTGAGGTGACCATGAGCTATATTTGAATAGTACCCTTTTTTTTTTTTCCTTTACAGATCTTTCACCCAGCAGGAAAGTGCTCGACTGGAATACAAGAATGAAGATAGCAGCTGGTGCGGCAAGGGGTTTAGAGTATCTGCATGAGAAAATGCAGCCCCCTGTTATATATCGTGATCTGAAATGCTCAAACATTTTGCTTGGTGAGGGGTATCATCCAAAGCTATCTGATTTTGGCTTGGCCAAAGTAGGTCCCAGTGGAGATAAGACTCATGTTTCTACTAGGGTTATGGGCACGTATGGGTATTGTGCACCTGATTATGCAATGACAGGTCAGCTGACTTTTAAGTCGGATGTTTATAGCTTTGGGGTTGTTCTTTTGGAGCTTATCACAGGAAGGAAAGCTATTGATAATACAAAACCTGTCAAAGAGCAGAACCTGGTAGCATGGGTAAGATAACTCTAGCACATTGCACTCTCTTCTCTGATATCTACTTTTCCACTCCCTTATATGGTACTGCATAGGTTGAATTAGTTTCGCAGTAGCTGCTGTCCTTTTGTAACATTGTGCGGCAAGCAATAATTATTGGAAATGCTGATTTTCTGGATTTTGCTTTTCTTTATCACTTTTCTTGGTAAAATTTAACTATGTCTGCTGCCCACTGGGATGGATGCGATTTATATAAGTGCTACCAATTAGAATAGCAGTTTGTTGGAACTTATTTTCTTTAGAGATAAAGGGAAATAAATAGGGGCAGCAGTCAGTTGACACTTGAAAGAGACTATCCTTGGAAGTTAGAAGATTTTTTTTATTGCAGTTGATTTTTAGTCTCTATTGTCATCTATAGTTATGTTTTGATATTTTGATATCCAAAGTAGCTTGAATTGTTGAGCATTTCGAATTTTGATAACCTCCGTGTGCAAGAAACTAGCTAATGTAGTTGTCTGCCCTATTTAAAAGCACAAATGAACTTTTACTTTCACTTTAACTGTTATATTGTTTTCAGGCAAGACCCCTGTTCAGATTGGGCTTATAAATCCCTAACCGTTATATTGTTTTCAGGCAAGACCGCTGTTTAGAGACCGGAAGAGATTTTCACAAATGGTGGATCCGTTGCTCCAAGGTCAGTATCCTGTCAGGGGACTATACCAAGCCCTTGCTATTGCTGCAATGTGCGTCCAGGAGCAGCCCAATATGCGGCCTGTCATAACAGATATAGTTACAGCGTTGAATTACCTTGCTTCCCAGAAATATGACCCCCAAATACATCCAGTTCAAAGCTCGAGAAGGGGTTCATCTTCTCCTAGAGGGAGGAGAGATGATGATATAAGGCAGATTGGAGGTAACGGACCAGAGAGAGACTGAGCTGGAGGACTAAATTAAGAATAAAGCAGCCAATACCATTTTGTGATTGTAGATGATGTGCCTAGTTATCAATTTTTGCATCATAGAAGATAACAGGTACTACTGCCATTCTTAATATTCACATACAGAGAGTTTCTGCTTTTTTTCTTCCTCCAGTGTACATGAGAGCTGACGTTCTTGTATGTAAAAATGCTTCATTGTAGGAACTTTTTTTCATTTTATTAGTTAGCCTTATTAATTTCTATAATAGTTCCATTCTTTTGCCTACCGTCCCCCCCCCCCCCCCCCCCCCCCCCCCCTCCTTTTTTTTCTTACTTTTTTTTTCCCTAGATGTTTGCGTTTGTTTCGTTTTGCTTTTCTCTAGCACAATAAATGCATCATGATGGATGTTCTCATGGGTAAGCTTTATGATAAAAAAAGAAGTGGACATATCTACTTCCTCCCGTCTCCATTACTTTCTTGTTCCCTGGATGTTTGCGTCGTTTCGTTTTGCTTTTCTCAAGCACAATAACTGCATCATGACGGATGTTCCCATGGGTAAGCTTTATCATAAAAAAAGTCGACATATCTACTTCCTCATGTCTCCATGCAGGTAATGTGGAATATCATTGTTGGATGCAATGTGAAAACTTGACGAGCCTGGCCTTCTCGTTGACTCGATGCAAAGAGGGAACTTGGAGGTTCTGGTGAATGATTTGTTAATGTGTAGCTGGGGGTTGAGAGGGTGGTAAGTTTTGATGTTGGTTTTTGCATGGTGATTGGAGAGCTGGTCTGCAATTCCTCTCTTAGCCAGATGCTTACAAGCATCCCCAAAATGACACCACTGTAAAAACCTAGGCTGCCAAAGAGCTTAGAGTTTCTTTGGCATCGCAACATTTCCTGGCACTTCCACATCTAGAGGCGCTGATAGAGCCATGGAATGTACTTTTTTTGTATGGGTCATTTCAAAGTGACTTACACTTCATATTAAAGTAACATGGAAAAAAGACGTTAACGTCTTTTATTTTGGGTAGCGATTTTGGCACTTCTCTTTTAACCTAATTTATTTTTTTGTTGGTAAATGCTATTTACTTTGACAATTGTGAGCCTCAAGTCGTTGGTTCCAAAGTTCCCCCAAAATCATGGCATCCATCCAAGAAGTTCATCCAATATTGCCAGTCCATTTCATCAAGACCCGCTCTGAAAAAGTTGGCATTTGTGACAGTCGTGCATGAACTCTTATTAATGACGCGTTTAATCATTAACGAGTCATTTTTCCTCATGAGGATGAATGACACGTGTAATCATACATCGTCAAGAAGTACCATTATACCCTTATCTAAGTCCATGTAAACGCGCATATCTCCACTCGTTTTCAACCCACATCTCCATCCGTGCAAAAAGGGTATAATGGTCTCCGTGCAAAAAGGGTTGGTTTTCTAAAAGTTCTTGAATAGGAAGCATTTTTGCGTAATTGCTTTGGACCAACCATTTAACCATAAAATCTGGTCCAATTAGTATAATCAAAAGGGCCATCATGTTTTATGCTTTCATCAATGCGACTTGTATGGTTAACAACTCTAGACTACAATGCTTTGAGTTGAACTTATAATATTTGCAAATATATAATTTTCAATGTCATTTTCTTGTCCCAAATGTTTACCAACTTTCAACCTTTTATCTTCTACGACGTATCAAAATTAGAATCATCCTATACTCACAATAAAAGTTTGACTCTCGTTTCCTTCATTTTTCAACTATAAACTTCATTTGAGTTAAAAGAAGTGACAAAACAAACGAAAAATAGTTCTAAGGGCGAGACTTTTCGAGGTCTAGAAACTATGATAGATAATGGATAGTTGGATTCTTTTTCCCCCTAATCTAGGCTACGGTGAGCTATTCAACTCATAGAACTATTCATCTGCTAAAGCTGTCTTGTTCAAACCACAATAAATAGGAGAAATCAAATATGCATTACCAATATATTAGGTTAAATAATATTTTTTTTTCTTTGCCAAAGTTAGGAAGGAGGGGTTTTCTCACACACTATCAATGTGCCATGAGAATTCGATCGAACCTAAGACTATTGGTCTGCAAGTTAATGTCTTTTTCAATTGGATTAGACCCTATTAATAATTAAATAAACTATATTAAAGTATAGGAGATGGAGAGGGTTAATTGTAGGGGTTAGATGATTTAGATGGGGTTGAAAGGTTAGGTAGGTAGAGTAGGGTATTATTAATTTTTTTTAACCCAGGTCCTTAGACGTTCTTAAAAAAAAGCAATATGAAAATAATATTTTTGTTGAAATGGTGGGTGAGGAAAATACGATACGTGGGTGAAAATAGCAGTAGTTTAATTATAATTGCTCTCCCTCCAGCCTGTTTTGCTTCTATGAAGAGAAGTGATAGGTGAATCTATGGACAGTCAAGTATTCTCTCTGGACACCCTAATAATTGCTTGCTTGTGTAGGGCTGGTAATGGGTCGTGCCGTGTCTTGTTGGGATTATATACGTGTCAAGAATACAAAACCTATACCCGGCCCATTTAATAAATGTGTCATTTATGGGTTGACTTGTTAATTTTCTGTGCAGGTTTCGAGTTGTGTCGGTCGACCTGCTAAGTGGTAACAAATAAAATAAATAAGTAAAAATGCTAAATTTTGATAATTTAATCAAGTAAGTGCATTTTTTATTCTTATTTATATAAAATAGTGATTACATTTTGCATGTCTCTATGTATGAAGATTGAGAAAGAAAAATAAAAGTAATTTAAAAAATGAAAAAAATGAAGAAAAAATAAAGAAATGGGTTGGTGGGTTACATAGTTATTTTAGCAAGTTGGTGGGTTATATAGGTATTTTAGCGGGTTGACCTAAATCCCACTAGTTTATAAATGGGTCAGTGGTGAGTTGACTCGAAAGTTTAATCGTGCGGATTTCAAATCGTGTATGGGGTCGTATTGGAAATTGCCACACCAACAAAGATTTGTTTATGGAATTGGGTGTCTAAAAATCAAATTAATGGGTGTCCATATATTAGTTCCTTACAATACAAGTCACCGACCTGTCTAACTCACATGCATTCCACTTGCAAAAATATTCCCGCCCAAAGTCGTTAAGAATCCGAACAAACAAACAACCCTAAAATCAAAACCCTCGTAAATTCACAATTCACAACCCCACAAATCCACCCAAAAAAGAAAAAATGCAGCAGAGACTTTGGTCTTTCTCTTCTCGAGTGCCTGATCAAGAGCATGCTGTTGTGGCCATTCGCAGCGCAGCTCCACAGCAACCGCAGCTGAAGCACCACCACCACCACACTCCAAGAACAAACCCAGATGGCCTTCCGCACTACGATCCGCGTTCCGGCTTCGGAAAGAAGGAGGGTTCTTGGAGATCGGTGTCAGCGGAGAAGTGGATCCATGTCATTCCTGTGATTGTGCTCTTCTGCCTCTTTGTGCTCTGGTGGTTCTCTGTTTCAGGTATTACGAATTGGGACAGAGTTTGGGTTTCTTGGGTTTATCTGTTTGATTTCTTTGATGGGTTTCTGTTTCTTGGTAATTGATGGTTTTGATTTCTTGTTCGTTCTGCTTGTGAAAAGAAATCACCATTTGGGAAAATGGGTGTTTCCTGTTTGGTCTGGAATTTGTTTCTTGGGAGTGAAGATTGAGTTGTTGCATCGATTTTTTTGGAAACTGTTACATGTGTCCTGTGTTTGACTCTTAGGTATTACAAACTGGGACAAAGTTTCAATCTCTTGTTTTTCTCTGCTTGATTTCTTTGATGGGTTTCTGTTCTTGCTTTGATTTCTTGTTCACTGAAAACAAATTGCTGTTGCCGAAAAATGGTATAACCTATGATTTCTTTGATTCTTTTGGAAATTGGTACTTCTGTTCTGTATAGAAATTTTACTGTTTGTTTATTTGAAAAGCAAGTTGGACAAAGATTCAAGCCTTTGGTTTCATTCTTCTTCTTTCTTTCTCTAATGGGTTTCTGTTTCTTGATAATTGCTTGTTGGGATTTCGTCTTCATTCTGTTTGTGAAAATAGGCTGCTGTTTGGGGACATGAGTATTTTCTGTTTGCTCTGAAATTAGTTTCGTGGGAGGGAAAATTGAGTTATTCCTTTGGTTGTTTTGGAAATTGTACTATTGTATATGATTTGAAAGGGAAATAAAATAGCATTAAGCATTAGCATGGCTGCATAAGAGACTTACACAAGAGATAGATCTTAATCTGTTACTTAAATTTGTTTCTTTGTGTTGTCTTTGTTTGGAAGCAGTAAAAGTGGTGAGCGTTGACGGCAGAATTACAGCTATACGTGAAACTGAGATACCACTCCCTCTCAACGAGACTCGAATTGATATCGCAATCTTGGCAGCTGCTGCTATGTCACCAATAGCCTCGGTTCCTCAGAATCTCACAGTGAACAAGGCAACTGAAGTTCCAAGTGCTGAGAAAGAATGACTGAAGGACAATTTTCTTTTGTCTATAATAAAATAGCTTTGAGGAATCTATTTCTGTCAATCTTGTATTAGGGACTGAGATAGAGTCCAATAGCCAACTTTGTAGGTGTAAAAAGTTTAGAACTGTGATTCATGGGGGAAACTATGAGACGTTTATACTTGGTTTTGCTTGACCTTGCGCCGACGAACCAGCAAGGAACTTGTTGTAGTTAGAATTTATAGAGATAAGAATAGTGAATGGTTTGCTTGGATCAAATTTACATAGAATGTAAGAGCAATGAATTCCCAGCTGTAGCTGGCTCATTTCACGATTGAAAATATTCAAATTTTCTTCTGTTGACTTTCCGCTGACACTAAAGCTAACAAGTGCCTTCTGCATTCTGTTTCCCTTCAAAAATTTCCATTGATCTTATTCCTATATCCCTCAAGAATCTGGGAAAGTGGGAAAAATAAACAGATACAAAAATAGATCAAGGAAATGTGTCTCTATTGCTGCTACAACTCACTAACCTCACCTACTCTGCAATAGTCAATCATTAGGTACATGGTCGTGTTCTTTTGTGACGGAAGAATTCTACAACAGTCTCTCCTTGGTGACTGCAAAAGAAATATTCTTTCAGTTAGTAATGGAATTATACAAATGTGGAATTTTTTTTAATGCCAAGCATCTTTAGTTAACAAATCCTGAAAAACAAACTTTCTTACATCATGTGTCAAATAATGGCATACCTTTTGCCAACGAAGAGGATCTGGCCTTTTAAAGACTACAACAGTATCAATTGTTTCTGGTGAGGCCATTTTCCATCGGCAGTGAGGAATCGGGAATTTTTGACGAGTATAGTAAGCAACAATTTTCTTTCTACCTTCATCATACCGGGTTGAGTTCATATAGAAAATGAAGGCCTTCTGACATGGATGCTTGTAGACAGGCCTAGTGTTGAATGCATATGCTGTGTAATCAGCTCTTCTATACCAATTCAGAAAAGTCCTTGAGGGCGTCTCTAGTTCTCTTGGAGAAATGATTCCCCTAAAGATTTGAACTACATAACCCCAAGAAATGGAGATGGACCAGTATCGATCTTTGTCGTAACAGATTGTTTGCTGCATAACACTAGCTGAGTCGAGCTTGACGGTTTGAAATAGATGGTGAAGTGCTTTCACTCGGGTCATGTGTGGGAATATTGGTTCCACTACATCAAGGTGGTGAAGGGAAACCAGTGGAGTCACAGGATGGGCACTCAGCAGGCCTAGCAGATCTCCATACACATCATACTGCACAACCACAATAAACAGCATTTTCAGAATTGCAAATGAAGGTCACACACACAATTCACAGTTTGCATTTGGAATTTCTTCCTACAATTCATCCATATTGAGGAATGTAAAAGCTACCAAATGACATGTGACTGTTTTCTAAGTCAGAAATAAAAGTTCAAAGATAGTTATTCTTTGAAACTGGTGAAAACAAAAATAGTTATTCTTACCTGATGAAATCCAGTTTCCTTGGTAAGTGGCACGCCCAGCTCAGTCATACAAGCCTGCATTCTGTCATCACTGCCATATAACCCCGGATAGCGTTGGATGCACCGGTCCTGCATCTTTTCCAGCTCCACAGCCAAGGGATAACTTATAGCAAAACCCCCTCCACCATATGCCATTGAATATGAGAAAAATATGTTCTGAATGTGACTCTCCGATGAGCTTCCTACATAATAAAATTGTGTGTGGTCATACTTGTTGAGAACTCTCACCACATTTTCCACCATGAAAACTGTGTCATCATCCCCCATTACAAACCACCTCACATCCTTCACTCCAAGCCTCAATGTCTCCGAAACCACCCTCGAAATCCTCAATGCAGATCTCTGTCCTTGGCGATTTGTGTACTTAAATCCTCTGGTGTCCCCTGAAATCCGAATCTCGGGCAGTCCCTCGTTTCTTCTAGTCCTGACTCTTTTGTCCAACCAAACGACCCCTCGAGTCTCCTTAGGCCTCCACCACACTTTGATGTACTCCTTCCTCTTTTCCCACAAATTCGACGAAGCTGCTATCCCAAACATAATGTGTTTAAGCTCCGTATCGAATCTCTGAGGCCTTTGTGCAAGTGCAGGTACTTGTGAGGCTTCTTCTTCTTTATTTTCCACGAGTTTAATATCAGAGGTAGTGACATTGGAGAGGCCTTCAAGATGTCGTGCCGTGGCGGTTGGACAATCTTGACGATCATAGAGGAGGTGGTTGGAAGAGTAGAGAACATAGAGAACAGAAACTGTGAGAAAAACCCAAGTGAGGGTGGCTCTGAAGCCTATCATTTGGGCCACTGCAGGTGCTGATTTCTTCTCAGAGTCTTCAAATTTGTGGCTGTTGTTGTTGTTGATGCTGCTGCCTCCCATTTGAGTTGAGTTTGGTTTGGAGAAAGGAGGTGGCAGAAAGATTAGTTGGCCTTTCAAAATTGTTCGGATCAAAGAGAGAGATGGAGGGTGGTGTGTTAAGTGTCCTAAAGTTTGTTGTGGAATGAACGAAGTTGAATGCGGGGAACTCGGTAGTTAATTGACCTTTCTGCCTAAATGACACATTTTGGTCGTGTCCTCCGGGTATGTATGTGCAACTTTAAATTGCTAGGAGAAGAAAAAAAGTTGTATGGTTTGTGGGGATGCAGGACCTTTTTATGAGAAATTCCTGTACTCTTTCCCATGAAATCTGGTCACGTGATTAGCACGTGAGCAATTGAATGTGAGCAGGAAGTTGTATTTAAACAAAAATGGGTAAGAAATGTCATGCCACGTGATTGACTGAGTATAGTGGTGGAGTAAGAAATTTGTCATTATGAGCAATATAAAAACTCTTACACATACATATGTAGGTTAGGTCAATTGGCTAACAACGTGTGTCCATTTATTGCATTTGAGTTCAAATTCCTATCCCTGTAAATTATAGTAATTTAAAATATCACCTTATGAAGAAAAAGTCTTACAAACAAAAAACTCTTTGATACATTTCATTAAATATTATTAAGAGTAATTACCCTTGCATTTGAGGTCTTGTGTTCGATTCAACCCCCCCTAAATATCGCATGTATTAAATAAAAAAACAGTTACCCCTCCATTTAAAGAAAAACTCAAACAATAGAATTAAAGTTGCATATTTAATACATCTATATATATAAAGCAAAAGGCAGAGAATGGTGAAACATTCAAAATACTAGAAAATGCCATTGGTTAATGCAAACATTAAGAATTGAAATTATTAATTAAATGAGGATAATATGGTAAATTCTCACTTTTTCATATTAAAAAAAATTAAAATTAAAAGAAAAATAAAATAATGGATCATATTTTTATGGAACACAACTACCCATTATCTTTTTTAATTCTAAAATAAATTTAAATTTTTTAAAAAAAAGCCTCTCGCAGGTGCTGAAGCGCATGCAGAGAGGATAGTTGAGAATAAAGAAAAAGTTATTGGGATCAATTGCCCCACTTGGCTTCGCCACTTAATTTGAGTGGGATGTAGCACAGTTAAAATATGTCATGTGTTACAAGTTTTTGTCAATAATTCAAGTTTCGTAATTAATAATATGTTTAACTTGACGGTACCTGCCACTCAACGTATAACACTATAGGCCAATCTAACAAGTGTTTCATATTACATGGAGAGTGACAAACAAGTAGTAATTTGTTCCATGAGAGTTGAGGCCACAAGAACCTAAAAGTTCCTTTGTTCCATTGGACCCTTCGTCTTTAGTTGGAGAGAGACTCTCGTGCAACGGAGATAACACTTTTTTTTATCTCCGATAAATAAAACAATGACACATGAGATGACTTTTTCAAGTGTCATTATGTTACTATTTGGGGATAGCAAAATAGTGTTATTCCTCTTACAAGTAATGGTTTTTTTCCTTTGGTTGTGAAGCAACCTGGAGCCCACAAATTGACCTAAAGTGCTTGAGTCATCATTGTGCCAAGAATTGGAAAAAGCCCAGTACCCAATTTGGGCCATAACCAAGTTATTGTCTTACATGGGTCATGAGTCTCATGACCCAAATCAAACCCACAAACAATTGTGAAATTGACAATGACATCAAAGTGTGTGTGTGAGAGAGAGAGAGAGAGAAAGATCCAGTGTGACGCAGACAAGTGTAGGTTAGTGTGTGGCTCAATGGCTTCTTTAGAACTTTATGGCACCACATGGCGGCATGATTCCCATGCCCTCCAACTCCAAGAAATAGCAATCAATCACAATCGTTGGGACCATCTTGGTTCTATCTGCCAGACCACAGTGGGGCCTACCAGGAAAGAGGCAGTACTTCACCAACAGTGGGGGTGTCTGATGTGATCCCATCAAGCCGTGAACGGATAAGATGTTCTGTAAAAAAAGTAGTTCACGTGGCCATGGGACCTACCACATGTGTGAGTACCACATAATTAATGTGTGAGTATCATATATTTACTTTATTTAGCCTGGTTTCCTGATTTTAAATTGTAATTTGTGAAGGCTTTATCATTACCCAAAAAGAGTAAATAATTTAAAAAAAAATTGTAAATGCTTTATAACATAAATAATCGTATGTATTTGTTATTAGCTTTTCTGCACGCGTCTCTGCTTTAGCAATTGTTTTTTTTTTATTTTTAATATAAAAAAATTAAAATTATTTTAGAATTAAAAAAATAATAGGTAGTTGTGTTCCATAAAAATAGGATCCATTATCTGATTTTAATTTTAATTTTTTAAATATGAAAAAATGTGAATTTATCATATTATCCTCATTTAATTAATAATTTCAATTTTTAATGTTTGCATTAACCAAAGGCATTTTATGATATTTTGAATGTTTAACCATTTTTTGCCTTTTACTTTATATATAGAAGATAATAACCGAAAGGTAAATGACATCCATCTATGTCATTCCAATAATTTTTATAATAAGTTGTTTGTATAGATAAATTTAGACATGTAAACATTTATATATATATATATATATATATTTTAAACTTTACACAATTATATATGTAGAAATAATTAAGAGTATTACAACATGTATCTAGCATTTCTTAATCATGATTTGAGTTATTGAAATAGCCCTTGTATACAACGAGTAAGGTTTTTCTCCCAATCTCAACTTGTATTCATCATGAACCAACAATCAACTTGTATCCATCATGAATAGATTCGGGTTTCTATTCCTCCTGTTCTTTTGATGATACCATAATTTTGAGAACTAGAAAAAATTGAAAGAACGATTTTGAACAGGACAATACATTTTGCCAAGCATAAATTGGAACTTGGCCAAGCATAAATAGATTCTTTTAACTTTCTTAATTCGTTCATTTGCACCCTTACGCTACGTTTGGTGGGCCAATAGAACTACACTATCATACTGAAGCTAGTCACGACTAGACATCGAACAATATCATTCATGTGAGTCGAACTTGAAATTTCTTCCAATCAAGTCGAGACTCGAGACAAATACCACTACTTCGACAAATACCACTACTTTCTTTACTTTTTGTATACGTGCTAGTTTCACCTGAGGACAATTGTGCTCCTACAACTACAATTATCTTTATCAAACTTTAAACAGTTATCCATAACTTTCACTTTGTAGTTACTAATTATGGAAAGGTTATCCAAGACCCTAGTAACGTTTTTAAGCCACCAGCAGCTTTTGAAGGCCCAAAAAAGACAATCTTTTGGTTCTTAAAAAAACGGTAACAAAGTTACAAAACCTAATGATAACATTCGAGAAAGTTTGATTCCCCACGAGCTATATATATATATAGTTATATCTCCTTTGTTTCTCTTTTCCAATGTATAATCTTAGAAATCTTACTTTCTATCTGGTCTCATATTTTGTACTACTTTACCAAGAACATGAATACGTGCCACTAGTGAGAGACACAAAAACATAGGAAGCATTGCTGAGCGAGCTCCCAACGTGCTGTGCTTGATGAAGGCCTCTTAGATCTGCTGCTGCTTTCTGCTTTCTGGTTCTGGTTCTGCTTCTATTTCTGCTTTTGTTGCTGCCTGCCAGCTCATTTCTACTCTGTAAATAAACCAGCCAGAAAATCTTTGAAGGTAAGAGAGATTTAGAAGCAGAGAAAACTATACATATAATTAGAAGGTATGCAGTTTTGTTATAGGAATATGTGCAGGAGCCATGTGAGAGTTTGGTATGGGGAGGGATGGGAGGCCAAACCTTTCCGACAATCATTCTATCTTTCTTGTGTTTTCTCTAATCTCAGTCTTTTTGCCCATTAAAAGTGCTCCCTTGCCCATTATCTTTTCGTCCCCTTCTCTCTTCTTCCTCTCTCTCCCAATTATTTTCTTCAAATAAACCCATCAAAATTAAGCTTATTTGCCATATATATGGAGTAGTTGAGTATATATTCTTCTTAGGACAATTGTTTCTAACAGCAGCACACAAGTTCACTTGAGGTACTACTTGCCATCTTATTTTCTTCTGTTTCTTCAATTCTACAATAATATATTCCATCTGGGTTCCTCAGAAAATGGAAGAAAATTGAATCAAACAAGCTTTTAGGTTCAATGATGGTTTCAGTTCATCAACATGATCACTTCTTTTGTTTTGTTTTTTTTTCTTTTTGGGATCCTGGATCTTGATAAACTAAAACCATCATTGATTTTTTTTTTTTTTTTTTTTTTTTTTTTTTTTTAATATGATTAACTACTTGAGCTGCAAGGTTTTCTTTTTTCTTTTTCTTGAGACTTTATATGCCAAAGCCAAATGATGCCTAATTTACAAGGTGTCTGTTTAAATTCTTCATCTCTGCTTAATTTGGCTTGGCAAACTTATTGCCTAAGTTATTTCTTTTTCTATATATATGAATTTATGTTGTGCCTATGTTTCAATGACTTACACAAACTAAGCTTTTGTTAAATGTCATGTGATCATGTCTTCTGTGAATTATTTCCCACTCATGGGCATGGCCAAAAGCAAGGCAGGACTGTGGTGGCACACACACCCAATCTAAGCTCCCACCCTGACCTCTTGTTCAAGTGTTGGCACAGTTTGCCATTGAAATTCAAAGTGCATGCCAGCATGTCTATTCTTTCAGTCACCTAACTTGTCTCTCTTGGCCAAACTCTGCCCTTAGAAATATGAGGTGCTCAGAAAATATCTATAACTTAACTAACCCAAAGTCATCAGTTGGGTTACGTGATCTGAGACTTGAGATGACATAAACACCCCTTGAAATTCCTTGTATTTGCTTTACTGATTTGTTTCTAAGTCCACATCAATCCAAAAGTTTGCACATCACCCCTCTTGTCCTGAGTCTATTGTTCATAAAGCCAGCCATCCAACACCAACTCTCACACACTGCAGCCCCACAAATGAGGCTCATTGAGTGCAAGGAAAATAAGCATTAGTCCACAATTGTCCATCACTTATGTGTGTTGACATGGATCGTTCATTCTATTTCACTCCCATTTTTTGTAATATCTTCTAGGCGTTAGCCATTTCGGGGTCCATTTTGCAATGTGTCGTCATTGTTAGAATCATTAACTTTTGTCCCATTTTAACTATTATATTCATGCGGAAAAAAAGAAGAAGCTAAATGAGACATTATTTAGCAACATATAACTATGATTAAACGACAAAACTTCCGATAAACATTGAAATTAGTATGGTATTACCGAAATTGTTGGATAACTTTTTTCATATGTGATTGATTTTTTGCAGAAATGATCTTTAAAGAAGTTTGATGATATAGCTCGGAACTAATTAAGCATGCTCTATTAATTTAGATTTACAACCTAACATCTGAATTATGATACTAATATCAAAACATCATTTTCATGGACATGGTGATATAAACACATAACATTTGTTTAGATAAAATTATACAAGGTTTATATTGCAGGCTTTACTTATTTATTTTTTCTTTCGTTATTTGATATTCATGCAGAGATATTATTATGGAAGACGAACCAGACACAACGCCACCCTCTCTCATCCCACCATTCCCAAGAGACTCACGCGGCTCCCTCGAAGTCTTCAACCCCTCCTCCTCCTCCACCTTCTCCACTTCCACCTCATCTTTCCGCTCCCAACACACGTGGCAAAGCTGGATAGACCCACATGGTGGCACCACCCTCGAACCCGAGCCGGTACCCAAACTCACCTCCAAGTCCACCCGAGCCGACGACATCACCACCTCATGGTTGGCCCTCAAGGACGACGACGCCCCCCCAACAGCCCCATCTCCACCGTCCATTCACCACACAATCTCCGCCGTCGACGGGAACGACAAGTCGTCTGCTCCCCCCGACGACGCCGCGCAGAGAGCCGCGGAGTGGGGGCTGGTGCTGAAGACGGACACCGAGACGGGGAAGCTGCAAGGGGTGGGCGCTCGGACCTCGGGAGGACCCGAAGACCCGAATTCCAAACCGGGTCAGAGCGGCGCCGCTTCTTCTAGAAGGACATCGAACAATTCGGTTCAGAGCTCCGGCGAGTTCTCGTCCGAAGACGTCTTCGGAGGGAAAGAGAGAGGGATACCGAGAGCTTCGAACGATTTGAAAGACGCGCTGTCGACGTTTCAGCAGACGTTCGTGGTTTCGGACGCTACTAAACCCGATTACCCGATTATGTACGCCAGTGCCGGGTTTTTCAAAATGACCGGGTACACTTCCAAAGAGGTTATCGGCAGAAACTGGTACTGTTTTACTGTTGTTGGTTTATTTATTTATTTTTTTATAGCAATACAAATGATAGTCTAAATTATTATATATTAATTTAATTTACTAAATACTTAAACTTGGATGCAAGCTCGGAGACTCATCACCCTCCTCATTTGACCTAATTCACTTTATATTAATTTAATTTATCAAAGAACTCGAACTTAAGTGCAAACGAACTTGGGTGCAAATGATAGCCTAGCTTACTACACTGGCCAACTACATTTGCTTGATTTTGAAGTGTTTTTACTGTGTTAATTTTTTTTGGGAGGGTTTTGTTAACGGTAATAACGGTCTGAATTGGGAGGAGGGTAGTTTTGACAATTTGGGATTTGTGGGGTCCGCTGTTTGCAGCCGGTTTTTACAAGGAGCGGGCACGGACCCGGAAGACGTGGCGCAGATAAGGGAGGCTTTGGAAAGGAACACGAGTTACTGTGGGAGGCTACTGAATTATAAGAAAGATGGGACCCCTTTTTGGAATTTACTCACTATTGCCCCCATCAAGGACGAGACTGGGAAAGTTCTCAAATTCATTGGGTTAGTCTCTTTCTTTTTGGATATTTTTTTCCTTCTTATATTTGAATGTTAGTTTGACTTATTACCAATGTGTAAGCCAAACATGTTGAAATAATGATCTACTTAATAAAGTTGATACAAAAATAATATGCTTAAGTTACCGGTCAAATTGACAGTCTAACAGTATAACATATCAAATATGAAAAAAAAAGGTTTAAATTCACTGTCCGACAACATAACATATGAAATAAGAGAAAATTTTTAATTGGTTTATATAATCATGGGGTGTGGGGTAGTAGAATTTCTACTGTAGAAACATGCTCAAGCACCTGATTGATTGAGTAGCAGCAAGCGGCCAAACACACACACATGTAAAGTCTAATAATAATGATCCTACTTTTGTTCCAAACTGGGCAGCCCCATTCTATCGACTTCACTTTCCAGATTCAATTTCGATATCATTGCACTGGATTGTGGACCTTCCTGTTATGAACTTTGCCAAGTAGCCATGTATATGTTCTTGCTGCCATTCGAATTCGATACTCGATGGACGGTGATGGATGGACATGGACATGGACATGGCATGGAAGACAAGGGGGGAATGTTCGATGGGGAATTTTTTGCATGCATGGGATATAATTTTGATACGTTGTTTGCTGATTTGGCAGAATGCAAGTGGAGGTGAGCAAGCATACTGAGGGGTCCAAGGATAAGATGCTGCGTCCTAATGGATTGCCTGAGTCTTTGATTCGATATGATGGTATTGTACCCTTCCCCTTTTGTTTTTGTTTTCTTTACCAGATTTTGTTGGGGCAAATAATTGAACCAATATTAGCCATGAACTACACTGTTTGATAAAAAATGAAGAGACTGATAAAGAAATTTGCTCCTGTGGGCTTTGCAATTACTACAAATATTCAACAACAAAAAAAACCATTTAATTCCTAATCGGAAATGGAGAAATCTGTATTTCTACAGAATATAATTTCTCATTCCCATTGTTGTCTCATTGCAACCGCCCAAGTTGAAATTGTGGAACGCTATAATTTTTGTTTCCAGCAAGAACGTGGACGCTCTGTGAATTATATTTATGTTATGTATCTTCTCTAAAGTAAGCCAGAACTTGAACTGAGCATCAGTTTGGTAGTAGAGATCAACATAAATGTTGTTAAACATAGTATTGCTTTCTACCAGTCAAAGGTTTTTGTGCTAAATTGCCATCAAACTCTAGCTTTTTTTCTCCGAATATGGCACACCACCGGCATATTTGACATTGCCACTTGATGGACTAAATGTGAATCATGACAATAATTGCCAGATTGTCTTAGTTTTTGAAGTGATAAGACATGACATAAAACTCTTTTTCCAGTTTTCCTTTGAGCTAACTGATAACTGGTCTTATTGCAGCTCGTCAGAAAGAAATGGCTTCAAATTCAGTATCTGAACTAGTGCAGGCAGTGAAAAGACCCCGGTCACTTAGCGAGTCAATGAATCACCCCTTGTTTAGAAAGTCAGAAGGTGGCCGGACAGAGGAGAGAACAGTAACGCTAGGGAGGAGAAACTCAGAGAGTGTGGCTCCACTTAGACGGAATTCACGTGGGGATCATCCTAAAATCTCAATGCAGCGTATCAGCGAGTTGCCTGAAAAGAAACAGAAAAAAACTAGCCGACTTTCTTTCATGGGGTATAATTTAATTCACTTTAACATTCACTGTACATTCCTTAGTTGCACTTAACTAATAAGGCTTTTATTTTCCAATCCTATTTCTCCATGCTGTAGGAGGATTAGGAAAAGTCGAACTATTGAGGAAAGCTTTGACACTGGAGTTCCTGTGGATACCTATGAGAGTGACAATGATGAGGAGAGACCTGACAGTCTTGATGACAAAGTAAGACAAAAGGAAATGAGGAAGGGTATTGATCTTGCCACAACACTGGAACGTATAGAGAAAAACTTCGTCATTACTGATCCGAGGCTGCCTGATAATCCCATTGTAAGATTGCCATTTAAAACAATTGGCTTTATTTTAACAATGCTATACAAATTTTGTGATATGAATTTTCACCATCGAGACGAAGATGCAAGATGTAAGTATGTGATATCTCTGAGTGTTTGTATTTCAGATATTTGCATCTGACAGCTTTTTGGAGCTTACAGAGTACAGTCGTGAAGAAATATTGGGAAGAAACTGCAGGTGTGCTTATTTATAAACTATAAGTTCCCATTAGAGAGTAAATTGGTGCCACTTAAACCTGAATATAAATTGAATTTCATTTGAAAATGGCACTTTGAAAAAATTGGTAATTTAAACTTAGACATCTGAAATTCAATGCAATGGAAATGACTTCTGAAGATGGAGATAGAGAAATACAGATCATGAAGGATACAATTGATACCTCCATGCTCTTTTCTACGTTCCTTTGGTAAATGCATTTCAGCTACAAGCTAAGTTAATTTGCTGGTCTGGCAAGTAGCATTTAGGTGCTCAATGATGCTAATAACCTTAATCAAAGGCATTTGCTTTTCCAGTGCTGATCATCCCAAAATTTTAGAACTTAGAAGAGCATTCTGATTTATGTTGTTGCTTTGGATGTTGTAGGTTCCTGCAAGGACCTGAGACTGATCCAGCAACTGTGAGGAAAATAAGAGATGCAATTGACAACCAGACTGAAGTTACTGTACAGCTCATCAATTATACAAAAAGTGGTATGCTTTCTTTTGCAATTTGAATGTATATAGCATGAAAGACCGAATTCATTGTGGAAGGCCTAACATTATTTTTATAGTAATGCTAAATTTGAACTTGAACCCTAATAAAAAGTTAACTTTTACACTTTTGTGATTAGCTAAAGTCTTTTGCTCTCAATCCAGGTAAAAAGTTCTGGAACGTGTTTCATCTGCAGCCTATGCGTGATCAAAAGGTACTCTCTCAGATAATCTTTAGATGAAAGAAAACACTCTTACTGTTTGATAATAAAAAACAAACATACAAATACCAACAACAGAAAAGATGGTGGAACCGAATGACATATGACATTTTACTTGTTTATGTAAACAGGGGGAAGTTCAATATTTTATTGGGGTACAACTAGATGGCAGTGAGCACATTGAGCCTCTGAACAACTCTATTCCTGAAGATACCGTAAAAGAGAGTGAAAAACTGGTCTGAACTTTCTTCATAATTTTCATTTCTATTTTATATTCCTAAATTATGCTCTTGAATGTCTTTCCAGTGTTAAACTTATTGTATACAATATACACCAGGATTTATAAGTTTTACAAATTTGCTTGATGTCTACTGTCAGGTCAGAGCAACTGCAGAAAATGTTGATGACGCAGCGAGAGAACTTCCTGATGGAAATATGGTAATGGCTTGTTGTTAATCCATGTCTTTTAAAATATTACAGGTTTACAAATTTGACAGCAGTTTTCTCTACCTGCAGAAACCAGATGATCTGTGGATGAACCATTCAAAGGTTGTTCACCCAAAGCCTCATAGAAAGAATAGCCCCTATTGGAGAGCCATCGAAAAGGTATTGATTTTTCAGTTATGCATGGGTTAGTGGGCAGCATGTAATGGAAAAACACCTCTCTTTTTCATAAATCCATTATAATAACTTTGGTTCACAAGTATATTATCAGTTGACAAACATAACATGGATTTATCTTCTACATAAATTGTTTAAAACAAGTACCAGGGCTTTATTCTATTGTGTTTCTTGAATATCTTCATCCACTATATCATGGTAGATTTCTGAGTAAACCCTGATATTGCAGATTCTAGATAGTGGAGAGCAGATAGGATTGAAACATTTTAGGCCTATAAAGCCCTTGGGATCTGGTGATACTGGCAGGTTCGTATTTTCTTTTGTCTCATTTTTACCTCAGATTTTCAGTATTAGTACATGGAAATTGAGGAATTTTAATTACTTGGTGGATCTGATTCAAATCCATTGAATGATAAAACTTATAGATCTTTAATATTAACTTCTCATGCCATTTTTTAACTAAATTTCATGTCTCCCTGGCATGGGGTTGATGCATTAACGAGTAAGAACAGTTTTTTTAATTGTGAACTCAGCTTAATCACTCAACATTATATATGCTCATGTCAGTGTACATTTGGTGGAACTCTGTGGAACTGGCCACTACTTTGCAATGAAGGCTATGGATAAGGGCGTCATGCTCAATCGCAACAAGGTGCGTAGTGAAAATCTGAAACTGATTTTGTGTACCCTGCTTACCTTGTTTTTATTCATCATTAGGCGTCAAGTTTTTAGGAACATTTTATACTGCCACTTTCATATCTCTTTACAGGACTCCTTTAATTCCTTTCTTGCAGGTGCACAGAGCTTGTGCAGAGAGAGAGATCCTCGACATGTTGGATCACCCTTTTCTTCCTGCATTGTATGCATCATTTCAGGTTAGAAACTCGACATGTTGGAACTGTCAGGACGTACTGCTGGTGATAATTATTTGATTAAGCACCCTAGAGAGAAACCTTTGCTTGCAATTGTAAATTCATTTTCTTGCTTTTGGCTCATTGCATTTAGCTTGCTGCTGGTTTTCAAGTTTCCAAGAGTCAATGATGTTGCTTTACTTACATATGCATTTCTTCAAACTCCAACATCTATAAATTCTTTGCAGACCAAAACACATGTTTGCCTGATTACTGATTACTACCCTGGTGGAGAACTCTTTGTGCTTTTGGATAGACAACCCACGAAGGTCCTTAAGGAAGATTCTGTGAGGTAAATTACATGAAAAATGATAATAATTCTTAGGTAAAAGACACAATTGGAAAAAAAATTTGATGCTAAATAAATAATATCTAATTTTAGTTGGTCAAGTGTGTGCTACTTTGATTCCCTTTCTATGGTCTTACGAATTTCATTATTAAGAACTGACTGAATTCTGTGTTGTGTTGTTGATGCTTGTAGATTTTATGTTGCAGAGGTAGTTGTTGCATTGGAGTATCTTCATTGTCTGGGTAAGTTGTGTGCATCATTCACACATCTTTTTTAATTTTTTAATTTAATATATGCATATAAATAAGGACAATGACGCGATTATGCAATACCAATTAATATTTAATATTTAAAGAAATTTTTATTTGACAGCATGAATTTTTAAAATATCTATTAAACGAAATTCAAGTTTGTAGTGGAATATTTTATATATAACTTCCCAGCACATTAATATGCAGTTGCCTGACAAAGTATAGTAATCACATATGTATGCTTCCATCTTCAACTTATTATATTGACCCTTCTGGTTTTCTTCCTTTTAGGTATAATTTACAGGGATTTGAAGCCTGAAAATGTTTTACTTCAGAGCAATGGGCATGTGTCCCTGACAGATTTTGATTTATCCTGTTTAACATCTTGCAAACCGCAGGTATCGCACCTTTTAATCTTCTTACTTCGGAGATTTATTATTTAAAGAAAAATAATTGAAAGAAAAATTCCTTGATATTTTTAGACGAGAAAAAGTCTTTTCCACTCCTTGGTTTTGTTTAAAATATAAAAGGTTAAATTGACACCATTCTATTTCATCTTATTGGCACCTCCTAGAGTTGTTATTAACTGGGTTATGTTCTTCTTTCAGCTTTTACTCCCAAGCATAAACGAAAAGAAAAAACAACATAAAGGTCAACAGAATCCAATCTTCATGGCTGAACCAATGAGAGCATCAAATTCCTTTGTTGGCACTGAAGAGTACATAGCTCCGGTCTGACACTTTGTCATGATCTTTTTAATTATTTTTCTTAATAGTTCCTTGATTGAAGAAATGCACGCTTCATGCCCTTATCATGAAATAACCAACACCTTTTTTTTTAATAGGAAAAGTGCATGACATAAGCACCAGTAACGCAAATTATTAAACTTCAATATTTCTCTCTTGCATATGCTATGATGAATTCCCTTGTTATGTTCCATTCTATAACATGCCACAGGAAATCATTCAATTGCTAGTTATACATGAGAAATCTCCATGTTTAGTTGCTTAAGCTTCCTCTGGTTTGATTGCTAGTCATGCAGAAGGTGAAAACATCTTGATGAAGTTCATAACATACTAAATATAGCTAGGCTTGAAAGTTTTTAATCCAGTTACCATTAGGAGTTTGGTTGCTAAGGTCTAACTTTCTAGTTGTGCTAGTTAGAGTGTAGAAATTTAATGTGGAATCAAGTCGTATAGAATCCTGATCAGCCGGAAGGAATTAGGAAATTTATCCTTGCTTCCGATACCCTCCCATCTCAATGGAATTTTGTTTCATTATACCTTCCAGATGATTTAATGTTCTACAGTTGTAAGTTTATAAAGGTATAGAAATCTTATGTAGGATGAAAGTAAAATAAAATTCCCATCATCAGGAAGTAAGAAGATATACTTGTCCTTGTTTCTCAAATGAGATGGTTTGTCACCAACATCCCACCAAAACTGTTTCATTACCTTCATGATGAGATGTTTCTCTCTTCAAAATTAAATTGCGTATAGATTAAAACTTTCAAGTTATGTCAAACTTCAGGATCTTTATATTGACTGCTCTATGTATTTTCCACTTGCAGGAAATCATAACTGGAGCAGGCCATACTAGTGCAGTGGACTGGTGGGCTCTTGGTAAGTAATTTATTCTATTTTATGTTCAACGATTCTTTCTACTTATAATATGTAACCTGTGCATAAGAATGATGAGGAAATATCTCCATCTCCTCATCATGGGAATGCCATAACTCTTCAAATTTGTTACTGAATTTGCATGAGTTGTGCATCAAATGACTGGACTCTAAACAAGCAAGCATATAGTAGCATTTACTTCAGCACAAACACATGCAAGACTAAATTTAAACTAATCACCTTCCATCTGGCATCTTAATTTGCTGATCTACTGCATCTTTTTTTAGGTATTCTTATCTATGAAATGCTCTATGGCTATACACCATTCAGGGGAAAAACAAGGCAAAAGACATTTGCCAATATTCTTCACAAGGATCTTAAGTTTCCAGGAAGTATATCGGTGAGGTTTACTGTTTGCATGCATGCATATACATACCTATATAAATGTGTATTTCTTTGCATATATATGTCTCTATGCGCATATGCGCCTCAAAACGTATTTATGATTGTTTGTATGTTGTAGTTGGAGGAGTCATTAGGATCTATAGAAAATAGCAGTTCATAGAACATGTACTTTATTTTTCCTTACCAAACTAGAGTTCTGAGTTCAACATATATAGAAAATACAGAGTGAAAACTTTACCTCTCTATATGCTAAAGGCATTGTGTCTTGATGCAGGCAAGTCTTCAAGCAAAGCAGTTAATGTATCGGTTGTTGCACCGCGATCCCAAAAATAGACTGGGCTCACAGGAAGGAGCAAATGAAATTAAGCGCCACCCTTTCTTCAAGGGTGTCAACTGGGCTCTCGTCCGCTGCATGGTAACACCAAAAACCTTGCAAATTGCAATGCATGAAGTATAAAATGTATCATATATGTGAATTGTAATTCAAGCTTATAAATTAAGAAACTTCAATAAGGTTTTACTAATGTGCAGAAACCTCCTCAACTCGATGCACCTCTCTTTGCAAAAACTGAAGCCGAAAAGGAAGCAAATGCTGTGGATCCTGAGATGCAAGATTTACAGACAAACATTTTCTAAAAGGTTTATGCTGTTGCCAGCATGATTTACACCTTGTTTGCTTTCTCAATTAGAAATATCATCTGCTGCACATTTGAGTACTTGAACTGCATCTCACTTGCGAAACCACGAAGACAGGCCCTGGAAAACCCCCATCATCTTGCTGAAGAATTCAGGTCAAACTAATTGATCTGCTTGTGCGTTAAGGTTGACAATATTTCATAGAGGGCTAATCTTGGATGCTGTTGCATTTTGTTGATGGAACTTGATCAGGGTTTTAACCATTGTTTTGTGTGATGTTTGCAAAGTGTAATGTTTCTGTAATCTATGTCAGTCTGTGCTCTAAAAGTTTTGTAAATAAATTAAATTCATTCATCCTGTTTGTTTATGTTTCTGTCCTTAATCTATGCATGTTCTCTACTTCTTTGTTCACCATGGCTCAATTCTACTGTGAATGGAACACCAGATGTCCTGTCTCAACAACAAATTCAAGATCGCATTTTTTTTCTCATGCTTCTCTGAGTTTGAATACATGCCTATCCGAACATAGACACATAGACATTCGGATATTAAAACTTAAGCTGTCAGGAAAAGAGCCAACAATATGTAGTCTCTTCCTAATTGTGAAGAGGCCGAGAAGCAGACAAATGATTAGATACAGCCCCCTTCACCCTTCACCTTGCAAATCAACAAAGAAGTGAACAATAAGAAAGGGTGGTTTCGAACATAGACGTCATGTAAATAGAGCTCTAATACTATGTCAGACAAAGACGGGAACCTATAAAAGAAACTGTTAGGTAACATTCACAAGGTTTTTCTTGGATGTTTTAGACCTGTACAAAACAACCAATCGAAAAGTCATAACGAATTGTAATGCTTTGGAAAAGTTCATAGGAAAGTATCCAAAATATTTAGCTGAAATATCACATCTCCTTTTCATTACACTTTTGAAAGTCTGTTGTCATGTTTGCTGAGTCCGACAAAAGTATTGAGAGCGAGAGAGAAAGGGACATTAATTTCTCTAATTCTGTCGTGTGGAACTTTTATATGTATAGAAATCTTCAAATCGATCATGAGTAGCAAGAATGTCACAAAATGCCAGTTTTTTGTGATTTGAATGTTAAAATCATGGTCAAAATTCTCCCAACAAATTGTTGTATATGCATATGCACCTGTGGGTCTTTTGTCATGTGGCAAGTCCCACAGAAGAAGAAGGGTTTTATTTTTCTTTCTTTAAAAAAAAAAGGTATTTGTGAGTGAGAAGCAATTCATACCAAAATTATTGCAAGTTGCTCATGTGGAAGCTTCAAGCAACCAACAGTCACCCTACTAGTTAATGCTTCTTTCTCACACACAGGTAGAGGTAGCTCTAGTTTTGTGTACATCTTTACCTATTTCTTTGCATTAATTGGGCGGTTTATCTTAAGCCTCATTCTTTGACCAAAAATTAATAATCTCAAGCCTCATTCTATTATGTATTATTGACTTTGCACAAGAAAGCCAATGGGGCAACCCTTGCACACCACAATGATGCCTTCTTGGTGCTGTATTGAACATCCTTGCTCGGTTTGGTCCACCCATGTGGCTCTTGATGTTGTTTTATGAATTATAATCATGCTTGGTTGTGACATTCATTGTTAATTCTCATGTGGCATTCCCGCTCATCCAAGTCATCTGTGCATCCCCTACTACCTTAAAAGTAAATCATCTTTACATAAACGAACGCTAATGCTATCGTCAATCGTTGACTGACACAATTTTTTACTATTGGATACATAAAAACTCCCACAATACATCAGCAGTTAAAAATCAGGGATTAGCATAGCGCAGGCTCAACAAGGCAATTTGAAAAAAAGATTCTGATAACTAAACATGGCATTGCCATACATAATGCAAGTTATATAAAACTTTTGTTAAGTTAGATTGAACCCAAATGACTGTTTCTCATCTTAGACACGCCCTTAAGATTTGGGGGGCAATCATTGGATGCTTGTAGTTTGTTGCAATGGCAGGCTTATAGCATCAGGCATCAAACATATGACAGTGTGTACTACTGCACAGAAAGCTCAGACTTCTTCTGCTCCCATTTTTATATCCCGAATTTCTAGGTCCTCCTCTGCAACTAACTCTCTCCTTTTTATCAACCCCCAGCAAAAATAGAAAAATAAAAGATAAAAAGGAAAAAAAATCTCACATTGTTATCATCATTGTTACCAACTGTGATTATTGTTTACTAAAATCAGGATTTGCACTCTCTGCAGTCTGCTCTGCACCAAACAAACATAAAGAATCTCCAACCTACTGGGCTAAACGACAACCATTATCACCAAACATCCAAGATCAAAAATCAAAACAAACTAAAACCCATCTAAAATAAGTTTGTAAGATCCATTTTAGAGAAAAGAAGAGGCACAAATAAACTAATGGGTAGCATCAGCATGGCCTCTGTCCTCTGACAGCTTCATATTTTTTCTAATGAAGTTTAGCACTTATAAGCAGAGACTGAGCCATCTAATAAAAGATTATTTACATCATACATATGGGTCCATAGCCGCCTTCCTCCTCCTTCTCCTCCATACCCATAATTACAGCAAAGCAAACAAAACAAAAAAGGTACCCAGTGTGCAGCTATTTTAGTCCCCTCCCTAATAATGCTACCTTCTTCCTTTTACAAAAGAAACAGTTTTTTTTTTTTCTTTCTTAGGTTCGTTATTAAACATTTACACCATTAACAGACCTCTCTCTCTCTCTCTCTCTCTCTCTCTCTCAATTTTCTTGGATTCCTACTTTCTCCACTTTCCCGGAAAATATTTTACTTCTACTTCCCAGGAAACTATTCTTTATTAATTACCCTCTTCACTCTCTCCTCCTTCCACAACCCCATAATTTTCCTCTTCACTCTCTCTCTCTACCTTCCCAGAAAATTTCACTTCTTGATTGATTTTCTTACCCACTTCACTCTCTCTCCAATCCTCCAAGAACCCATCACTTGAATCCCAGTACTTGGTTTCTTGCTCAGCCACTCAACTCTCTCAGTGAGCTCCCAGAGCTCCAATGGCCGCCGAGAACGCACTAAAATCTCGAGAGGTCTCAGCCATGATCAAACAGGGCTTCATCTCTGATCAAACGCTCTCATTCTCACCATCAAGATCCATATCCAAGCTCTACTCTCCCACTTCCTCGCCCTCAAAGGCCCTCTCTTCTCCTCCCCCACCACCTCAACTGGCCGGGTCGACTCAGTCTTTAACTCGCCCGAGTCAGTCCCAAACCCTCTACGAGATGATGTCCGATGAGCAACACCGAGACTCCAAGCTCGCAGACCGAAAAGTCCACGAAAAAGTCCACAAACTCCTCCAAAACGCACCGTTCCGAAACCCCAATTGGGGAGGGCTAGTATCCGGTGACGTGAGGCTCACTGTGGTAGCCAAGGACGGGTTCAGGGTCACCATGGACGTGCACAAGAGCGTTTTGGCCGCGAAAAGCCGGTTTTTCGCCGATAAGCTCCGAAAAGATCGCGGGGTTTCTCACTGTGTCGAGATTTCGGACTGCGACGATGTTGAGGTCTATGTGGAAACTGTGGTGTTGATGTATTGTGAAGATTTGAAGAGGAGGTTCATGGGCGAGGAGGTCTCTAGGGTTTTGGGCTTGCTAAAGGTATGTGCTTTGGCTTTTACTTTTGCCTTTTCTTGACTGTAGCAATCAGCATTTCTATTTCTGGTTTGTCTTATCCTGTGTTTGGTTGCTGAGAAAGTGTTTGGGTGAGGCAGAAATCTTTTGTTTGGTTATTGGTTTTCACTTCCGAGATAAATGGTATTAAGTGTGAATACCAGGAAAAATTCTGAGGCTAGCCCAATTAATTGGAGAGTCAGTTTCGTTTACTGAACAAGTCTCTGTCTTTGGGCAATGTGTAAAAGCTACACGAAATTTGAAAATAAGCAAAACTAATTTTACCAAAATTAGACAAGTACAAACGAAAAAACCAATAACGTTTTTAAAAACAAACAGTCCCATCTTCCATTTTGCAGTGCAAAAGATTGAATTTTTGTTCTGTTTTTTTTTTTTTGGGATTTTTTGCTGTCTGATTTTAGCTGGATAGCTGTATTAATTTGGGTTCTTGAGGATATGTTTGGACTATAAGGAAGAGTAATATGTTTTTTGTTCATTGAGTTTGCGATGTTGAATATTTGTACAATTACTTTTGTGTTGTAGGTATCTGCTGCTATCATGTATGATGAGGGGATTGGCTCATGCTTGGAGTATTTGAAGGCTGTTCCATGGTCTGAGGAAGAAGAGGGGAAAGTTATATCTCAGCTCAATGAACTTCAGCTTCATGATGACTTGGCCAGTGAAGTTCTCCTCAGAGTGTCATCTGAACCATCCACTTCTGCAAGAGCCGATGAGATCTTTATGAGGCTGCTGACCGGTGTTCTTCAAGCAAAAGACGATAGGGCTCGTCGGGAAATGAAGACTCTCATCTCTCGGTTGCTTAGAGAAGATGCAGCCAGTGGCAGCAATAATAGGCTTGATGTCTCTAAAGAAACCCTTTACCATCTTTGCCATCGGTGTCTGAGTTCTCTTGTCCTGTGCCTATCTGAAGCCACGGGCATGGATGACAGTAGGAGGGATCGCGGGGTTTTAATGGCGGAGATAGCAAGAGAAGCTGATAACATGCAATGGATTGTTGATATTCTGGTAGACAAGAAAATGGGTGATGAGTTTGTGAAATTGTGGGCTGATCAGAAGGAGCTCGCAGTCCTCCATTCAAAGATCCCAACCATGTACCGACATGAAATCAGTAGAATCACTGCTCAGCTATGCATTGCAATTGGGAGCAGACAATTGCTTGTGCCCAAAGAAACAAGATTTTCTTTGCTATCTACATGGCTAGAAGCTCTTTATGAAGACTTTGGATGGATGAGGAGGGCTTCTTTTAGATCTATTGATAAGAAACTGGTTGAAGAAGGGATAAGCCAAACCATTCTTACACTGCCCTTGCAGCAGCAACAGGGTATCTTACTCAATTGGTTTGATAGATTTCTAAACAAGGGCGACGACTGTCCAAACATTCAGAAGGCATTTGAGGTCTGGTGGAGACGAGCTTTTATTAAACATGTATCGGAGCAGGAAAACACCCAGTTGCAAATAACCGTGTGTGATTATCCAAGCTGAACCAAGTTCACAAAAGCAACATTTCTTTAGTTTTCTGGATCAGTCTGTGTATATTCTTCTCCTGCTTTAATCAATCCTTCTGGAGTGGCGCTATTGCCATATCTTATTCTACTCTACCATCACTTTCTAATAAGTTTTTTTATTACAATTAATCCTTGCATAAAATTACTTTAGAGAACATCTTTTAGAAAAAGAGCTAGTGACATAAAAGAATGAAAGGAAAAGAGCACTGTCGGAGCAAGAAAAATCATAACAAACCAACCTACATTCAGGTTTCCTCTTTGAGCTCCATTTTGGTTTTGCTAAAGACTACTGGGACGGGAGATCTTGTCCAAAGTGCTTACATGCTGCTGTTATGTATGTTTAAGTAGTAATCGAGAGCACCATGACGAGATGACTTGCGAAACATATTTTTTAGGTTTCTCAACATTCACTCTATCAAAGTTACATGATGCCAATTTTGAAGCTCAAAACTATCAAAAGTATATACAAGTATACAGTACCGAGTATAATGTTAAATTGGGAAAACTACTTGTCTTTGCACAAATCTTGTAGGCAAGCTAAAGCCGCAATGAATCTGACAAGTTTACATCAAATGACTAGAAATCTGACATGTACCATGTCCCCCATCTTCATTCAACATTCTCAGTTCAATTAGCAGAGCATGTGCATGATCCGGTAATCAAGCCGAAGATTGGATTGCTTCCACGCCCCCCATCTTCATTTGACATTCTGCACTAGTCTTCCAGGACCATCACTATGCTTCAGTCAATTCTCGTATAGAAACATGAAGGCAACATATGCATTTGCTTTGGTGAAAATGAGGTGATTTACAACTATTTTTTCTTCCGCTCAAGTTAGACTTGGGCGTGGCCCATAATGCAGTTCCACGTCTGAATTTGGTCCCAAATATGTGGGCTGCCTCAAATCAGAAGAAACTCTGCTCATGGGGAAAAAAAATTTGGTTAAAGCTTCTGGGAGGTTCACTTAAGAAAGCCGGCATCAACAGGCAGTTAGTGCATCAAAACCAAGAAAAAGAAAATATTGATACGCATTGGGAGCAATACTGAAACCAGATATTTTATGCCATTCTCGAATATCCATGAATGTCTCTTGTTATATAGAGAAGTAGAAGGAAACAGACAACCTGCTATCACATATACCACCTGTAGGATGGATGGTCTAAAGAAAACTAAAAGCAGATGATTCATTAATAGATATTCTACGACAGGATGGAGTTGATCCATTTAATTTTAACAAATAGTCAGCTTGACAGCATGCCAACTGCACATATTATATGGTAAAACCAGGAGACTGGGCAAGTACAGAATTAACTTCTCCAGGAGACATGCAGAAGTTGTAACCAGAGTGACCGAAAAATAAGGTGAAATATATTTTGATAAGTTATTAAGTTCTGGAAGGTTAGTGCAGCATTACCTCCCAAATATTCATATCATGAGGACATATTATATTCCACACTTCCCTATCACTTCCAAATTTAAATTACTGAAAAATCAGGGGCATACATGTGCAACATAAGAAAATATAAAGATCCAGACTTTAAAACTCATGTATAAATACAACATTCTCACCTTTGTCTAACTTTAAATATTCCAGTGCCTATCTGCATTGGTATACCCATGATTATGCTTTCACTTACTCCTTCAACCTTGTCAACTCTCCCATTTACGCATGCATTAAATAGAATATCATCTGTCCGCTCAAATGAAGCCATCATCAAAACACTTTTGTCCATCTTCTGAACACCGAATCTTGTGATTCCAAGAACTTCACCCTGTCATGCAAAATAATTAACACATGAATATACATCCTCACCACATTTGCATATCTCTAATGTATTAGTGTATTCCAATTTTTCTTTTTAGCTTTCCAGTCAAAAGATTCAGTATCAACGGAAACTACTCACCCGATACGTCATCACATCCGCTAAAAAAATCATATGGCGATCATCTATGTTCATTCCATGCGATTTCATAGTATGCTTTATCTCCTCAATGATGCAAACTCTCGCAGCTTCAATTCCAAGTGTCCGCTGCACTTCCATAACATCATTACTTGTGGTTTTACAACCATCAACTCCTTCAGTGCCCATTACTGCCAGAAGACCCGTGCTAAAAAGTTGGCACAAGAGATATTAAGATTAAAGAAACAACAGCTGGCTTTTAGAATCTCACTTTTTTTGTCAAGTAAATAACAGCTAGCACTTAAAGTATCAATATGATCAAAAATACTAGAAGCACATTAATTCAAAACTGCTCACGCCCGTTGTTATATTGCATAGCATAATCCACTTAGTTTTCTTGCTTTCTGTCATGCCAGCGATGAAACTACCCTGTTCTTTGAGGGCACCTCTCATCATAGGAAATATACTAATACTTTTAATAAGATACTTGCGTCGTCGCAACATATGAAGCAAGACAGGAAAGGGAAAAAGAAATTCAAAGGATTAAAGATAAGGCAGCAATAATGTTAGCATATGTACAACCCTCTCGTTTCCCTCTTCCACATCATTTTTGGATATTTCTCATCTATTATGTTTGCCTTCAATCAGGATAATGATAATCTTTTCTTTGCTAAGCAACGGGGTGTTTTTCTGTCAAATCTTATTACAGAATTTTGCTCCTCAATGAAGCTGACAATATATTCCAGCAACATGATTTGATCTGGAAATCTAAGGGCCCTCCTAAAGTGAAAGTTTTTGCTTAGATTATGGCTCATGGGAAGGCTAATATGTGTGACATGCTTCAAAGAAGACCACCCTTTTCCTGTCTTAGCCCTCAGTAGTGCATCTTTGCAAGAACTGCTTAGAATCGACTGACCATCTTTTCTTACAGTGCCCGGTGACTTTGAACCTATGGTTTCGATTGTTTAGGGAGTTCGGAGTCAGTTGGATCATGCCCAAGGACTGCCAGTCTTTCTTGTCTGAGAAGCACAGAATCCCTGGGAACGGGAAGAGAGCCAATGTTTTATGGGGCTGTAGTGTATTGGCTGTTCTTTGGGTGGTTTGGTTATAACGAAACAGGCTAATTTTTTGGGACTAAGCAGGTCGTGAAACAGAGGAATTATGGGAGAAAGTTAAGACTATGTTCTTCACTATGGACCTTGACTTCTTCAGTCTTTAGAGATATGTCCTTTAGGGTTATTTGGCTGGATTGGAAAGCAGCCATTTCCTAGCTATAAGTTGTGTGTGTGCTACTGGGGTTCTTTCGCTAGTAGCTTAGGGTTTGTTCAGTCTAGTTGCTCTTTCTTTGTATCTGTTTCTTTGTGGCCACCTTGGCATTTCTGTATTTTATTGTTTATTGCAATAAAATTTGTTTCCTTAAAAAAAAAAACAATCTTTTCTCGATAAGGCAGCTTCACTAATGAAAACTAGAAACTTTCTTTCATGGGGAAACACATGACTAGGGTCTGAAATATGTCACGTTTGGCTCCTATGGTTCATTGGTTGTTTGATCTTCCTTCCTTTCCAGAACAGAAGTGGAAGACAAGTACATAGAGAGATTCCTGTTTGGAGCTTTGTTACTGGGAATGTTGATCATTATTAAAAGGCGAAGTTACTGAAGCACAGGCCAAACTAACCTGGGTAGTGTTATCTCTGGAAGTGATTTTGTGATAAATAAATTTGTTTACTAAGTTCAGCCGCCAAAAATTGACATGGCAACATGAATAAACCACCCAATTTGGAAAAGACAACTAACTAAATGTGCAACAAGAAGTATGTGGAATGACACCAAAAGAAAGATATATGAATCACCAACTTGCATGAGACCTAAAATAAAACATGGGGAACAAACATATGCCAACACAATACTTTAAAGAGGTGTAACATGAAGCCGGTTCAAAAGCTACTAAAACTAGCAAAATAAATTTCGGAACAAACTCACCCTTCTGCAAACAACTTGTACTCCTTTTCTTCTCTTTTATCACCATCAGCACATGTAACTTCAAGATCCTTTTTATTCTTTTTAACTTCTTTTGCATCAATGACAACACGTTGAACAGTGCTTATACCCTGTTATTGAAAGAATGTAATGAATCACATCTGCACCAAACATTCTAAGCATGGCAAACTGAAACAAGAAAAAAAGAAGAAGCAGTGTCATCCATAAAAAGCAATATTCAGGAAAAAGAAATTCAAGAAGCCTCACCCTTACTATAACTTTTGGGAGCATACTCTTTAAATAGTAGAGGTTAAAATGGAGTCTACTTCTATCAGCCTCCTGAGGAAGAATTTCCAATTTTCTGATATCCAAAACCTTAACATGCTGCATAGTAGATGTGACCATGAGATATTAAGAAGTTAAGAACATACAAAAAAATTAGAAAACTAACACGTATTCTCACCTCTTGCTTCAGTTTGATTCTCGGAGTTCGTAAAATTGATTCTTTTACGACATTAGCATCTATAGACAAGTGTGCATCTTGAATCATGACCATATCAAGAGTGATGACTATGGATGCCGATCTTGAAGTCATTACAATTTTTATACTCTTAGAGACCTTCATAATAATATCCAAATTTGTAAGTAAGATCATACATGGAGTTGGAGAGGAGAGAGCACTATGCAAGTCAACAGAAACAATAAATTTGAGAAATATCAAATTAGTTGTTCAATAGTTTTAGATCCATATGAGTCCAACAAACCATTATACCTGAAATAACATAAACTACAACCAGAACATCAATCTTTACCTTAAAACATCCCGAAACATATCAAACCACTTGTTTGACTTTCTAACAAAGTAGTTGCTGAACAATCCAGCTCACAGTTAAAAAAACCATTAACCTAGCAATACAAAGACATAGAGAAAGAGAAACGCCAATTTGCATTGTTGACTTTTCACTTTCAGTTGAAAACTTGAAGCACATCAATACACGATGCAAACAAAAATCTAAGTTAAATTCACAGCATCTCTAACAAATTAGTAACATACATACCTGCCCAAGCATTGTTTTCTCAATCCGACCTGCCACCACCCTTGCAAATTTCGCATTATTATTATGCTCAAGTATTGCAGTGACAATGGGTGTACTGATCTTTTTTGCTCCGTTTATTATTTCCTTGATACGAGGGACTCCAAGTGTAACGTCTAACATATTGTTAAGGATCAAATTGAAACACAGCCAGTAAATATCCAAAAGGACATGAAGTTGATATATATTTATCTTCCCTCAAAATAGATAAGCAAATGAACAAAGGATACTCATGCTTGCAACCCCAGCAAAGTGAAAAGTTTTCAGTGTCATCTGTGTCCCAGGTTCACCAATACTTTGAGCTCCAATTACTCCAATTGCTGTTCCAGCTTCGACTTTTTTTGAATGATAACGAGAAATGCAAGTATTGAGAAAAACCTACAATTTTGATGTAAAGGAAATTTAATAGAGGCAACAAAATCTAGAAAATATAAAGGGCAAACTCTAGCACACAAAGGTATACAATGGACACCAAGACAACACTCAAAGTTACATAATACAGTTTTTTTGGGTGTGAAAATCATTCAATGTCATTGATTAAACAGAGGAAAATTCAAGATTTGAGTACAAATGACAGCCCCAACAAAGGAGGGTTTATGCCATTACAGAAATCAAACTACCAGCACAGATTGCATAACACAGTGAGCAGAAACATACAAATTGACAATTAACACTGCTCACTAAAGCTGAAATGGAAGAGAGCTAATAGATCTGATTGAGGTAACTTTTCACCACCAGTGCTAAATCAAGACCAGACGAGCTTGATTTGCTGGAGACTAGTTAGAAAAAGGAAACAGCTAAGTGCAACATCAATTACTCAATCTTATAAGCAAAAGCCTAAGCTTATTGGATGGAAACTCAAACTGCAAAACAACTCTCCTCCTTCAATAAACCACATCAGACAGAGACTGATTTCTATAAGTTGTGGCTATCCTCTCACCTGAAAGCCTGGCACTTAGCATTCAAACATTCCAAAATTTGGGATTGGAACTATTTTTATTTTTATTTTTGTCAAATACCATGTAAAGATTTAATTAGAAAACAGCAGCAGTAAAGCATTAGGTCAAGCACAAAAGAACAAAATCTAAACTCTGAAGACACAAAGGTGAAGGGCTTCTATCTGTCCACCCAAAAAGTCATCTTAGAAACTGCAGCCCATCTTCTATTCGTTTATAGCCAAAAATACCGAAACCTGCACGATGGAACAAATTTCCAAACTTTCTAATAGATCTCCTCTGCCATCATACAAGCATGAAGCATGTCCTTCACAGTCCTACGAACACCCAGTAGATCCCAAACAATGAAACCCATACCTCTACTGCAATGGAAATCTGACACCACCTGTCTGGCCCACATACACCATATAATATATCAAAACTATCCTCTATGTATCACATTAATAGTGGCAAAAAATTTATCAGGAACCGAGTCCAAATAAAGAAACCCAATTTTGGATTCCAGACTTCTCGTCAAGAGAAAGAACCATGATGCTTCCCCAATACAACTGCATAGAAAGCCTTCACCTCAAAGAAATCCCCACCACAAAATGCTCCGACCCACACCATTCTCTCCTATCTACCTAATCTTTGCTCCATGTAGCACAGAAAATTTTCTATAAAAAATTAACCGTTATATTATAGATCACATTACGTGGCATGCCCACTGACATATACCATTGATATATTTGTGTGTATATATATATATATATATATAAATATTAACCATGCCATGCACATTACATACATACATATATATGTGTGTGTGTGTGGAAAAAATCAAGTGTGAATGTCTGCAATGCACTCGCAAAAAACACATTGAACATTCAAACACCCCAGACCAACGTATTTTTGGCACAAGCGCACTGCGGAGTTTCATGCATATATGTATAGGTACGTACATATATACAGACATACAAATATGGAGAGAGAGAGAGAGAGAGAGAGAGAGGAGAGAGAGAGAGAGAGAGAGAGAGAGAGAGAGAGAGAGAGAGAGAGAGAAAAAGGTGACCAATTTTAGAACATAAGAAAACAAGTACCTCGAGCTGTTTACAAGTCACACCAGAAATATTTTGGACAATCTTCTCCAGACTAGCAGACTTTTCCTTCCAAGCCGGACTTTGATCCAACACAAAAGTATCATGTGTTTTTCTTAATTCTTTTGCATATTTATCCAGGAATTCCTCTAAAGAACTTTTGAAACCTGCAGAGCAACCACGATCAGGAGTCATATCTTGTTTTGAAAGCCGGTCTTTCACGATCTCAAACACTTCTTCAAGGGACAAGCTTTCATTTTCTCCAGCAGGACACGTGGCCTGTAAATGAACATTATCAACTCAACAATGAAATAATTCCAATTAATTCCGAATCATTAAATATAGGGTTTCATGCCTTAGCTTTCAAAAACAATCGACGAAAATCTAAAGGAGCTCCCCCTTCTCCTTCCATCATTGCAGGATCCATACCGTCATCCCCATAACAAAATTGAACTATGCATCCACTTGCATTCCGTACTGTGTTATCGTACTGGACAGATAGGTCCTCTAAAATTTTCGACAATCTACGAGACATGTACCCAGTATCAGCTGTTTTCACCTGCAATGGTCATAAGAGAACCATATAACTAAAAAATGCAAGCTAAACAACACTCTCTTTGGCTGATAGAATCGAACCCCACGAAAACCAATGCATTCAAATGTTATTCTCAAGCACCATTGTGCCATAATGACCCACATAAAGCCAAGAGATGACGGCTCCAGCAAGGCCTGAAGTTTTGATATATATCTTACTTTACACCATCAGACAATATCAGTGACAATATTTCATGTCTGGTTTACATTGATTACACATATGAAATAAGAGTAGCGTCACATTGAATGAATATATAAACATAATAGAAACAAAAAATGTGAATAATTCACAATATTTAGCACAAAACCCAAACTCTGAATCACAGACCACAACTTCTAGCTCAAGGATCCTACGAGCTATGATAATTTATGGAAATGAGCAGAAAATGCTATCAAGAACTCGACGCTAGATCAACTTCCCAAAATCCATTCTAGACCACCTCAAGCTCATTGTATTCCTTGAAAAAAGAACTCATATTTTCTTGTGTCCTGTACTTGATAGAGAATAAATACAGCTGTGAAATACCATCAAGCTTAAGCTATTTGTAAATAGGCCCAACAACGGACCAAGCTCAACAATACTAACACTCCACATCATTCCCATAAAATTTAAAAATTAAGCCTTACATGTACTTAACCTTAAACAAGGATCACTGTAATTTGAACATATGAACAAAAAACAAGGTTATGATGCTGTGTTAGGAATGGTTGGCAAATTCATGGCTGTCTTGGCCTCCAAAATATTCAGGCCTTGCTTCAGGAGGGAATCCTAGAGCTGCAAGGTTTAGGAATCCGGTAATAAAGAAGATGAAAAAGAGGTTTCAAAGTTGGAAGAAGGACTTTCTCTCAAAAGGGAGGAGATTTACTTTAACTCAAGCTGTGCTTGGAAGCTTGCCAACTTATTGCATTTCTTTATTTAAGATACCTAGTGAGGTAGCTGGTTTTGTGAGGAAATTTCCTTTGGATTTGGGGAGGACAAGAAAGACCACTTAGTCAGATGGGATTTAGTGTCTCAAAGCAAAGATAAGGCAGGTTTGGGAATAGGTCATTCAGAGACCAAAACCAAGGCTTTTATTGGGCAAGTGGCTGTGGAGGTTTCAGACAGAAAATGAGTCTCTATGGCGCACAGGGTCTCCATGGCTTTATGTTTACTAGATTACATAATCCAATTTCGTTGAATCTTCTAATTATCCTGTAAGATGTAATTTTGGGTTTAGAAGGAATTTGCTGAGCTGGGAAAATCATCTTGATGCTGTTGCTAGTTGATAGTGTTCTTTTATATCTCACCAGGACAGATGCAAGAAGATGGAGGCTAGATTCAACTGGGTTTTTGCATTGGTGTATAATGTGTAAATAGAGGGAGGAAACTGTTGACCACCTTTTTTACATTTGAATTTGCAGCGAGTTTTTGGCTATGGCTGAAAGGTGTATTGGGTAATTCCAATGAGTTGTATTTCATTTCTTTGTGAGAAGCATAAAGTATCAGCTAGTATGAAGAAGGCCAAGGTCATCCAGGGATGCATGGTTTCAGTTATATTTCGGGTGATTTAGATGGAGAGAAACAGAAGAATCTTCAAGGATTAAAGTAGGAGGGAGACGGGTTGAGGACTAAGGAGACAATGTCAGGTTGTGGTTTGCTCTGGGCATCAGTTTCTATAGAGTTTAGGGATGTATCTTTTTCAGATATTTTGTTATTGGTAGCTTGCTGTAGGTTAAATGTTTGGTCTGATGTTTTTGATGTAGTTTAAGATTCTGCTTGTTTGCAGAAGTTTAGCCAATTGGCCAGGGCAATGAGCCCGCCCCCTTGCACCGAAGTTCGAATCCCCCTCCCCATAGATTAGATTAATTTAGAGTAATGTAGACTATCGATTGTTTCAAAAAAAGATTCTGCTTGTTTGACTGAAGTGGACTTCGTGTCCTCTATGTTGCATTTTCTTATAACCTTGTCTGGTACTAGTAATAACACTTATGCTTCCTTAAAAACTAATTATTAAAAAAACAGTTAGACTGTTTTTGGGATACAGGACTACCAATTTATATCAACTCATGCAATAAATGAACGAGAACGACTACCAGAGTAATGAGCTTGGCCAGTAACAATGTCATAAAATAGCTACTACTCTAAGTCTAAGTGGCCAAATGTACATGTTTATCAGGCAGTAGCCTCACTTGTATTAATTATCCATCTAGAATTGTCTTTATCATCCAATATATTTTAGCTGTATCAATGCTCCAGTAGCATGCCATATGCAAATTTGACAAGTCATGCAACGAGAAGAGTTGCAAAATTCAGGTCCAAATCAAGTAGTATAGAAAAAATGCACAGATTAATAATGTGATTTAGAAGCTTCACAATGTAAGAACTATTTAACATACAGCTGTATCGACAAGACCCTCTCGCCCGCCCATAGTATGGAAAAAGAACTCTGTAGCTGTCAAGCCACTGTAAAAGGAACTAGCGACAAAGCCTTTAGCCTGCATAAATAATAACAGAATGACCCTTAATCACGAGAATATAGACCAATGGTTTCCTACAAACAAGATATATTTTAGAGCTATAAACACAAACAAGGATGAAGAATAACAAAAAAAAGTTCTCCACCACAATGTTGAAAGATGTTTCATAATTTATCTCTCATTATGCATTACCCAAGTGACAATGAATTTTATAATTCAATTTTTTATAGACCTGTTTTTATTTACTAAAGAACATGTTTTAGAGCCAGAAGGAACTCTAGTTAAACTTAAACTTTAGGACCTAGCATAGGCTGCCCCCTCAGAGAATATCAGTTTCATACCCATGCAATTTTATATATCCTTCTCTCTAGTTCTTAAATGTTGCTTCATTATTGATTTCTATGTTTTGGTTATGCTGTTTTAGAATTTTTGGTCTAGTCAATTTAGCATTTAAGTTCGCTCCTGCAAAAGTTAAATTCTGGGTCCACCGCTGAATGCTCATGAATGGTAGCAGTTAGGGTGATGCAGTCAGATATGATCCAACTTTTTAGCTAGTCCTAAGATACATCTTGTATTACCAGTAAGAAGTTTTTTTTTTCCAGACTAAGAAACACATAGAGTGGACAAAATGTTATAAGTCGCATTAAATATGAAAATTGCAGAAAATATTTTTAGAAAGTAATTCTCCTCAAACAAAATAAAGATTTTTTCTTTGTGTTGAAAAGAGACATAATTTTATTAAAGTAGGAAAGCTAATTACAAAGAGTGGACATGGAATAGACAATCTAGGAAGGAACAAGTAAATACAAGAAAGTACAACTCAAAAAGATGTAAAATAGAACATGATAAACGAAAAATTCTAATCTTGCTTCAGAGCTGCTAAAAAATCCAACATTATAAAAGAATGGGCATAATCTCAAAAATCAGCCGAAATAGATGCCCATAAAGCTGCCCAGAACCTTCACTCTGTCCCAAAGTTCATCTACCTTGCACCCTTATAATCCTTAAAGGTTCTTCAATTGTGCTCCATCCAGACTCCAAATTATCTTAAATCATTATCAATTGTTTGTGCCTAGTTCCAAACAATGTGAAAACAAGAAGTAGGTTGTGGGGGAGGGGGATGCAATGCTCAAAGACAAGATGCTGCATATTTTGTGTAGGTTTCATACTGACAGTACATGTCACATACACATAGAATTAGTGGTTAAAAAGTGTACGGAACTTACTGCAGGGGTTTTTGCTTTTCTAGGGAAGTGAGGAAGGCTTCGATCTATGAATCCATTAGGTGCACGACGACCACCAACCGATTGTTGACCAACACAGGCAATCATCTGGCTAATATTGATAGGAGATCCTTTAGAACCGCACTGGGACATGATCAAGGGACTGTTTCTCCAATGCAGCGTTTGCATGCACAACTGTGAAAAATAAAGGTCAAAGGCTATTTCAAAACCATCATCTCTGAAAATATGATGACAATAGAAAATAGAAATAATTGCTAAACAAATTGAGCTGCTACCATGAATAGCTTTCTTGACAGCACACAAGAAAACATTAAGATTGCAAATGAAGACGAAGAAGTAATTACTAAGATTTGAGATTGACGCTTAAAAAAATACACTAAAAAAGAAATTCAAAACAGAAGTTCAGTGCATAATAAGCAAAATAATAAAATATAAAACTCACCTTTCCAGTTTGATCTCTAATATTGTTTAATATTTTAGTTATCCCAGACTCAAGTGATTGTGCCGCATCACAACCAGGTTCAAGTGGTAGCTGTCCTTCATTATACAACTGTATCATACCAGCACATTTGTTATAACCTTCCTTAATTATCTTTTCCTTTTCATTGTACAAATTGTCACTTGGTTGTACATCGCTAATCCCAATTGAGAATCCGTGATTACCAATCCACCGAGCACTGCAATCCAAGCAAATACTAACAATATTAATAACATACTAATGTTGTATTTACAATATAAATGCTCACAAAACACATTTAAAATATATAGGCATCATAACAGACAAGTGATTAATAATTGAAACGCCCAGCTATAATATTTAAAATACTGACAATATTACAATAAGACAATTTCCAATTTACCAATGTAAGGTACTAAGGCTGGACATTTTCAAATGAAGACAAGAATAAATGCAGCATAATTCAGTATGAAACTGAGTTAGGATAACCATCAAAGCTACAAAACAAATTGTAAGCTAAGACATAGAATAGTCCACTCCACTGGAGTTAATAAAATAGGAAGACATGAAGACTATACAGCATCATGCAAAATAGAAATGAGTGATTGACAGCCATTAAAACTACAGAATATATTGTAAATAGAAACATTCTAAGGATTCTAACTCTCAACACAATGTTCTTAGAGCACTCAAAAATGCATGTCAGACTAGGTTTTCTTTGTTCTTTTTGGTCAGAAGATACAGGAAAAATATTTAGGGTATCCAATTGGAATAAGGAATATCATAATAATGGTAGAAATTGAGTCACTTTTCATTTTGATATTCTATACAAAATTTCATAAGTCTAAGTAGAATTTATCAATTCCATTCCATCTGTTGCAAACTCCAATTTGAGTGAAAAAGTGTATATATATATATATATATATACAGTTATTATCTCATCCGGATGACCGTTATTATCGTACGGATGCCATTGTAAATAGGGAGGAAAGCAGGGAGGGGTAGTAGAAAATACATGGCGTCAACACGATAATAACGTCCGGATGTCCGCATAGGAGAATTTCTGTATACATATATAAAGAAGTTGTATTCAACATGTTGAGTCACTTTTAGCCATCCTTTATATATATGAAGAGGTCCGTATTCAACATGTTGAGTCACTTTTAGCCCTACTTCTTTTAGTGCTTGAAAATAAACTGCAACAAAAACTAAATTAGAAATCTGAAGAAAAAAAATTAAATTCGAATGTGAATTACGATGAACACCACCAAGATGGACTAAAAGAAGCTTGCATTCAAGAAAAACTGTGCTTGATAATACCTTAACTTAGCTAGGCGATTCATGCAAGAAGCAGCCGCATGAGCTTTATAGTCTCTGAGAAGTACAGAGTAAAGTCCATCCTTATTGCCATTTCCTAAAGTGATACAAATGCAAAACTGTGAATATCAATATCACTTGCTCAAATATCCAAAGCTGACAAAGAAAAACTCCAAAAAACAAGCCACAGCTCAGAAAAAATTTAAGCTTCCAATCAATCAACTTAACTAGCTAACAAACATTAGTATCCAACACAATGGAGATTTGTAACACAGGTCTAAAGTACTTGGGAAATTTTCAACTGAAAACGTTAGTATGGTTATAAGGTTTTTTAGTAGAAGCTGTGAGTGACATAGAGGAGAGAGCCCTTCAGAACCTTCTGGAAATGCCCCTGACTGCTTCCAACAACAGAGCGATGAGCATCTTCCAAGTAAATACACTCTGCACTGCCTTTAGTTACAGCAGCCCACATCTTCTACACCCTCCTCACATCTTAAATGAGTAAAAGCAACACATATATCGCCCTTTCCTAGAGTCCATCAGTCAAAATACCCTAGAATGAATTAAAATTCTTAAATATACATAACCCAATCTGGCTACTCACCTGCTCCAAAGCTACCACTACAAACACTAACCGTCATACTTTAAGGACATAAAGGCTTAGGAATCACTAGTCAGGATAACCAATAAATGAGCAGAGAAACCACACTTAAATATAAAGCAGGCCAACTTCAGGTACAGATTAGTACGCCTCAAAAGTTGAAAGTAGGTCACCTTCCATCACAGTCAATACATTGCTCTATCCAATTTTCCAATTATCTTCTCTTGAATCTAGAGAATGGAACCACCCCTGCTCTTTGGAGAAACACAAATTTGTCCTGATCATACCCGTTTTTCTTTCTAAGTGAAATACCATGTAGACCAGATTTCATCATATAGAGGAGAGAGCCCTTCAGAACCTTCTGCAAATGCCCCTGATAACTTCCAACAACAGAAGAATGGCCATGCTCATATGGTAAATTCCTATTCTGCCTGCTCACAGAAGTTCTCATGTCATCACAAATCACATCTACCACTTTGTATCATTTTAAAATCTCAACCAACTTTGTTGAACCAATTCAGGTCCAATACAGCACCATAGATATGCTACTTTACCAGGTTGATATTTCATATGCCCTGGCACCAGCACCATGAACCTATCTAGGACAATAAAATTGGCCCTCAAATATTTAATTTGAGAAATGTACCAAAAATGATACATCTTATTACTTGTGCTTCAATTCTAAAAAATGTAGAACTACTAAAAAAAACATATATTGTCAAAAGACTGACCTAAGGTACCCTTCCCAAGTTGGCCAGCTATGAGCTCACTGTTACGAAAATAAACAAACCCATCATTTGGGCACATTGCTTCAGGTCCTCCATCTTCAGTCTTGCTGTATGATTTCTCATTAACAGTAAAATTTAGATAGACTCTCACATTTGAATTTGGGCGTACTAGAACGCTAAATAATTGTTTCCCCGTCCATAGCTCTATTGGCTGCAAAACGACAACTGTGTTTCAGTTAGGAAAAGAACATATATATAGAATAAATGATATAGACATTTGACCAGAATTCCAAAGTGTATATGTACAATTGTGACACAATAGAAATAAATTATGGCTTTAGCAACTCACCTTAATTACAGCAGGTGTTGGCAAGTCAACAGGATCTGTTCCATCCCCCATATATGAACACATGAGTGAAAAGGATGCACGGTCATAAAATGTGTCCTTCCTTGTTATAAGGAAAGAGGATGTTAGAAAATCTTGAGTGGAAGCAACCAAAACCTCTCCATTTTTCGGAGTGCATAGATTGTTTTGCACCTGAAAAATACACTGAAATGTTACATGAAAACAAAATGCAGTGAACAGTCAACAGAAGTATAAGCAACAGGAGATGCCAGGGGGGCGGAAGCGGAGGAGGTGTGAGAGAAGGCAAAGTACTGGGCAGCGCTCTGGGTTTCTGTTTCTCCTTTTTTTTCACGAATACATCCCTTTCAACCGTTTTGTGTGATTGGAAGGCGGCAGTGTCTTGATTAGGATTGGTTTTTTTTTTCTTTCTCATAGTGGTAGATCTCTGTATTTGTTTTCTTGTTTCTTTCTATTATTGGTGGATTACTTGTCCACTTTTCTAAAATTTCTCCTTTTAAAAAACTTGTACATGATCAATAGCACCCCCATCAAACCCAGATCAGTAAAATGAAGCAGTATTTCATTTCATTTTCCCACATGAAAGTTAATAAATAAATGAAAGGGTCCATGATGATAAATATTCAATCAAAGTCTAAAAAGGGACAAACTAGACAACTAAGATGGCACTAATGATGTTTCAGAAACGTCCTAGCTTAGCTGAGGTACATTCTTTATAAAATTTAGGAGCTGTTCAGCTGCCTCAGATGCACTTACTCTGAAGATAAGTAGAACGTTCAACTAAAAAGCATTAAAGGGTCACTACCCCTGTAGTCAAGTGGTATAAAATAAAATTACGGAAAAACCAAAGCTGACAGAAAGACAGCTTGGGAGGGAAAAGGGCACATAAATCACTGTAAACCTAATTCCAGATAAAACAACAATGGCTCAGGAGATTCAGGATTGAAAGAGCTAACCATTTGAATACTATATTGACTTGTGTGTGTAGGTTGGGTTAGGGTGGGACATGAGGAGGCGTTTCTTAGATCAATCAAACATGTGATGAAAATAATTGCAATTTGTATATTCCTGTAATAGTGAATCCCTCCTTATAAGATCCTGTTCCTAGCGGTCATGATAATGTCGTAGGGCACTTTATTCATCAGTTGGTTGGTTCCAACTTCAAAAAATATTATTCTCATTCTGTGTTCCATAAGGGGTCCAATGGAAAGGTATGGTCCAGAAAGGGTCCAATTGAATGATAGGCTTAAAATTTTGCATCCTTAGTCCTTTTTGTCGTTAAAGTCATTGTTCCGGGCCACTTTTCCAATGTGCATAAACTTGACATTCCTTATATGATAAACTTCAGAGATAGTAACAAAAATATTTGGAATTGCCTTCATGTCTTAAAAGTCTCCTTGCATCCGAATCGTGTTGATAGGTCATGGTCAGCTCACTCATCTGGTTACTTTTCTTGTAAATCTCTCACTACAATGCTCAAATAATCCCAATGCAAAATTTTTAAGTTTTAATGTAGGGAAAAACTGTAGTTTTATGGATAACAATTGGCATATAACTCAATGAAGTGAAGATTCAATCTAATTTACCCCCATCAACATAACAGCCTCTGTCCGAGCCTCCTCTGTTTGTGGGACATGCATATTCATTTCATCACCATCAAAATCAGCATTGTAAGGGTTGCAAACAGATTCATTAAACCTCAATGTTCTCCAAGGCATAACCTTAGCCTGCATTCACAAATTGATAAAGTGTGACCAAATATCAATAAAATTCATGTGAAAAACATATACAAAATTCATTCGAAATATGTAATCACCCTATGGCACATGATAGACATCCGATGCAAGCTTGGTTGTCTGTTGAAAAGAACAATGTCCCCATCTTCTAGATGACGTTCAACTATGTCACCGTATTTGAGTCCATCAGCAGCGTTCTTTCTGTTAACCTTTAAGGACCTTCAGCACAAAACAGTAAATTCAAATCACCATCAAAGCAAGCATTTCCATATAAGAAAAGAACAGAAAAAAAAAAAGTTAATCCCCTACCATTCTGTGCCATCAGGATTTCTGAGCATTCTGGCACCAGGGTACTTATCAGGTCCATTACTGACGCACTGCCTCAACTTCTCAATATTATGATGGGAAACACGTTCTGGATAAGTTAAGATTTGAGCCATTTTGATAGGGATTCCAACCTAAATCCAATAAAAATTTCAGAGGAAACAAACCTAACAACAGGCACATAAATTAAACTAGCATGAACGCTTGGCGCAGGTTTTAGCACAACATCTAACCTCAGTGATTTTCAAATTAGGGTCAGGTGATATAACAGTTCTGCCAGTATATTCAACACGCTTCCCTGATAAATTCCCACGAAAGCGGCCCCCCTTCCCTTTGAGGCGCTGTACAAAACCACTCAATGGCTTGGCAGTTTGCATGGAAAAGGGAACGCCACGAATGTCACTATTTATATACTGTGCAACCTCAACTTGAAGTATATCCCAACTAGCCTGGACCACAATTCTCAGCATTAAGCATTATACAATCACAATATGGAACCACAAGTGACACCTACTATACCATTTAACTTCACCAGCAGAACAAGATGTAAAAAGATATTCAGATACACATACAAGAAAGATAATACAGCCACGTGCAAAAGGAGGCCTCATAATTAACTCAGATATTCTAAACCATAAAAAGCACATGCAAAGTTCTAGTGAACCGCTACAGAAACATAAAGAAGTTAACGTAGGAAAAATATCAATAAATGAATGTGATTATTTTTCTTTTTATAAGAATACTACCGTCAGCCAACCAAAACAAGACACATAAACTAAAATACAAGAACAAGCATCTCTCAGTTCAAAACAAAGAAAAAAGCTTCCTGGACAACTCTCAGTAGAGCACACCTCCCCAATCCAGAAGAACTTCGCTAAGGGGAATGTCTTAAAATCTATGCACAAGAAGTCCACATAGAACCTAAATATATAATCTATCCCAAACTGAGTTCAAACTCTTCTCGCCTTCAAAGATTCACTTGTTCCATTCCAACCAAACAACCCATGAAGAAGCCAAGCACATCTTCAAAGAGTATGCACCTTCTTGAATGCCCCTGCACCAAAACAATTTTCCAATAGCAACAATACATAGCTGTTCTAGGACACACCCACCTCTACCCAAACAACTTCAGCAAACCACCCCTTTTGGCCCCAATTGTACTTTCCTGAGTGACATATGCATATGTTTGACCCAAAAAAAAGAGTGACTTATGCATTTCCTGTCGACAAAATTGACAGAATGTTGGACCAATGTGATATGGCTAGAAAACTAAAGGAGTTCTTGTTTGAGTTTTAAACTATAGAGACAACAGAAGAATGTAATCTGGTAAACTAACAAAAAAATAATGCATAAAATCATGAATGTGAATCATTTCTCAGCAAAACTAAAATATTTATCAGCATATATCTCACGCAAATAGAAATCACATCATACGTCAAATACAGTAAATCAAGTATTTACTTGACCACACCAGCACATAACTTCACATACAAAACGAGTATTTCTGACTCATGCCTGGGAAGGAGTCTATATCAAGTCAAACATGCAGAATTTCATGCACAAATGTGAAGTAAATAAGGAGACTACACTAACAATAAACAATGAACAAAGACATCATTGAAGGCACAATAGAACAAGCCTTGCAGTACTCCAGGTCAGACAAGTGTCCTCTATCATACCAAACATTTGGGTGCAGATTTTGCTTCTAATAAATCCCGTCTTAGAATAGCATTGGATTGAATAATTCTCTTTAACCTCTCTGTAATGTCATTTTCATTGCTGCAGTAGGAAAAATTGAAACCCAATCAGCATCATTTGCAACTGGAATACCGCAGAAGGATATGATGACACCTAAGTAAAACAAAAGAGACAAAAAGGGAGAAAAAATCTGCAAGTGAATAAATGGCATGTTGAGACAACCTCAGTGATCTATCCACAATAACAGAAGGCCGAATAGCTATAGGTGGCACAGCAATGTTTTTCATGATGAGGTTCGCTGGTCTATTCGAAAGATTAAGCAACTCACAGTCCTGCAATAACAATAGAATATATAAATCTGCTTCAAGAGGAACAGAGATGCAAGAAAATGGCTAGCATCCACCATATTCTTTCTTTTTTCCTTTTTTTTGCTTACCAACTATAAAATTAAAGTTACCAAAATAATCAACTTATATAGAATTAAAGGGTTCTTAAGAATATACAAGTACCTCATCAACCATCCTTTTAAACAGAGAATAAATTCTAGCAGGGTTTAGCATATGAGTTGCCACATTAAATGATGCCTTGGACTCTTTCGTGTGAGAAAGTGTTGTTCGAAAGTCATCCATAACACCATTAAGTTTTGAACGATCATGAATAATGCCCAGCACACCCACAGCCTTCTTCACTGAACCTGTCATACATTACATATCGAGGCAATCACTACGCTTTTTGAAAGATGATAGAAGCTCCAGCCACCGAAAATGAAATTTGATGAAAGTATAAAGAAAAATTATAGAAACCAAACCATTTATAAATCCACATTTGGAGCACTTCACTGGTCTATAATTGGTTGCCAAGCTATTACACTTCTTCACTATCTTTTTCATCAGCTCGGTTTTCCTCAAAGGCTCCATCTTGGGACTTCTCATCTTCTTCAAAAAGTCGTTGCGCATTCCCTCCTCCAAAAGTATGCCAGAACATAACTACAAAAATAATAATAATAGCAGAAACTTATCATGGAAACCCCTCGTGAATAAAATTCAACAATAAAAAGTTACTAGAAAGAAATCACAAATGGAAGGAACACAATCCTTGTACCTTGCAAATGCACTTCAAAATGTCCACAATAGTACTTAAATATCCAACATTCAAAACAGGGAGGGCAAGCACCAAGAATCCAAAGTGCCCTGGACAGTCCTTCATTACCGCACCACATGTCGCACACTCACCACTACTCTTATTTGCTGGGCCCTGAAACAAACAAGGACAGCCAAGTAAAGCATACTCCATAGTTTGAATGATACATAGTAATTCTTTCTTCTGTATTTAATCATTTCAAACTTGAATTGTCCATGTGAAATGTGAATGCACGTGCAATTAATACAAAGAAAATTGGAATGCAGAAAATGGTATCCAGTGTGTGAGTCAATTGTAGTGACTGTTCTGGCATAACTCATTCACTAAATCTAAACTTGCAACAATATCCAATTAAAGCAACCAAAAAATGCTTCAACAATAACCAAAAGCATTTGCTATAACAATTCAAGGGTGAGAGTGTACCAAGCGGGGGTCCAATAAGCCGCCTTCGATAGGCTTTTGATTGGGATCATAATAATTGCATTTATAAATTTGAGTTTCAGCCATATTGACAATCTCCGTGTCGGACATGGCGCTGAATTGCCATTTTTCTCTACAGGCACAACGATACCAGGCATGGAGTAATCGAAAACGACATGGTTTTACTAGTATCAAATTGAACCAATTGAAATTCAAGAAAGAAAGAAAAGAGGTCTTACATTTTACGATGCCCTTCGTCTTCGATGAAGGGCTGTTTGGTGAAGATTAGGGTCTTGGCTTGGCCTCTATTCATCGTCCTCATTGATCAACACCACAAAAAGACTACTTCGAGAGAAGAAACAAAAACGGAGATAAAAATTGGTTAATTGGAGATATATTTGTGCCCACAAAACTAGATTGAAATACTCAAAATTCCGGGCTAACTTGATAACAACTATTGAAATATTATAAAAGGATGTCTCTTTGCATTTCGAAATTACTATGCTACAAATTTAAAGATATAATAAAGAACAAATACCAAATGGAGATGGCGCCGACTGTGTAGCTTCAATGGAGAAGGCGCAGGAACATGTGCAGTTGATTCGAGAAAGAGAGAGAGCACTCAGTGTTGACGGGTAGTGAGAGCGATGGGGGGACGACAGCACAGAAAGGTTTTGGGTTGGGGTTTTAGGCTGGCTGGGTAAAGGGCTGCACAGTCGACATATACGTGAACAATATATAGTTTTGTTTCTTTTTTTTTCCCCCTATTTTTTTTCTTGCCAATTGCATTGAATTGATCATAAGGTGTCTCAAAAAATTGTTGATGATACCCTCATGGAAGGGGTGGGCATCGGGGCCGGAAAGCCAAACACCGAATTGTACCGGATAGAAAAAATCATAAAAATATTCACTAAAACCAAACAGAATCGCACTAGTTAAATAATACCGATTTTGATTCCAGTGCAAGATGAAAATCGGATCGGACTGGACCGTGCCCACCCCTACTCATGGTGCCCATCAAAAAATCATATGTGAGAGTCACATCAGACGGATATATTCCAATTCATCATGTATTTAATAACACATAATGAATTTAAAAATTATTTAGTAGGTTGAGCTCTTCTACCTCCATTCATGTGGGCAAAGGTTCGCAATCATCGGACACCCAATGAATACTTATGCAAACCCCTCCCTCAATAGTTTGTACTTAAAAAACAAAAATAGTTTATAAGCAAAGGACCCACTAATAGAGTGATTTGGAGTAATTGCTTCCTAAGTAAGAGCATCTCAAAGGGAGATGTCAAATACCAAACATCAAATTTAAATTTGATGGCTAATGTGGCAATTTGACATTTACATACTTTTACACTCCATCCGATATGTCAAATAAATAATTATTGTAACAGTCAAATCATTTAAGATAAAGAAGAAAAAGATAAAAAAAGAAATAATAAATGAAAGTAATAGCCAGTTGTCTTTAAAAAATAATAAAATATTCATTTGACATCTTACTTTTGGGATGTCAAAAATAGCATCTCAACCTCTGCTTTCATTCCACATCAGCTTTGTCACATCGGTTGGAGTGATGTGAGATGTTATTTCTAGCTGTTAAATGTCTATGTTGTATGTTTGACACATCGGTTGGAGATGCTCTAAGTCATGGGTTCGAGTCCTAGCACTCGTGTTGTATGTATGAGTTTAGCATATTATTATCTCTCTAAATAGGAAATGTCCTTCCACAAAGAAAGAAAAAAGAAAAAAAAAATCAAGCCAAAAAGTAGTAACATCCAACGGTCAGAGTTAGTTGGAGCACACCTACTCAGTTGCACTCTCCGAACTCTCCATGTTGTGAAGTTTTATTTTATTATTATTTTTAAAAAATTTAAAATTATTTTTAAGGTTTTTTAGGTTTTAGACATAAAAAAAATTTCACTTTTGGAAAAAGCCAAAGCTTTTTCAAAAAAGACAAAAAAAACCGCTCAACTTTCAAATCAAAGACATGCAAATGTATTGGATTCCTTAGGAAATCTAAAAATAAATAAGGGCATTTTTGTCCATTTTTGCTTCTTTTAAAATTTTTCTCTCTCCTTTTGCTTTTTCCAAAATGTCCCTTATTTAAATATCCGCCCTAAATTGAAAACCCTAAGATAAAAACCCTCTCTTTCTCCCTAAAACCCTAGAAACGCTCAATCAACCATGACGGTCTCAGGGACCGTGCTCTCCACAAAGCCAATCTCTCTCTCCAAAGCGACCTCGACTTTGTCCTCCTTCGTCTCCAGCGACACCGGCGCGTCGCAAGAGTTCAGCGTGTACCTCCAACGCGCCTTGGCATCGTTCAAGGAGCTGAAGCAGCTCCACAAGGAGCTCAAAGCGCCGAGGTCCCAACGCAGGCGATCGCGGCATAGGTCGGAGGCTGAAAATGACGACGCAGAGACCGTCGGAGAGAATCCGACTCGGAGTGTTGTGGTGAGTCATGAAGTGAGTCATGGGCTCGAGTTAGAATCAAAGCCCAAGCCCAAAAGGCAGCGAAAGGAGAGTAATAGCAATGGGAGGCTTGAGAATGAAGAACCCAATCGTCCGGTAGTGGATGCTGTTGAGAGGAAGGAGGAGGGGAAGAAGGAGAAGAAGGGTGAGTTTCTTAATTTCAGGGAAGATGGAGGTGCAATTGCAAAGAGGGAAGGTGAGGGTGTTGAAAAGAGAGAGGCTTCTGATCCAGTAGAGGTGCATGACAAGAAGAAGAAAAAGAAGAGGGACAATGTTAGTAATTCTGATGAAAATGGGGGTCATTTTGACCAGGGATATGGTGGGGTTAAAGTTGCAGAGGGGGCAGGGGAGGGTCTTGAAAGAAGAGAGGCAGCTGATTCAGCAGAGATGCATAATAAGAAAAAGAACAAAAGAAGGGGGACACCGTTGGTAATTCCGTGGAAAATGGGGGTCAAATTGGGAAGGGAGATGGTGGGGGTAAAAATGCAGAGGTAGGAGGTGTGGGTGTTGAAAAGAGAGAGGCAGCTGATTCAGTAGACATGCATGACAAGAAGAAGAAGAAAAATAAGAAGGATACTGTTGGTAATTCTAATGAGAATGCAGTGCAAATTGAGAAGGGAGACGGTGAGGCTAAAATCAGAAACGAAGAGGTAAAGAAGGAAGAGGGGAAGAAAAGGAAGAGTGGGGTGTTAGATGCTTTGGAGGAAAATCTGGATAAGAAAAAGAAAAGGAGGAAAAGTTGAGAAGATAACCAAGTTTAAACGGTTGTCATTTTTGTTGGGTTTCAGTTTTCTGGAATTTCGTCATGATTTCAATTCCATGGAGGATCCCTGCTGAGCAGGTTCAGGGAGGTTCAGGTTTTGAGGTTTCTATGTAATACCAATTATTAAGAGGATCTGTTGTTTGTTTCTGGTTATATTATGGATTGCAATGAAAATCTTGCCGCTGATTAATGTCATCTCACTGTTGATTTGTTAATACAAGTATTATTTCAATTTTGTGTTTCATGCATCTTGAAGAACACAGATTGTATCAATTGCAATGTTGTAGATGGCCTATGTAAGTAAAATGGACATATAAAGCACCACAGGAGGATTTTTTTTAATTAATGGAGGAAACTGCAGTTGATCCACATTTCCAACAAATTAAGTGTGCTACTTTCAGTAATTGTAATGAAAACTTTTTCTTTTTCTTCCAGGTAATTTTGTAATGGGTACTCTTTTCTTTGTAATACTAAGGGGATGCCTTGTTTGTTTTTGGTGATACTACTGATTGCAATGCAAATTTGGCCTCTGATTAATGTCATCCTAGTTTTGATTCTTAATACAAGTGTTATTTCAGTTTGTGTTTTGTGCATTTTGAAGAACACCCATTTTATCAATTGCAATGTCGTAGATGGGTTAATGGAAGAATGCCCTATGAAAGAAAAAGAACATTGAAAATGGAAAAAACTGTGCTTTACTCACACTTATAAGGGTGCTGCTTTTGGTAATTGGATGCGACAACTTTAAGTTCTCTATAGATATGTGTTTTTGTTTTCTTTTCTAATTTCTGCATTTTTGTTCTTTGATGCATATTTGATATTCCTTTGCTCTTGGATATAATGATCCAAGGTTGAATGGGAGGAGTCTTTGTTTTTCCACAAAGTGCTCCATCAGCTTATTCAATAATGTGCCAGAACATGGTATTTTCCAGTTCCTTTACTACCTGGATCAGTGGGGTTTACAATAGAGTGAAACTATAGAGATCCACTTGTTCAATTGCCCCGTGGTTTCCAAAAGGCATATACAACCAGGTGGACCATCAGATAAAATGGCACCCAGTTACATGTGTTTGAGAGCACTACCAGGTATGAGGTCTCCTTATCGGCTCTTCCATGTTCATGTTTCCGCGAATCTAACAAAACTGTCTCCACCACCAACTTTGTGGGATGCATGAAGTTCTTGTTTGTTTGTTTTTCTATTGAAAATTTATCATCACTTTCTCCTCAGTTAGTTTTTAGTTCTTTCAGTTTACTTTATTCTATCGATGTTTGTTCATGTAATTGAAAACAAAAACAAGGGTACATACATCCATAATACCAGTTCAACACTGTACTGCAAAAACTAGAGAGTCCTCACTCTCAATGCCAATTCATTAGATATATTATGTTTACTTTTTATACCATGTATATCTGAATTTCTTCTGTTTCAGATAAAGGATGGTTTAATCAATTTATGGAAACTACACATGGCTGTTATGTGAATCCTTTAATTTTCTTTTTATTCTAGTTCTTGCTTTCCAGGTCTGAATCCCCTTCCTACTTTGCTTTAGCCAAAATGTTTAGCAGTAGAGAAGGTTTGATATTTTTACCAGCATTAATATGTTACCAGGATGAGCTGATGGTAGAATTCCCTGATCTGTATCGAAATTGACCAGGCCCTGAAAGGCCAGAGGTGCACTTATGCAACCTTGTCTCACCCCCTTGATATGTACCACACCTAGGCACCACCGCTGCATCGGGCAATTACATTCAGAGAAGTGCTATCTTATTTATTAATGGCGTTAGATTCCAAATGTTTTTCCATAACGCTTGTTTGCTTAGAATGTTTACTTGTGTTAAAGACAAATAAACAACAATAATATTTGCTTCCTTCTTTCCAATTAAGAATAACATAACAGCAAATACAAATAAGGGAGGAGAAAAAAAAAACAGTTCATTTTATGCTAGCTAGAAAGGTCTGTGATTGCTTCTCATAACGAAAATGAGCCTTCTTGGAGTCATCGGCAGACCAAATAAAAATGCCATGAAGTTTGCCCTGATGTCGAAGCCTAGCACAAGCCTCAAAGAATCCATGTTCAGGGGACAACCCCCCACTTCCATCTGTTCCAAAGCTCACTAGAATCTTTCCACCTTTGTAATTTGAGCTCTGGATCTCAAAATGTTTTAAAAACTGATTTATAGTCGTGCCCTTATCATAGGCATAGAACTGAAAATTAACATAGTCAATGAGATGCCCATACTTCCTCCACAATGCCAAGTAATATGGTTGCACTGCGTCATTCTCATATGGTGCTATTGATGTGAACGACACAATATTGTTTTGTTTAAGGTAGAACAGTAGTCGCCCAATGCATTCAGCAAATGTATTGGGATCTGTCTGGAAGTGTTCATAGTCAATATCAATTCCATCCAAATGATATTTTTTCGTTATCTGAACTATTGAGTCGATAGCATTTCTAACCCAAGAATTGATTGATGTAGAACTGAAGTTTGCAGATTTGTTGCTTACGGTATCACCTCCAAGACTCAGAGCTACTTTAGCATTTCGATGACGAGCCTTGATGGCGGATACATGAGCAGGGGTAAGATTCTCTGTGTCCCAGAAGACATTAAAGTTGCCATTAGTGGGCGTAGGATGATTGGATTGTGTATAGTCAATGGCAAAGGAGAGGATGAAGTGAAATTCAACTTTGGAATCAACGGGCACTTCTTCGAAAGTGACGCCGTTGTTCTCAGCTCCGATGTATTCTCTGAAGAGCTTTGAATTTGCTGCTTGGATTGATGACATTGTTGTGAAGAACATTTGAAGAAAAAGAAATATGAGCAGCTTAAATGTGGTCATGGCTACCGAAAGTGGGAATATTGAAGTTCTGCAACCTTGTGCGAGGTACTTATACAAGTAAGTTATAGATTGAATATTTATTTATCTACAATATATTTGTTTTGGGGCAGGTGTCTCATTCTTATTGGAAAGCATAATATTACTTCTTTACAAACCAAACTCTTTTGATTCCCCGTCAAGTATGTGGACAAGGGAATATGTTTTGCGGGCATTGGCAGATGTAACCAACCAACCACTAGATGCATAATATATGTCATTTTTGTTTGCGAGGAATCCAACATGTATCATTTGGATACAAAACCTTGAATTGATTAATTAGGCGCCTATGTGGATTGTCTTATTAGAAACATACCTTAATCTTTGGATGCTCATGATTTATCTTAAGTATATACTCGATATGGAATCTAGTATTCAGCATATTTTATAGAAGTATCATCTATTTGACTTGAATGCATGTCTACGACTGATCGATCGATCAATCAGAGGGCTCCATTAACTTTAAACCCTTATTGCAGCTATTTGCACTTGAATGCATGTCTACTACTGATCAATCAATTGGAGGGCTCCATGAGTTGGAAACCCTTATTAATCTATCTTGATAAACAAGAAGTTATACTTTGTTTTTCATTTTATTTATGCCAGTTTTTCCTGGTCGTATACGTTGACATTACAACTTATCTTGTGACAATCCCTACATATTCTGATGTAAAACTGTGAATTGAAACTGTTGATTAGGTGGAATTTGAATACGTGGTTACGATTCAGTCTAGTAGCATAACATGTCATATATTTGATAGTTGATCATTCTTCTACCATGACATTGCCATTCTCCACACGTAAAAGAAACCTTGATACTTCTTATTCATTTATAATTTTTATGAGAATGGAACTTTCAGACACCTAGAAACTTAAGACTCCTCAGGCGGCAATGGTACATCTTTTTCTGGACGGCTGGTTGCATAGATACATGCGTATGTTGGGTTGGCTGGTTTCTTTGTTGGACTAGAATTTGAACTCGTGCAACACAAAAACAAACCTGGCCGGACAATCCGCCATAACTTCATTGTTTTTTGTTCCAGAGTGTACTTGGGTGGAGATTAAAATAAAGCAGAGTAGCACATTGAAAAAGAGAGAATATTTCTAATAATCCAAGAACTGAAAAAGAACAGCAACAATCCGCCAGTGACATATTATTTGAATATTGAGTATTGAGGCCTCTTACATTATGATATTTGAGTGTTAGAGTATGTTATTGTCTCTCTCTTTTATTCTCCCTCATCTCTGCATAACCAAAACAATTTTGGCCAAGTAAATCCAAAAGATACCAAAGAATAAAAAAATGGGTCACAAAATTCTTTGGACAAGTTAAGGTTAGAGGTAATAGAAGCGAATAAGATCAACATTTGGGAAGATCAGCAGGTGGAGGAAGCAACTTTTGATTGGGAAGCTTTCCATCTAAGACTACCCAAGCCATCTTCAATCCCCAACTTGTGTGGATCTCCAGGTGGCAATGCATAAACCACACACCTGTATATTGACACATCAACCTTTCAATATCAGTCATCAAAATCAACCCAAAGTAATAAAGTTTGAGTACGAATTACACATCAATGATCAGGAAATATGGTTTATATTTTCATCAGTAAATTCCTTTTAGCAAATTTACATGGATCACAGAGATGTGTTGTGAGATTTACGTAAAACTTAAAGTTCTATGAAAAAGAGAGATCACAAAGAGAGATGTGATCAATAATGTGATACGCATATCGTTTCTGTTATATCTTAGCTTCAATATATTACCTGGGTTATCTGCTAAAAACCGAATAGCAACCCATCCACCAGAGGGAACGCCCACAGTGTTCCTCTCAACAGGGTCAACCAGATTGAACTTTGCAGGGTCCTTATTTCTGTCAAAGTTCCCAAATCCTTGACCCACAACAAAGAAATTAAACCCATGAAGATGCAGAGGATGGCTCTCAGCACCAAGAATGCTAGTGTCCTGCATCACCAACTCCACACTGGTGTTAAATGGAAGCACCACCAGCTTTGTCCCATTGCTCACCATAGTATCATTTGGTGGGACCCCTGTGTAGTTAAATGGGATTATAGGATTGGTTGGGAAGTCAGGAGTATAAACCCCATTTGATTGGCCAGAAAAGTGGGATTGGAGTAAGGCATTGTTTGGCATGGCAAAAGAAATGTTGTTAATTGAAGCGGCAAACATTGTCCCATTGGGTCCTTGACAGGTTTGGTTATGTTGGCTACAAGGGTTGGTTCCAAGGCCTACTGTGAAGAAAAAATGTTTGTCAACTTTCTGGGGTACATTAGCTGGGAATTGTGCATTGTTCAAGCTGCGGAGTTTGTCATTGAATTTTGTTGCGAACGATGTGTCGTTTAAGGCCGGGAGATTGGGTTTGAAGAGTGGAAGTTTCTTCATTTTTAGGGTTTTGGTGTTGGGTGGGAATTCATACTCTAAAATGCCAGCAACTGTGGAGTTGTCAAATGTACCTAGGCCAGTCACATATGGCCTAGCAGTCAAGAAAAATGTGGCATTTGGGAAGCTGGGTTTGGTTTTGAGAAGAACATTTGTGGTTTGTCCAGGGGCAATGAGAATTGTGTGGGTCTCAAAGGGTTTGACATAGACGGCATCAGCTTCTACCACTTTGAGGGTGTGATTTGCAATGCTGAAGAAGAGCTCATCATTGAGTGCTGCGTTGATCAGGCGCAGAAGGTATGTCTTCCCAGCTTCAACCTTTAGCTTGAATGCATCTGCAAAAAGGAGCCATACAAGCAAACTTTTCCTCATATAACTCGAATAACAAGGTGTTGAGCTGTAACAAGGAGATTTTCCAGAATCGTGCATGCTAGTTGTTAAAACGGTCTTGATTAGATATTTGAAATGTTATGTTGTCAAACAGTCAATTTAAACTACCTATTCAGATACAAAGGTCACTTTTTAAAGTTCAGCTTGATAGTATAAAAATATAAGGTGTTAGGAATGCAATTTTATTTTGATTAATTTGATACCTTTGGCAGAGCAGTTGTACAAGGGCCCTGGGAGACCATTAAGGGTATAAGCATCAGAGACATTTGGGCCTCCACCTGTTTGCAAGGCCTGGCTAATAACTGCCTCAGGATCTGCATTCCACCACTCTCCTGTGTTTTAAACATACATGTTGTAACCATATTAGCATATGACAATAGAATAGGCCAGAAAACATACATGCTTGGTTACAAGAATTAATTAATTAATTAATTAGGAGTAGTAAAGACTAATTACCGAAGATTATCGGCACCGCCTTATAGGGTTTAGTGAATGGGTAAGGCACTCCAAGCTTGGGAAGGATGATTAGGGGACCATAAACAGTTGATCTTAGCCATGAAATGTGAGCATGCCACCAAAGAGTGCCTCTTTGGCCTACAATGGTGAAGTTGTACACATAGCTGTGGCCTGTTTGTATGGGACATTGGGTCACATATGCAGGCCCATCAGCCCACCCTGTTCGAAGCTGTCGAATGCCGTGCCTGGTAATTAACAAAAAATAATAATTAATTAACTAACTTCCAGTTCATTAGGCTAATTATGCATGGCAATAAAATTTAAGCCAAAGAATGAACTCTAGATTGCTTATGAAGTTGTGGTTAATCACAATTACCAATGAACAGAGATGTTGTTTTGGACATGGTTAATCACTTTAATAAGGAGTTGGTCACCCTCCCTAGCAACAATTCGAGGCCCAGGAAACTGTCCGTTTACTGTTACAATGCTCTTTGTCTGGCACAACCTTGTCACGTTTTGCAGTTTGATCTGTGAAACCAATCAAGACAGGTTAAACAAGGCAGTAAAAAAGGACCCAATAATAAGAAAAGAAAAACTACGTATCATATATGACAAGAATATTTCGCCTAGGGGCTAATTTTATCTTGTTACAATTAGACATATGTAACGATAGGGTTGCGTGCATATTTTTAAACTGAATCATATATATAAGAGAACATGTCAAATTATCTGACAAGAGAACATTTCTCCTTGTGCTTGAGTGCTGTGTATGCATGATAAGACTTTGTAACACATATATATGCACATACATCAAACTTGTAGTGCCTTGTTATGCTTGCAAGAGCATGCTGAGGACTGAGACATAATGTCATGAAAGAGAAGAGAAAGAGGGTAAGAAATGACGGTGATGAAATAAGAGGAACACCCATTATCTCTCTCCCTCTCTCTCCTTATGTTTTTGTGCAAGAAAGTGTAATGTGGGTGAAACTGCAGCTGCTCCAATCCAAATGAGTGTGTGGTGAAGAGAGAATGTTGGGTGTTTATATATAGAGGTGTGTTTTGGTCGAGTAGGTGGTCATAGAAATTTGAAATAGTTTATAGGAGAAAATTGTACTGGAAGATGAGAGCTTCATGAATTAGCTATTTAAAAATGCAATGCATATGGTTGTTAGAACAACTTTAGAGTGGTGTCAAAGACAATCAATTTCTGTTGACCTCCTTCCCTTTCAAGTCGAACCTAAGCATTTTTCACGTCCCTCTGTATCTTTTGAACTCAAAATGGACGTGATTTTGACCTACTTATTTCTAGGCTCAGCAACAACTATGAGTCTATGGGAAAAGGCAAAACGCATATACAACTCTTTGCATGCTTTCAAGTGCGTAAAAAAGTGAAGGAACTAATAATAAATGATGTGAAAAGTATTGGCACCATGCATGTGCCTTGAAGTATCAGCAAATTTGTACGGGGGTTTCTAGCTGTAGTGATAAGAACTTGCATGAAACAGGGATATAATTGTGGCGATATTTCAAGTCAATCACATACTGTCATGTGAAAAAATTAAAATACACGACAATTTATACGTGATTAGCACATAATACAATCATAGTGACATTCCCGATATATAAGTTTTTCTCCAAAACAAGAATTCAATTCTCCTCACCATGACTTAATGTTAAGAAATTAAAGAAAAAAAGTAGTTAATTAATCTCTTGTAGTAAGATGTAAAAGTGAAGGGAAGGTTAAAACATATGATTTTCCCGGCACACATGCACCTTTCTCAACCGTTAACCTTCGTAATGAAAAAGTTGATTAGTATGTCGGGAGATGAGACTGATTACACTCAAGTGTTCATTCAATCATAAAGGTCGAGCTTCTTGTTGTTGCACCAGCTATATTTGGCCATCTCTCTTTGTCTTTGAAGTTCCATATAAACTACTTTCCTAACACTTAACAACCCTTCAATTACAAACCCAACAAAGACATTTATTTAGAAGAGATTCTTTTAATAAATAAATAAAATATTATAAGGGGAGAGGTTTATTCGAATTTAATACTGTTTTAATATTGAAAATAAAAGTATTAATTTGGTTCATTGAAACCAAAACGAACCAAACCGCTTGAATTAATTTTGATTTGGTCTTGAATAATTTATTCGGTTTTTTTCCCAATCTTGCATGGAGGATTAATTATTAAGCAAAATTCACTAAACAAATATTAGCAGACAAATACATCAACAAAACCCCCCCAAAAAAAAAATTTGCAATATTTCATGGTTGCGTGATTTGGGCTACCTATCTTATGGGCTACGAAGTTTTTTGGGCTTCAGGCCCAATCTAACCCAAGAAAAAGAAAAAAAATAATAGCAAATTTTTGAGCGAGAGCAAACGAAGTAGAAAGCGATACAATCAAAGGAACAGATTTAAGATGAAGATCACCGTCATGACGATCCTGACGAAACTGTAAAACCCTAATTTCAGCTTTACATTACAAACCTCACTCACTTGCAATGTATGCGTATATCTCTCTCTGTAAAGGTATGCATACGATTCGTGTTGCTGCTTTGTTCTGTTTAATTAATCTGTTTGTTAGTTTTCAATTGAAGTAAAGTTTAGGTCTTTCTTTACTTGGGGAATTAGAGGAACGAGTGAAGAACCGAAATTTAAATACATGATTTTGACATTCAACGTAATTTTTTTAGTGTTGAAAACTACTTGATATTTCAGTTAACTAATTAATTAATAGATTAATGTGTTCTGAATTATTTGATTTTTGTTTTTACAATGTAAATAGGCAAATGCAGATTCTGTTGCTGCTTCAGAAACAGCAACCGCCATGTGAGATGGAAGGGAGGGATATGAGGAATTCTGAGGAGCTGAGTGCCCTTGGTGTCAAAGATGAAGATTTGATACTGATAGTATGCAATGCTGCTTAAGGTACCACTTGACCCATTTCTTCATTTGCATGAATTCTCAGTAATTAAAGAAACCTTGTGCACTATCTATACTAGTGAATTGAGCTTCTGCTACCAGTGAATTGAGCTTCAATCCAGATGGGTTCTGCTGTAAATATATTAGGAAGGATCAATTTGGGAGAACAATTATTTCTGGTAGTTTGGTGCTCTTTTTGTTAATTTCTTTGTTTTGTTTTGGATACGGTTGTAGATAGACACCTATGTTAGTGCATCTAAAGATGCATCAATGAGATGAATTCATTTTTCTTCCTCTTCTTTAAATAGGCATTGTTTTTATGAAAGTATAATCTGTTTGTTGCAGAGTTTTTTAAAATTGTAACTTTTTGTATTGTTTGAAATAGAATAACCCAGAAATCAAAGATAAGTATCTATCAGTATGCCTGGAGAAAAATTGTACAGAATCCATACTTTCATACTGAGCCTTTTACATTAGGATATGTGGTCTCACCCCTTTTCTTCACTCAACTCCATATGGGTAAATTTGAATAAACAAAAAAAATCCATATGAATCAGTGCAAGAATTATTTCAACTTAATTAATTGGCCAATACATAAGACAAATTTAAGTTGTCAGCAATAAAAAATGGGTCACAAGATAATGACAGCAGTTTCTCGTCCAAAAAATGCAGCTTGAGTTGATTCCAACATTAACATGTGGGAAGATCAGCCGGTGGAGGAAGCAACTTCTGGTTGGGAAGCTTTCCATCTAAGACTACCCAAGCCATCTTCAAGCCCCAACTAGTATGGATCTCCAAGTGGCAATGCATGAACCATACACCTGTAAATATTTTTTTAAGTAAATAGTTAATTAGGCTAAGGTCTTTGATTAAAATTTAATGTTAAGTATCATTCTTAATTCTCTTTCTTCTTTTATCTAAATCTTCAAGTTACTAATTCCAATCACTTTACTACATAAATGTTAACTTCATTGATGACTGCAGGTAACATATTTAATTCGTTGTTATTAATATTATTATATGAAAGTGAGACTAATACTTCTTGACTATATTGCTTTTGTGCTTAAATTAACAATGATATACATAACTTTATGCATACGAATGATATAGTCAGATTGTCAATACTATATAATACTAATATTACTGCTCTTTGTACGTACCGGGATTATCTGCTAGAAATCGTATAGCGACCCATCCACCAGAGGGCACACCCACGGTATTTCTTTCAACAGGGTCAACCAAATTGAAGTTTGCAGGGTCCTTATTTTGGTCAAAGTTCCCAAACCCTTGGCCAACTACAAAGAAATTATATCCATGCAGATGAAGAGGGTGGCTTTCGGCACCAAGAATGCTTGTGTCCTGCATGATCAACTCCACACTAGTGTTAAATGGAAGTACCACTAGCTTTGTACCATTGCTCACCATAGTATTGTTTGGTGGGGTTCCTGTATAGTTAAATGGGATCACTGGACTGCTTGGGAAGTTAGAGCTGTAAACCCGATTTGATTGCCCGGAGAAGTGGGCTTGGAGTAGAGCAGTGGTTGGCATTACAAAAGAAACGTTATTCACTGAAGCAGCAAACATTGTTCCATTAGGTCCCTGGCAGGTTTGGTTATGCTTGTTGCAGGGGTTGGTTCCAAGGCCTACTGTGAAGAAAAAGTGCTTGTCAACCTTTTGGGGGACATTAGCCGGGAATTGTGCATTGGCTAAACTACGGAGTTTGTTGCTGAACTTTGTTGCGAAGGATGTGTCGTTTAGAGCAGGCAGAATTGGTTTAAATAGTGGAAGTTTCTTCATTGGGAGGGTTGAGTGGAGGGTTTTGGAGGGTGATTCGTACTCTAAAATACCAGCAACAGTGGAGTTGTCAAAGGTGCCTAGTCCAGTCACGTATGGCCTGGCAGTCATGAAAAATGTGGCATTTGGGAAATGGGGCTTGGTCTTCAGCAGAACATTTGTAGTCTGCCCAGGGGTAATGAGAATTGTGTCAGTCTCAAAGGGTTTGACATAAACGGCATCGACGTCTACCATTTTGAGGGTGTGGTTTGCAATGCTGAAGAAGAGCTCATCATTGAGTGCTGCATTGATTAGACGGAGAAGGTAGGTCTTCCCAGATTTCACCTTTAGCTTGAATGCATCTGCCAGAGACCCATGCAGCATATATCAAATATCTTTGAAATCCATTGTAAGCATTGTGAGAGTACTGATGAAATTTCTGAGTACGTTTTATTGAGAATTTTGCGTGCAAGGTAATGAAATGTTACTTTATGTGTTCTGACGGTTTGTTTTACAAGGCCCCTGTCATTCAAGCTATAAATTGTGTAAAATGCTGTGATGTATGTATGTAATTTGATACCTTTGGCAGAACAGTTGTACAAGGGCCCTGGAAGTCCATTAAAGGTATAAGCATCGGAAACATTTGGCCCTCCTCCTGTTTGCAAGGCCTGCTTAATGACTGCCTCAGGGTCTGCATTCCACCACTCTCCTGTAATTTATGTATAAATTGTGTAGCTTTTGTTAGCATATAAATTACTCAGAAAAATACATGCTTAGTTTGGTTTGGACTGTTATATAGTCAGATGTTACCGAAGATGATCGGAACCTCCTTGTAGGGTTTAGTGAATGGGTAAGGCACACCAAGCTTGGGAAGGATGACTATGGGGCCATGAAGAGTTGATCTTAGCCATGAAATGTGAGCATGCCACCAAAGAGTGCCTCTTTGGCCTACAATGGTGAAGTTGTACACATAGCTGTTGCCTGTTTGTATGGGACATTGGGTCACATATGCAGGCCCATCAGCCCACCCTGTTCGAAGCTGTCGAATGCCGTGCCTGGTAATTCAAAAAAATTAGTTAATTAACTTCCAGTGCATTAGGTTAATTTGGCATGATTAAGTTGTAGTTAATCATTATTACCAATGGATAGAGATGTTGTGTTGGACATGGTTAACCACTTTAATAAGGAGGCGATCACCCTCCCTAGCAACAATTCGAGGCCCAGGAAACTGGCCGTTTACTGTTACAATGCTCTTTGTGTGGCACAATCTGGTCACATTTTGCTGTTTGATCTGCAAAATTATTCAAAACTACTGTAAAGAAAAGACAATGAAGAACCTAAAGAAGAAGAAGAAGAAGAAAATGCATGTGAAAGCACAAACTTTATATTTGTGGTAAGATTAGCTTCGGTAATGTTCTCTTGTCAGATAACTGACTGTTATAGTATCAAATTGTGACTATATATTCAAAGAATTTACCAAATCAAAATCATCGTACAAATTGACAGTTTCACAACATAACATGTTAACATTGTATGTATAAGAAAAAAAATTATTTTGACTTAAGCAATACATATATGTTGAAACTTTGTGACAACATACTTCAAACGTGTAGTGCCTCGTTATGCTTGCAAGAGCATGCTGAGGAATGAGACACAATGCTATGAGAGAGAAGAGAAAGAGTGTAGGAAATGCTGGTGATGAAAGAAGAAGAACACCCATTTTCACTATGTGATCTCTCTCTCCTTTTGTTTTGTTTTTTCTGGAAGAAAGTGAGAGAGAGATTTCAAATGGGGTTGAAACTGAAGCTGCTCCAATTGAGTGGGTGTTGAATGGAGCTTTTGGGTTGTGTATATATAGAGATGGTGAGGGAAGTGAGTTTGGTTGAGTTGGTGGTCATGGAGATTAGAAATATATAGAGTTTATAGTGGAGAAAATTAACTAGAAGATGAGCTTCATGAATTAGCTATTTTAAAATACGATGCATGGTTGTTAGAACAATAACTTTAGAGTGGTGTTAAAGACAATCAATTTCTGTTGACCTCCTTTCCTTTCAAGTCGAACCTTTTTTAAGTATTTCCCCACGTCCCTATGCATCTTTGAACTCAAAATGGACGTGACTTTGACCTACTTATTTGCGGGCATAGCAACAACTATGAGTCGATGAGAAAAAGCAAAACGCGCATACAAGTCTTTGCATGCTTTCAAGTGCAGAGAGAAAATGGGGCAATTTTAATGAACTCTATGAGAAAATTGTTTGCACCATGCATGCTGCAATAAGCCGCAGATTTAGGTTTCACCAAATTTTCAGTGCTAGAATGTGAAATTGTCCGAAGAGAGCAAAAAATATTGTAGTACATAGTATATATATATGTTGAAATGGAGGAGATCTCTCGCTGACACCCCTTCGAAGTGTGGGAGTATATGTCTTAAACTATTTGTACCATATTTATTGTCATACGTCTCTGTATAGAAATAACCTAATTATATAGATGGAAGGCACAATAAACTATAACATTTAACATATTTATTGAGTTTTGCTAAGTATAGTCGTTCATGTGCTTGGGGATATAATATAATTGTCATGAATTATTGATATTGAAGAGGCAATATGCACGTAGATGATTTTGAGCCACCAATATATGGGAATTCAAATCTCCTCTTTCTCATTTTGGCGTGCTTTGTACAAAACATGATTTGTCTAGTAAATGCAGCTTTCTCAACCGTTAACCTCAGTGAGTTATTGGTGACAGTCCTAGTCCCCAATGAAATTTGATGCCTATGTTGCACCAGCACCAACTACATATATATATATATATATATATATCCTTTGTTTGGCGATCACTCCATGTCTCTCTGATCTCAAGTTCAATACTCCAAACCCAATAGTTTTAAACATTATCTACGTGCATGCAGCTTGGTCAAATACAGTTTAATGGTAAGGACAAGCAGATCATTGAAGGGTTACTATCAAGCAGCCGATTTTAAATAACATTGTGTCATTAATAAATAGTAGGTTTGGGAAACTTCAATATGAACATAATTTTCTCTCAAGGAAAGAAATCTGTCAAGGAGATGGAGATGGAGATGTGGGAGGTAAGATTTCATTGTACTGTTCATGTCATCTTGAGGCTCACAAAACCTAACCCCTGTAGTTGCACCTACTCTTCTCCTTACTCTGTACTCTCTTATCTGTAACTGGGCAGGTATTTATTTTATTTTTCATGTATTTTTTATATAAATAATTTCCCTTTTCTTTTCGATCCCTATTATTTTCTTGTTCTTAAATTAATCATCAGAAAATATTATCCTATTTTCCTGATATATTTAGCTGTATTAACTTGTAATATATATTTATAGTCGTCCACATGGAGAGTAAGATATGCTGAAGTGTTGCATCCAAATATCCCACATTGGAAAAATAGCATTTACGTCTCTTGAGCATTCTTCTTTTGCAAATAAGGTTTGTAACGGCAAGTTTTACTTATGCTCTCCTATCTAGCAACCCACTATATATTGAAGTTGACCCGATGGCTTACATTCACCGACCAATACTCAATGACTCAATGACTCAATATACATAATACAACTATTCATTTTAATTTAGCGTATACGTCATATTATATTTGAGTACTTTCTCACGATAGGCTCGCGAGGAAAGGTGAGACGAGATTTTTAAAAGGAGATTTTGGAAAAACACAAAGGAGAGAGAAAATTTGTAAAAGAAGCCAAAATGGACAAAATTGCCCTTATTTATTTTTGGATTTCCTAAAGAATCCTTTACATTTGCATGTCTTTGATTTGAAAGTTGAGAGGTTTTTCTGTCTTTTTTGGAAAAGCTTTGGCTTTTTCTAAAAGTGAAATTTTTTTTTTGGCTAAAACCTAAATTTACTATTTTTTTAAATAGAGTGGGCTAAAAAGTTTATGGTGGTTTGTGGGCTGGCTGGGCTTAGAAATATATGCATACAAAGTTTATATTTTCTTTAGAGTTTGGGCCGGGCTATCAGTCTCTATCTGGTTCCGTGCCTTGTGCCGAAGAGGGCCAAAAACCAAATGGTTTAATGGTAACCCTACCTACCCTACCCTAGTATCCAAAGCCCCATAAACGAGCATATTCCTACAATCAAGGTCAGCATGCCACATGGCTTCAAAAGGAAACAGTCCTCCTCATCTTGTCTTAATTAATATTCTAATATGCATATATTTTATTATCCAAAAAAATATGCACATATATTCTGATATTTCATGTGACACATTATATAAATATATAGGGGGTATAAGTAATGCACGTCTTAGAAAAAATAATTTGGACTCCTTCCCTAGCTAGCCCAGTCCCCCCCGCCCACAACATAAAAAACAAATTTATAAGTTATGCTATATAAGTATATATGCACATGGATGTTGAATTTAATCTTTTGTGTTTTGTTTTGTATTATGAATGTACACATAAGTACATTAATATAAATTTTCTTATATAGACGTTCGGACGTTATTATCGCACGAATGTCATGTATTTTAAACATCCGAAGGATGATAATAGCATGATTTTCTATATAAACAATTACCATCTTTAATTAAGTAGGTGTGAGCAAATTGGCTATAGAAGGAGCTGACAGAGATCATGTGGAGGTGATTGGAGATGGAGTAGACTCCGTTTGCTTGACCGGGTCATTGAGGAGGAAGCTTGGCTTCGCCACCATATATAAAAGTTGAAGAAATTGAACAAGTTGAAGGAGATGAAGCTCATGTTGATGATGAGGAGGAAAAGCCAACTCCTCCAATTCAATGGACCTCATCCACAATCTATGTTCAATGCAGTCTGCAGTTTCATCCAACCGACTATGAAATGGTTCATGAATATCCAGAACCAACCATTCGCTCTCCGTAATGTAATTGTAGTTCAAAAAAGAATAATTTTACGATATCGATTCCTTTTTCTTTTTTTTTGAGATTTTTTTTTTTGTTTTTTTCGTGTTTGTGCCTTCTGCTATATGTGTTTTCACATGTATGTGGCTTACCATGATCTCACTCAATTATATTGAATGAGAAAAAGAAAATATAAAAGCTTCTGATGAACTCATTTGATGAATTAATTGTGTCAGGATATAAAGAATTAGCTCTAATAAAAGATGCTTTGCTCTAATATCCAGGAAATCAAGCTTTGTTAAAGCAGATGGGTATAAGTAAACGTCAAGAAACCTGATCCATACGTCTAATTGTACATACATAAATATATATAAATATATGGATCATCTGTGTCACATGTATACAGCTTAAGAATATGCCTTCCTTAGTTTGCCAAGCAAAGAATGAAGCCTTGGAGTAGTCTATAAATTACACGCACTCAGAGATCTGATAATATGCTACTGGAAATGAGATTTTATGTGTAATTTGAGCACACCAAAAAGACAATATGGGAAATGGAGGACCCTTCTTAATATGTTGTGTGCTTCTTCTTGCTTTAATGGCCGGAGGTCAAACTGTCACGCCAAGAAACAAGGTAATCATCAAGTGAATTAATTGTGTAATTATATATGTATGTCTTTGTGAATGTGCGTGTGTCTTTTATGGTGGATTAATATATAGGGACGACGCATGTTTGTGAATAACAAGCTTCTTGTTGTGAGTTGAATGGTGTGATCAACAACATATATTGGATTCGTGATGGTCGAGCATGATTTCATGTTATTGATCAACATGTCGGCCCTTTTTTTTCCCGTTAAATTTTTTCGTTTTTCTAGTATTAACCTCGAAAACTTGCTAAGACATTTTGCATCGAGAAACTGTACCACATTTACGAATCACATTATTCATCACATTTCTTAGGACTATTTGCTTTATTCAAAATGATCTCACTATCTCAACATTACAGGAAAACTGCACCTACGCAGTTACAATTGAAACAACATGCACAAAAGGTGCCGAGACCTCAAACCACATCAGCCTAAGATTTGGTGACACAAATTCAAATGACATTGTGGTGAGGCACCTAAATTCCAAGCACATAAGAAGGGTGGATCCATTGGAGCCTGAGGTCCTCGACGATGTGCCGAGAAAACCATTTCAAGCTTGTGTTGTGGATGAGTTCCAAGTGAAGGGTGCATGCGTGGAGTCGCCCATCTGCTACCTCTATCTCAAACTGAGTGGAGCTGATGACTGGAGACCTGGTTTTGCACAAGTCCATGTTTTGGAGGGCTCTCGCTCTCATCTCAGCTCTGAGTACTTCTACTTTCGAAGGTACCTGCCACGCCATGTTTGGCATGGCTTGGATGTGTGCGATGATAAAGAAGTTACTCCTTTTGGGATCAAGCACAAGAGGAAAGTGTTTTGGAAAAAACAAGTGAAAAAATTGCCAGTTCCATGATATAGTTCATTACAAGTTATCTCAAATTTTTATAACCATTTCATTGCATTATAAAAGAACAATAAAAGCTGTGTGAGAAAAAAAGTTGGATTTCTAGCATTAGCATTAGGGTCAATTGTATTTGCACTATTTTCTCAATAATAATTCTCATATAACTCTTGTATTACATGTTATCGATTCGACTTTCAGAAACATGGTGTTTCAGTCAGTCAACAAGAAGCTTTTATACCTTTTTTTGGCTTCTTTTTTTTCTCGTTCATGATATACTTAATTAATTTATAGCGTGCTAACGGGGTTTTAAATTGCAGACCAGAAATCTCAAACTTGAATCCCCATAACATCATACTCATGTGTGTGTGAGATATCCCACTCCCTTATAATTTAGATCATCACGGTTGTACCCGTTTATAGTTTAGGTTTAATTAACTCTTGAATTTCGGTTGGTAGCCCAGTACATGTAAATGCATCAAATTACTTAACTTACAATATTTAGGCAGAAAGTGCGCGCAAGTACAGTTTTGAAGAAAGAGAAGCTACATCTTGGAGGATACAGTACTAGTCAAAAAGTGAAAAAGATGGATCAATAATTTTCTTTCTGGTACAAATACAAAATAAGTACTGGATTTATTTATTAATTACGTGTCCCCATCACATTTTGTATTTTCGACCAAAAGAAAAAGGACATTGAGTTTGTATAGTTTGCATGCATATGCATCTACATTTTTTGTATTGTCCATATCTCCTTCTTCTTCTTTTTTATCAGGAGTAGTATTGTCCCTATCTCCTTTGTTATGCCAATAATATAAAGAAAAATTGAGACTAATTTATTATACAAAAACGGTAATTTTATAAATGTGTTATGACTGGACTTATTAAATTGAAAAACAATCCAAGATATTGTGGTTTATAATTCTTCTATAAGTGTGAGACTTATAGAATTATTGGACTTAGTTTTTAATTCAGTATACTTCGAGCCACTAAAAGAGCCTTATATTACCAACGTGGGATTCAATTCGACCGGATGTTCAAAGAGAAATCATTATTTTTTTACCGTATACAAATGCATAATCATGACTACAATCAATGAGAAAAAAAACGAAAGGAAAAAACGTTACATTTTCTCTCGAACTTCAATTTTCTGAGTATCCAAACAGATTAGGCTTTCAGTTTTTCTTTATTTCTTCGATGTATGTAAACTGCATAATTTTGGTCACGTGATGATGATTTAGGGTTCGGACACCACACAACGTAACATTCGTAGGTGATCAGAGAAGTCATTGAAAAGTCAAATAAAAGAGCCTTGGGTTAATTAACTCTCCCTCCAACATCACATTTTGCCCAGGTGTGGATATGTTGACTAAAAGGGACATGGCCTGCGGTGTCTTGTCTTCTCCTAAATATATGACGTACGAGTGTTTTGTTCACTGCCTCACTCAATCAATGGCAGTATTTTGAGAAATGGGCAATAATTTATATCATAGCCTTTTAAGCCACCACTATACATACCATACTCTCTCTGTTTCCAATTTAATTCCTCTGCGATTTAAATCGTCAAAATACTACAACTAATTTTGGGATTGTGTCACTCCCTGTAAGGAGATGCTCGTTCTTCCTGTGCATCGCAGTTTAACAAATATGCAAAAATAATTCATCAAAAACACAAAAAGAACTTTTGCACACATGTCACATTGTTATTGACATGAGTGTAGGAGGTCCTGCTTACATAGTAAGGAGTGAAGTATTTTCCTTGTTTTTTTCTTCGCTTTACTTGTATTGCTGGCGACTTTTATAAAAAGTACTTTTGCTCAACAGATTTGCTTAGAAATCCATATGCTTTTGGAAAAACACTTAAAACTTTATGAATATGCTTCTCCAGAAGCGCTCTTATGATAACACTTTTAAATTGTTTTGTGACGAACGAAGCAGTAAAAAAAAAAAAAAAAAAAAAAAAAAAAAAAAAAACATGTCTTGACAAACAAAAAAAAAAAAAAAAAAAATAAAAATACAAGTTTTGTCATCATTTGGAGGGTTGGGGGTCATAAATGTCCTAAGTAATAACTAAAAAAAGAAGACATAACATGTAACATGTGTGGGATTTTTTTTTCTTGACTTTTCTTTGAATAAAAAGGCCACCCTTGTCAGCTTACATTTTGCTCTTCCATGCCCTGCGTTTGTGAAAAGCCAAGCTATTGCTACAATATCCAAAATCCCTTGGCACATATTTTATTTTTTATTTTTTATTACGAATATGATGAAGAAATGATGAGGGTGAGAGGAGACATGATATGACCAATTGCTGCAACGACACAAGGAGGTGTCATGAGTCACACACTATTCATCAATGTGAATCCTTGCATGACTTGAGCTCTACAATAATTACCATAAATAAGCAAAATCTCAAACGCCATCAACTTTGATCAGACAAAGCTTTGTCTGATTCTCTTTTGACTTGATTTACTCCACTATATGTTTTGCTATCGACCAAGTACTGAAGATGATGAATGACTAGACAGTCCAGTTAACTGCTTAAGGTAGCCCTAGGTAGCCCTCCCTCTGTTGCTATCTCCTTACCTTTCTTCAATCTCCTATCCTATATGAAGAGAGGCACATAAACCCAAATTTACTATGAATAGCTACAAGGTCAGACAGTGATAGGATAAACATTGTTTAAAATTTCTAACTATTCAAAGCTTTTTTAAGCTTAATGGTCATGTAACGTGGTATATAAGGGCGGAGCCACTCATCGGTCACCAATGGCCATCGCCGTCCCAAATTTTCAAACACATATACAGTAACATGCCCGTTGCATATAATTATTTGTACTTTGGACACCTAAACTTAAAATTCTAGCTCTGTCTCTAATGATATCGTATCTTTGGGCTCCCGAAGAGCCCAAGTTTTTGAAGTTGATGAATAATTATTTAACGACATTTATGTTGCTAGCTAGCCAGTACTTCTTCATTTATGTGGTACGATACGGTAGAAGAACCTGTACATATGCGTAGACCTTTCACTACACAAAGCGTACGCGTATCAGTGCATGGTAGCCTTAAACCATATTTATTAATTTATTTTTTCTCGATTTCCACCCCATCCTCCCCAGCCAGCAGTAATTGAATTCATAATTTAATTTAACTTTTTTACTGCGAATCATCCACAGAGCTTTTCTGGGCTGTTGGCAAGTAGTTACTGCGCATGAGTGCATGTGCATGTCCTTTTTCTTATCTTTTTTGATAAGAAACATCTGCTGCCACTCCTCTAATAAATATGCTTCAGAAATAAATGTGACCATGCATATTGGTGTTTGCACAATTATCTAACTCATTCATTTTGCCTTAGCTATAATTTTGTACACACATCATTGATGTGGGAAAAAAAAAAAAGGCTTTTCAGGTGTGTTTATAGTTAGTTGGGCGTTGTCGCTCGGGGATGCTCTTAGGGGGGGACAATTGTTGAGTGTTTTTAATTCCCTTGTAGTTAAATTTCACATCTTGGAAAAACTATTAAAATTGTAATTTGATTACCATGGAAGATAATGTTGTAGGCATGTTTTAGAACTGCTTATGTAGGAAGCATTTATGCTCAAAGTGTTTTTACTGGAAGCACGTTGTATTACAAATCCAAGCGTTTTTACTGAAGAAGCACTAGCAAGTGTTTTTCCAAAAACCGATTTTATGACTCATAAACACTTTTAAGATTTTTTGCCAAACACCTACAGAAGTAGTCCGAAACAAATGTGAACCTTGTATTTGAAAAATGTCAATTCAATCTGTGCATAGACATCACTATTTTTTATTTTTCTTATTGTTTGAGTTTGAAAAATGGTGAGTGCGTGATATGAAGGATTTGAAAATTGCAAAATCAAGAAAACCTAACATATCTACCTATACTATTCTGGTATCATCATATCATAATTCTTTAGGAAAATGAGACAGTGACTTGCACTATGTATGAAGCTTGCTCAATGGGGTGAATTAAATGAAGAGTGAGACAGGAGTTGAGGGAAAGGGAGACAGAACGAGGGAGATCTGATTATCGGTCCAAGAAGGTGGTGTGGAGATCTGGGGTCTGTTTGGTAAGATTGTGCATGAATGGTGGAAGGCATTATTAGTTATTCACACTCTAAAGTAGGGTCCATTCCTACAAAATGGGGAATATGGGGCATTCAATCGAAGAATTGAATGAGCTTTTCCTTATTATTGAATGCCCTAATTAGCTTTAGAGCTAAATAAAAGAAAATAAAAATTCTTGAAATTGATTGGTTGTAAATTTGATTCAAATACAATATTTTGGAGCTGTCTCCCGAGTATGTTAGGGGGCGTTTGGTATCCTATTTAAATAAGGAACTCAAAAACTTCGATTTTTCTTAAAAAAAAGGAGTTCTTAAATTTATTTGTAAGATTCAAAAACTTGTTTGGTATGCAACTTGAAAACTGTTTTCAAATATTAAAAATTTGAGAACTTGTGAGTTGTTAGAAAAAAACTGAAAAAACATATATATATATATTTTAATAATAATAATTGGGGTTTTTTTAGTTGTTTTTGAGTTTCAGTTTTTAAAAATAGGGCCACCAAACATGTTTTCTTTATTTTGGACGCAAATCCTGTTTTTGAGTTTAAAACAGTTAAATTCAAATTGAATACCAAACATGCCCTTAGGTCCTCAACGTTTTCCCTCTTTCTTTTAGTCAGCGACATATTCGTCTCTAGATTTGATGTTGCAACAACAAATTTTGAGGCCAACAAGTCGCCGACTTCTATAAATAAGTTATATAAGAAGTATGGAGTAAGAATTATTATTCTATTAATCATTAAATTTAAAAAAAGAAAAAGAAAAAAGTAGTAGTATATATTCACTATTAAACTGATCTTTTGGTAAATGATTCACTTTTGAACTTTGTCATGAGAAGAAAGATAAAATCACTGTTGATTGAATTTGTCTGTATTGGGATTATGAGGGAATGTTGTCAGAGTGAAGTAGGCCAAGAAAGTCAAAGAAAACCACATGGCAATCGAAGCAGCATGCATTTATGAAATTTGTGTGTCTGCTTCTTTTTTAGTTGTCTATTTTGTATGTCTTCTTGTGGCATGGAAAGCTTACGTTTGCCACAGTATCGAGAATTGTCGGTTAATGGTAGCCCAATCAGTTTGGGAAGCAAAAATCTCAAGAGAATTTGGGAATGAATATGAATATATATCCTAATTGGAAACCCCCCAGAAAAAGAATCTGGTGATAAAATTAGGGGAAAGTCATTTACTTGAGCTCTTTTCCAAAATGCTTTGATTCTTTTCAGAATTGGAAAATAATAAGAATATTCTTCCGAGCTGCATGCATGCATGCTCTTTACAAGAAAGATGGTTATGTCAAATGAGTCTCACTTTTATGAGGAATGTGATTAATAAATATGATACGTACAAATCGAGTCTTATTGGAGTTGAGAAAATCTTACGTTTATCATTTATACTTGTGAGTTTGTATGCGTAACATTCAAATTAATCCTTTTAGAGTGTTTCCTAATTTCATAACAATTTTTGGTTTGTCAACTCAAAATTTTTCCAAGAAATTGAGTAGAGTGTCCATCACCCACACCATTTGCAAGTTGGCTGAATTAAATCTATAGCAATTAGCTTTCTCTGCTTCAAGAATCCAACATACATGGTCTGTCTTATCCATTCTGTAGACAAAGTAAATATTATATGTTGATGATGACATAATCATTCAAATACCCCTCTCTCTCCCTCTTTCTCAGTTGTGAGTGTGTGTTTCTGCGAGGACTGAAAACCTACACTTGAATGCCCCTCTCAGGGAAGCACAGCATGACCACCCTCACTCCTGGTACGTCACACTATTCTCTTTTAACCTCTCTCTCTCTCTCTCTCTCTCTCTCTCTCTCAACCTCGCCACTATTTATACCTCCCCTGCTTTCTCAACCCTTCACTCTCCAGAACATCAAAACCCTGCTCAAATTTTTCTATTTAAACCCACTAAACCCACCACCAACCAGCTGCTCCACCGCTTCAATCTCTCAAACATTAATATTATCAAAGAAATTAGGGAAACTAATTAGTAAAATGTCTCCTGCAGCAAATTCTTCATCAAGATGGTGCCCAACCCCAGAGCAACTGATGATCCTTGAGGAGATGTACAGGGCTGGCATCAGAACCCCCAATGCCTCTCAAATCCAACACATCACTGCCCAGCTCTCCCTCTATGGCAAGATTGAGGGCAAAAATGTATTTTACTGGTTCCAGAACCACAAGGCCAGGGACAGGCAGAAGCTCAGGAGGAAGCTTTGTAAGCAACTGCAGCAACAGCAACTTCTCTATAATCACCACCACAATTATCATAATTACCATAATAACCCTTATCATCATCATCATCACCACCAGCAGCAGCAGCAGCAGCAGCAGCAGAGCCTTCTTGGGTACCTTGACCATCTCAGCCCTCCTGCTTCTTCTTCTACTCTTCAACAACTTTCCAACTGTCATAACTACTCATCAGCTGGCTTTCTTCCCCCTCCTCAGGTTAATTAATTATATAATTATAAATAATATATCTCTCTCATTTATTATTTTTTCCTTTTTTATTTACACAGTGATGAGATATGTTCTAGTTGGGGAAAGAGAGAGAATATTCTTCTTTCTTCCTTCTTGTAATTATTTTACTTTATGCATGCACATATCATAGGTCTGTTTCTACCATTTGGGTTTTGAGTAATGTTTTAGCTTAATTCTTTCAAATATAGATATTTTGTCTTATATATAGGTCTCTTCCCCCTTCCAAAATTATTTCAAAGCACTCTACTTATCATAAATGCATTACTAACACCACATTAGCATGACATAGTATAGTGATTACTTTATGGAAGCCCTACAATACAAAGACCAGCACAAGTTGATTTTACAGTGCGAGTGTCACACTAATAGAGAATAGAGAAATATACATATAGTTATTATAATATAAATGTACTGTAATAGCACGTGACATTAATATGATCACATCGAAGGATTACTTATAATTTCATTAATTATCAGGCCATGGAAACAAATATGTTTTATTAGTTTTTTTTAGTACAAGCGATAGTCTAAATTATATGGGAGGGGGTTTCTCACATACACTACTATGATTTCATGGAGGTTTGAACCTGATACTACTCTAGTTTGTAAGCCAATGTCATTTTTCATTGGTCTAGAGACTCCATTGGCATTAATTAAATTTTTATAAGAGCATTAAATTCATTAATGACAACTTAAGAGCAGGCCAGCATGGATTTATTCCCCTCAGCCCACACACAAGTTCATGAAAAATACAGAAACTATATATAAGTTATCTTATTTTGCTGCTGATTATTTTATTTTATTTTGTTTGAATGCTCTCTGTTTCGGCTTTAAACTCTGCTTCTGGCTTTGAAGGTGGGAGTTGAAGATGCCTTGATGAAGCACGCGTGGAAGATGGAGATCCCACAGAGGGTGGAGATGGAGAAGTCCGTGATGAGTATGTACGGCCGTGATTGGATGATGATGATGATGGAGGATGTGGGCCCACCCTCTCCATGTTGTAGTACTAGTACAAGAACTACTACTACTAGACAACCCCTCAAGACCCTTCAACTCTTCCCCATCACCGCCACCAATCTCAAAGAAGAATCCTCACCCTCCTCCTCCAATCCTCTCTCTCCTCCCACCACCCCCACACCAAATTACTAAAAACCCCAAGCCAAGCCACTTCTTCTGCTGCATCTCTCTCTCTCTCTCTCTCTCTCTCTCTCTCTGTGGTGACTTTGTTTAGTGTGTGTCTTGGTTTCTGTTATGTGTTTTCTGGGCTCTTCTTCTTCTGCTCTGTGATATGAAAGATCTCAATTGTCTAATGAGTAGTAGTAGGTTCTGGGTCCTATAGAGGGAGGGTGGGATGCCTTCAGTTTCAGCCTATCAGCCTATCAACTTAAATATATATTAAAAGGAATGCCCTTTTATTTATGTATATTTATACTTAACCTTTCAAACAAAAACCCCACTAGCTAGTACTATTATTACTATTGGCAATGCTAGAAGAAGTGTATGCATTGCATGCAGCCAGCATTGGCTTTGTCTCTTGTGTTTAAGCTTAAAGCTGACATATTGCACACCCAGACCCAGACGCAGTACTTGAACTGTTGTATGAATGTATGTAGTCATGTACAAGTCAGCTTTTTAGTGTTTGGTATTTACTTGGTCTTTTGGACCTTTCGAAACATGTCAATGCAATGCAACACATTCTGAATGCTATTATGTTTAAATTTTGAAAGACTTTTTTATTTTTATAATCTCTTTTTGTTTCGCCGTGAAAGGCAAACTGCATTAAGAAAATAATGATATAAGGCAAACTGTATAATATGTCAGGGTAGAATGTGCCTATTTATGAAAAATCCTTTAATAATATATGTTTTTTATATGACAAAAAGCAATTGTCACTAAAACAACTGTCACGATCTAATCCTTAGTTCAAACCCGGTTGATAGTCTACTTTCAGGTGTTATAACGGATTTAGGAATTTTCATTCTAGGGATCAATGTGTAAAAGGTTAAAAAAATTTATATACAAAATAGATCCATCGAAATGAAACGATAATATTCTAATTCACAGTTAATAGATAAAACCATACAAAATACTCATGTTCATTATCAACGAGAATTGCATCAATTTCAAAAAATAGACACACACTGCTACAAACAAGAAATAATGTGATAATAAACCAGAAATAATGTGATAATAAACCAAAAAATTAGTGCAATCCTCTTCACCTTCCAAGGCGTCTCGTCCTGTTCGACGTAAGAGCTGACATATATTAGCACAATCCTGCTCATTTTAGGGCATCTACGTCATTTTTGAGGTCCGTTGTTATTTTGATTTTGGGCTTTATTTGCATTTCTTTTGGGCTCTAACTCTCAAACTTCGGACCCTTATGAGTACTGTCTTAGAGGAAGTTTTATACAATCAAATATTTCTTCAATATGTAAGAGTTATGCTAGTCTTGTAAAACTCTTTGTGGATTGAATATCTAAGACTTTTTACCTATATTGATCTTAGATCCCTTCATGTATTTATATCATACATGAAAAATTATTTTATGTAAAAATATTGGCTAAGTATGAAAAATAATTTTTCGAAATAATCATTTTCTTAAGATAATTTTTGGAACACATCAAATAAGAAAACTTGATTTTATGGGATTTTAATATGAAGTATATATTGACCTAATGAGCCCTCATTTTTAGCCTAAATTGTATTTTGCACTAAAACCTATTTTTCATATTTTGATTTGGTGGGAATTTTATTTTTTTAATATTTTTATTTGAATCCAAATGGGGGGTTACTTCTTTATTTACATTGTACTTAAGTAAATGGAGTAATATAAAATAAATGAAAGTAAAAGGACAAAGTAATGGAAATAAGGTAATCTTCTGTACAATGTCGTCGTTTTGACATCAGGAAAACAAAAACAAGGAAAGTGCCGCACGCAGTGTACAACGCCCTCTAGAGCATTTCATCAAGCAGTTTGTGGTTACAGGGATCAACACCTCCAATGGTGTGAATTCTGGGTTTGCAAAGGTCAATTGACCCCTCTTGTCCTGTGTGGATCCACCCCTAGTAGTACTCATGTTAGGGTGTAAGAACTAGGTCTTTGGGTATATCATAAGGTTCTATTTTAAATCCAAATTCGAATAACATAAAGTATTTACATAATTATAATAATAGACATCACATTCAAATAAATTTTTAGCCCTACAAGAGATACAATCATCAATGTAATTAGTAAATATGTTATACGTGTCACAATACATACTCCATGAAATGAATTCAATATATTGTATGGGTTAAGTATTATTCCATTTATTTCCAAGATTAACCAGTCAAGCATCCACAAAAACATCTCAACTCCATGAAAAATATGCTCAAGTACATCTCCTTTGAAAATCAAGTGGACCTTGAACCTTGTCAGGGGGGGCTCACCTTTTTTTTGGGGGGGGGTACTTAAGATCCAATCTTAATTGGTAGGTATTGTCCTTCACTATTGTGGCGTGTGTGTATATATATATATATATATTATCGAGTCTCATGCCTTGATTAAGCTCAGGCATAAGACAACCACCATATTAATTGTTTCTGGGTTTGGCAACTGTCCGAATTGTCCAGGTCTCTTGATGATCAGATTCATCCCCGTCTCACATTTAGTCACGGGGACTAGAAAGACCAGCAAGATCATCTAAAACAGAAGAAACAACACAAGAAGGGAGGCCCCTCAAAGAACATACAACCGGGGTTCATAGTTGTTGAACTTCGCAAGCCTATCAGCAACCATATTTTTCTCCCTCTAATGTGATTTAGCTCAATCTAATTTATCTCAATACTAGCACTGTGAGAGAGAATTACTCGTAATAGGATTTATTTTATTTTATACAACCGATACTCTAAACTTTAGGGCAAGTTTGATAACCATTTCAATTTTAGTTTTTAGTTTTTAATTTAATTTATTTTTTTTGGTGCTGGAGTATATAGGGAAATGAGACGGGAGGATGAGAGGAAGTGAAAATAAAAACTTGAAAGTGAAAATAATTTCAAATAGATTTCTGTTTTTAGTTTTTGTTTTCATTTTTATTACTTCTCCTTCCCATCATTCCCTCTTATCTTCCCTCTCCATCCCATTTCCACTCTCATTTTCACTTCCATTCTCCATCTTTTTCCTCTATACTCTAGCACACAAAATGAAAATGAAAATGAAAATAGTTATCAAACAGATCCTTAATTTATGGAGAGAGAGATTTGAATTTGAATGTAAGGGGGCAAACTTCTCACTAACTGGCCTAATCCTCATCTGCTAATAGAAATCTAATTGAAAGAAAAAAGAAATTGCTAGTGACTAATGCATGGCAAACTGGCAATAAATACTGGATATCACATGCATAAAGTATATATATTGTCATTGAGTAATTTGAAGGCCACGACAGTGTTCCAAACGACTGTGTCAGACAAGAAGACGACATACTATGCTATAATGAAGTTGAAACCAAGGGCGTGTTTGATGAAATGGACTAAACGACTCTACAAAATGATATATATCCTATGACCCCAAACGAGACAAAACAGACAGTGGCAAAAAGACACAATGAATTATATGTGATGGAAAGAACCTTCAATCTGAGTGGAAAGAAACCTCATTGTCAATCAAATAATCATTCGAGTACCTTCTATGATAAACCCCGATGAAGACAAATGACAATGAGAAATTACATTTATGAAAATATGTTTTTCATTCATTAAAAAAGAACAATAGGGTTAGAGTTAAATTATGTTATGTTGCTTGATTATTATTTAGAATGGTGTGATTAGATATAATTGTGTCCGAATGGGTTAGATTGATATTAACAAGAAATTTGACGTCTTGCCACGTTAACTTACTAACCGGTTATCTGAATGGTTTTGAGCAGCACCAACCATTTGTTAGGGTTGACACTTCTCAACAAACTAACACCAGAACAAAAGATTTGTGAGATGACTCTCCATGGCTACAAGGAAGATGGAATATTGAAACCACAATTGAAGTAGGAGGTAAAAAAAATTTCCGCAAACTTTAATTAATTTGTTCTCAGTTTTTGTATATAATTAATGTATATAATTTTCCTATTCTTCTAAATTTACAATGGTGAATAACAAGAGGAGCATGTAAACAAAAAGAAGAGTAGTATTTCTACAAAGATTAGTGCAATGTGGATAGCAAGTTATTCTAGAAGTTCTCCTTGTGGAATTGGAAGCGGGTTGATGAATTTAGGCTAAATTCTAGGCAGAGCTGCCTTAGTGTTTTGGTAAGTGTTGGACTTCCACAGTAGAAGACACCTGCAACAAACAAGAGAAACATAACCATCTCTTATGCTTAAAATGTCCAAAACTTCGTAGCTTCAAAGACTTCAACAGAATTAGCCTTACCTATTCTAGAAGATTGGTGTGTGGCAGCCAAGTCTGAAAACACCTTTCTCCAATTAGGCCTAGCAAAATGTGTTCTTATCTGCCACAGTTAAACTCAGAAATGAGATACAGAACTAGTGTGACTCCATTAACAATGCTTTGTGTGGTAAATGTGGCCTAGTGAGTACCCGGCTTTCGGAGACAATATCAACTCCATTCTTAGCATGTTGTAGTTTCTGCACCATGGCGATAAGAGCAGACCGAGCGTCTCCTTCTTCGTACACGCTGGTCAAGTAGTTGTGCATTTCTATCATATGCTGCAGCAGATGTTAGTAAATGTGGTTCATGTTACAGAAAGAATGAGCGAGGTAAAGTTGAATATCTGACTTTTAGTTTGAAACTCACATTGTGGTCACACTCTGAAATGTCATCCATGACACCTTTAAACCATTCAAAGGAAGCTTGTTCCCTTGTTACCCAATAAAAATACGCTCTTTCTGGACTCTTTCTATGAGCCGCCCTTGGATGGCCTTTTAATTGGGGTTCTGTGGATTTTTCTGAATTGCTGTGTACTGAATCCTGCATGAATGAACTAATTTGAAGTGTTAGTTACCATTTACATCACATTTCCAACAAATTTAAGTCTTTTGGTTCTTGGCTCACAGGAGGAGAAGCAAATCTGTGGTTTATTTGGTTTATGATGTCTTTTATAATGCTGACGAAGGGAGTTGCTCCAATTCCCAGACCTATGAGCAACAAGATGTCAA